GGGAAAAGACAGCGTAACACAAAACTTACGAGCTCAAGATAAAACCTCCGTTTGATCAAGCGTATGATTGACGATTCTGTTGGTCGTGGAAGAACAGATGGGGTACAAGGTGTCCCCAATTGTGCTGCTCACAAGCTCCTGCGAGTTGATCACGTCTGATATCTGGCAACCCCAGTGTTGAGTCACAGTGGCTGGACATTCTCCGACTGAAAAGTGGGTAGGTGATGTGGGAACGTAAGAAATTAGATCTGGAATAATTTTGGCATGTCAATTTTGGAAGAATCATTTCTCAAGCTTGCGTTAAGAAAGTTATACTTGTCGAATCTTCGATCACTATAGAAACAGATACAGTCCATGACTATGAACATATTTCAAAACTTACAGAAGTTCGTATACGTTTGGTTGATAATCCTAGGTCCTAGGCATTCGACGGACGGAAGAAAGCCGCTTCCCGAGGCGCTCCTATTTCCGCTTCCATCATCCATGGCCGCATATTCTTGCACCACCAGCGTACCTAGGAGCTGACAGTCGAATTCAGATAAACACCCTCGACACAAACTTACTGATACCACAGTTGGCACTGATATTCCATAGGCGGAGGCAAGTAATGAGACCTTCCCCAAAGTAGCCGACGTGGCATGAGTAACGTTTGAATTACTTGTGTCCCAAACGTACTTGGGTTGATTCGAGTTGAGGAGTGAGTAGATGACATCGGTTGTCAACCCCCCCTGCTGCCGCACAGTGCGTACTGAAGTTTTGAGGGATTTAATGGCGGATACAATTTCCCTCTAGATAGAAAAAACGCATCATAGTAAAACAGCTTTGAGTGACCTGAGGGATGGGACCAGTGGATGTGTTGCACTTTGCTTCATCGCAATTGGCAGGAAGACTATGTAGTACCGTACACGGTCAGTCTCCGAAGTCCGTGCACATGGCGACCATGCCGTTTCCTCTGAAGATGAAGAACATTGGATGAAGAAGACATGCCCTCAGTATTAGTGGCAACTGCATTCTGGAGAATGATGATCGCGGAAGCCTTCTCAAATTTATGGTCTAGTGGTAGTACTAGTAGTAGGGGACAAGGCTGGGCCGGAGTACCACCGTAGCTTAGTCAGCCCCGGAGTGGGCCTTGTCGTAGAGCTCTCTTCATCGCTTGCCTTGTACACGACACGCAGGCACATAGTCGCGGATATACTGCTCCAATGAATTCCTCGCAGTTTAATAGGGAAGATGTGATGTCATTTTGTTCAAGTTTTGCGTACTGACACGAAAAAGCTGCTGACATATGAGGAAAACTTCAAGTTTCAACGAATCAACTAGTCAGCTAGTTACTCAGTTGGCGGGGGGTTATAAGGTTTGCAGTTGATGGATGCGATGTAGGCAGTAAATTTGATGTGAGCTCTGCATTGGTTGCCTATCACACCGCATTGACATTCCTATATCGGCATGTTACTCTTTTATCATCGTCTTGGCGCCATTTGATGCTGTCAGGAAGGCCATTTCTTGCGTTGCCACAGATTCCATTAATATTGCTCGTCATGATGCATTGACCACTGCTGTAGAGCTGATAGAGCAAAGCCGTGCGATATTCTGGACCCAGTTGGCATGTTCATGCGCGCTGCTCGATCGTTCGTCTCCATCAATTGACACTGGCGCAGCCTGTTCAAGCGGCTTAACGCTAATCATCGGTGATAGTCAGTATGGATTTAATGAGCCTCAGTGCCCGATCTCTCATCCACGTTCCATTCGATATCCCGCGGACCAAAGTCTCCGAGTTTCGGCGCCTCGTAGAGCGATTTGATCGTTAACGCAAGCTTGTTAGCATCTTCTGCATGTGATTACGCAACTTTCCTACGTGCAGCAGGAAGCTCCAATTCATGTCACCTTTACATGTCCCGACCTCGGCGGCACTCGCGAGATAGCGCATTTCTCAAGATGTACCCACACAATAATTTGTTGTAACTGGTCAAGCCGCTCAATGGAGCCCTGACAGAGGGAGGCTCCGAGATATGTCGCTCTTTAGTTAGCCGTCATAGCTCAGCGTCCTATACTCATCGTGTCATCCTTCACATCACTCCGGAACAACCTCGCGTTTGTGCTTTGCACTATAATTAGTTTGTAATCAATTGCTCTGTCTAGCCCGCCATGGGGTGCTAAATAGAACACCGGTCGAGTCTTCATCCGCAATGTGCGGCGGGCCGCCAATAAAGACCAAGGACATCATCCGATTAGCCTGGCCGAACTCGGAGTCCGCATTCTTATCAACTTGCCACATCACTGTAGGCGATGAGAGAAGTCTCAACTCACGTCGCTGCGGCTATGTAATTTATTTTTCCGGATTTCGCGGTGTTATTGATTCCACGCTGCGGTCTATGTTGCAGGCGAAATTGTTTCTGCATTCTATGACAACTGGCTTAATGATTCAGGCGCATCAGACTGCGCGCGGGCTATCGTAAAGTCGTTGCGCAAGAAGATTCCACTGGAACAGGTGATTGTATTTCACATAGGTGTCTAGAAATTTGAGATTGCATTCGTCATGTTATCGTATTTTCTGTGAGTTTGCTTACTTTCGTTCCCTCGCTGTCTCAGGTTTTTGCTTGGCCCTAGTTATTCACTGCGTACTCGTTTGGATGACTTGCAGTCACGTGCTGATGTTAAACACAGAACGGAAGCGGAGTTGGTTCCAGACCTTAATAATTAATCCGGATTACTTCCGCGGGGAACGTTTGGCTCCGTCCTTACAACAGGTAAAATAGACATTATGTTCTGGACCTCTGGTAGAATGGCAGAGGATTCATGAAAAGGCCATATGTACCTCTTAAGCAGGGGGCTCGCCGCTTAAAGTGATTTACAGAGCGGCCATAGTAGACGACAAAATATAGTTCCAGGCTGCAGCTGGCCTGCGGGTTTCCGGTACCACTAAGGTCAACTTCACGTTCAGGAGATCTGCAGGACAAAGGGCGACAATCACATGTAGCTCTCACTGACAGGTCGGAATCGCCTTCAACGGGACCTGGCTGGAGCTGCGTGTGTGTGTGCAAGAGTATCTTATCTGACCAAGGTCACTTTCCATCGATTCAAAATCCAATGATTAGGGTAAAAGAAACGCCTTAGGCTTCCGTTACAACCAACACTACTTCTCCCTCTGAACAAACCACGCATGTCATTTTTGCAACATCGGAGATAGTACAAGTGTGCCCGGTGATTCTCATCCTTGAACATGTTGAAAAGTCAAATTTTGATCACGAGCGATGACGGATTGACTTGACGTCGAGTCGATAGACAGGCATTCATCAGAACGTTACCTGGTTGATCCTCGGCGGATATCAGTGCAGTTGGCGTCTTGCATGGTTGCCATCGTGTGAATGGTTGGCTGAGTTACAGTACTACTAGGTGTCAAATGAGTTGACAATGGCTGCAGGCGACAGAGTGAGGTTAGTCAGGTCATGGTACCTTTATACGACTCTGGCTTGTGATAATAAGACATGACCGGTTTTCCGTGCTTCTGCGCCCGCGGCGGCCTCGTCGTCCTCGCGCTTTTGATGGATCTGCTCATGTCTATCAAACAAGGCAATACGGCGCCGTAGGACATCTCGGAAGCCTCGTTGCGCATCTTCTCATGTCTTCTTGAGTAATATGCGGGGCGCTGGTACTTAATTGTAAGAAAGTTGCACCAATGCTGTGGTGCATGAAAATAAGCACAATAAAAATACCGGAGAAAGTGGAGCCTGAGGGAGACGAAATATAGGTTTGACAGGGTGTGAGGGTACTTCCCAAGGGATTTGTGTTTGAGAGGGAGCAATGCTAGCTAACCCTGCCATGCCTCGGCAGTGCCTAAATGAGAACAAGACACAACTGCGATGCTATGATTAACGTCACCAGGTCAGTGTGTTTCGAAAACGTCGGAACTTCAACTTGACTTACTAAAATTATATCAGCGCGCCGCGCTGACTATCTCGATGAAACGACAACAGAGTCTACATACATGGCAAAGAAATATTAGAGACCGTGAGCAGTTGATAGTAATAATCGACCGAGGGAAGACAGCAGGAGTTGCAAGCCCTCGGTGGTGATAGCAACGCCGTTTGCGGTTAGCTAGAAGAGGATCCGAAGGCGCTGCAACGTCAAAATCCGCGATCAAAGGATGTAACTCAGTTCAGAACGCGGATTGAACGTAAGGGAGGGTATTAAAAATTGTAAAGAGTGCCCGGGGATCGGGTATTATGCTGCAGAGCCCAGTGCACTGCTGAGCGGCAAAGCCGACTGAATATCCAAAAGGGTCAATGAATAGGGAACGGATGCAAATAAGTACAAATCCATATAAATTAAAATAAGATTAAATAATCTTCGGCATCAAGCGTTGGTGACATCGGTTAGATAGGTATACGTGAGAGGGATTTGTGATTTCTGGGAAAATAATAAAATAATGCGGAGTTAGCCGATTGATATGAAAGCGTCGTCTTCGTCTTCCTAACTTTACAACCCCATCACTTGTCAGTCCTCCCTCTCTGCATGGTCCTTTGAGGTCTATAAACCCTTTTCTCCCTCATCCCCGATAAGCCTCGCCGCTAACAAGGATTCCGCTTGTAGTCAGTCTTTCTTGTTTTCACAGACTCGATATTTTAATGACCTGCTATAGATCTCGCGACCCTTGCCGGCTTCTCACAATCCGACCTTTAAACGACCCCCACATACCTCAAAGGACCAATCAGTAGTACGCTTGAGCTCGCTCGCGACTCTGATTTATAGCAGCTTGTCGACTATCCACCACTTTACTTGCATATAACCCGTTTCCTAGTGCACCCGCAAATCCCTACAGTCAAGGTCTCCGCTGAGGAAACTCGCGTACCCTACTGTTCTTATCACTGTTTCCTTGTAAAATCGATATCAATTGGTTAATCATCTTTTGTCACCGGAACCCACCTCTCTCTTCTGTTTTACTCGTGTTATCATCTCAATTATACTCTACCTTTCTTTTGTAGAACTCCTGTTTGTCGATCATGGCTCTAACACTTCCAATCGCTTCCTCTTCGTCTCCATCTGCTAGCAATTCTCCTGCTTCAGTAGAGGGTTCTGTTCCCCCACAAACTCCGATTACTCCTGCCGCCGGCCAAACTCTCTCACTTCCGTTGGCATGCTCCACAGAGCAAAACAATAACGTCCAATCACAAAGCTCCAGCACAGCCTCAGCCAATGGCGCTGTTACGCAGGTCAAACGAAAGCCCAGCCGCCGGGCCAATACCGCGGAAAGGCGTGCTACTCACAACGCAGTCGAGAGACAGCGCAGAGAGACTCTCAATGGCAGATTCTTGGCAAGCCTCATTTTCTTGATCAAAAGAACCGCTGATCCGAACGCTATCTTTTTAGGACCTCGCTGCGCTGCTTCCTAATCTTTCGCAGATCCGCAGACCTTCCAAGTCTGCGATCGTTAACTCTTCGATCGCTCACGTTCACGCGTCAAGGCGTCACCGCTTCCTAGCTTCGCGGGAGTTGCGGGCTCTGAAGCAAGAATCTGATGCCCTTCGCCGGGAACTCAACGAATGGCGTGATCGTGCTGGTCTTCCCTATGTGGAAGAGCCTGTTCGTGGAGAAGGCTTTTCCATGGTCCTCAACGGCGAAGTCGAAATTATTGCAACTGTCATGGAAGAAGATGAAGAAGGTCAGGCGTATGACGGATATGATGAGGGTGACGATGAATTCGCTGGTTCGATGCCAAACAACATGGACGACACTGAGGATGTCATGCCCTCTGCGCCGATGGTCAAGAACGGCATGTATGCACATGGGAATATGCCTCCCACTGACGTGAACATCGCGCATTTGATGCCACGCGGCCCGCCCAACTCGCAGGGCGGTCCCATGATCGCTCAGATGCATTCTCCTGTTTCCTTCGAGAACCCGGAAATGCCTTCAATTTACGAACCTCGGGTGAATTTTGCCGCAGCCCCATACATTGAACAACACCATCCCGCTATGGATCAACATAACATGAAAGCGTGGTCGAACACGTACAACGCCTATCACCCTCAACATCCCCAACAATTCTCGGTGCAGCGTAACTTGATCACACCTCCCAATGGCTCGCACAGCATGGGATCGTCGGCAACGACCGGACATCACTTTGGGGACCAGGCGGCCCTTGTCAACCTTAAACGGCAGCAAATGCTAGCGCTCCAACAGCAGCACGGTGCCATGGGTTATGTCGCCGATGCTGACGACACATCATCCGTCGGATCTGGTCACAGCAGCCCTGGCTCTGGATACGGTTCACCATCCCATGGAGCTTCGTCTATGAGCTACGAGATTGCGAATGCCCTCCCCGATTATGGTCTACCCAAAAGGCTGGGCCTGGGAAACCTCCACATCAACACTGGTATCGCAGGGTCGTGGAGCGGCAGGGTCGAGGATGGCATGGGGTCCATGATGACGAAGCAAGGCTTGGGCGTCCCGATAAACGTTGGCAATGGCGGAGTATATGGCATGATGATATGAGGTCTATGAGCTTTTAAGGCGTTGCACACAATTCCCGTGCCGTGCACGGACGCCTTGGGACTTCAGGACGAAGTATCGCTTTTTCTTCTGCTTGCTATGCTCTGACCGCATCTTGTTGTCTACGTTTTCATAACCCACTCCTCTCATTTTGTCTCAGTGACCACTTGCTTGATCATTATAATTATGCGTAGCTTCATCGACTTGCACGCGTTCGCTTTCGTTGTATGTTTTGTCTTTTATCTATGTAACACTAACCACCGAGTAACGAAACCCTCCTTTTTGACCTCACCAAAACTTGCAGTATAAACGCTCTTTACCGTTACTCATTTGGTGTTTTGTATCATCTTTGTCGAATCAAAAGTGTACCACATACATACGCCCCGTTAACGTAAAAGGCGGGTGTCCTTCTAGGATCACAGGATATGGGCGCCGTGTTTGTTGTTTGGCTACCTTACTCGTTACTTATAATTCTAGATTTACATGTACCATGGACCTTGTCAGTGTGCTCGGCCATCTCAATACTGATTCTCATTCCCATCTTTGAGAACTTACCCAGCTAGTGCTCTTCTTGGAAACATTGTGCTTTTTCGCTTCAACATTTAAGCTCAAGCTGGTTTCTATCAGAAACAAGTTATTTTTGGGATCCGCAGGACTTTCATTTATGCTGAACTCCGCGACCACAAATCCTGAATATCTGCTAAGTCTAAATCAGGTACGCCACAATAGCGTAACATGGTACTTTGCAAACTTTATCACGACGTCGCGGATTAAGTGCTCACAAAGTACGCTATCCATATCATGGACTTTTGATAAGAGCTAATACTGTTTCAGCGACATGGAAGATCCAAACCCTGCAGCAACGTCGCCACGACGATTGGCTGTCCTCATCTCAGGAGCGGGTATGTATTGATCTCAATCGCAAGCGTACATCCTATGATATCAGATCGTGGCTACAGGAACTAACCTTCAAGCACTGATCGATGCACAGAACACATCGACCCTGCCTGATACCCGCATCGTCCTTGTTCTTTCCAATCGCAAAAACGCACGTGGTCTGATACGCGCTTCCACCGCCTTGCCTCCGATCCCTACCGCATACCTCGGTCTTCAACCGTTCATTAAATCAAACCCCGGAAAGACGCGCGAGGACTATGATGTCGAGGTCGCGCGTATTGTGTTGCGCGCAAAGCCAGATGCAGTCGTGTGTGCGGGATGGATGCACATCGTGAGCGAGGGGTTCTTGGATGTGTTTAAGGGGACGCGGGTATTGGAGGGCGAGGAGGTGCTTGCGAGGGAAGTACCTGTGATTAACATTCATCCGGCTTTGTTTGGGCAGTTTGATGGTGCGCATGCAGTTGAAAGAGGCTTTGAGGCGTTCCAGAAGGGGGAGGTGGATGAGCTGGGCGTGATGGTGCATCGTGTGGTCAAAGAAGTCGATCGTGGGGAGCCGTTGATTCAGAGAAGAGTGGAGGTAGTGAAGGGGGAGGCGATAGAGGCTTATGAGGAGAGGCTACATAAGGTAGAATGGGAGATTATTGTGGAGGCTACTCGAATAGTGTTGGATGAGGTGCAACCGCCCCTGTCAAGCGACGGTTCAAGTTAACATAATCAGGCCTGCGCGGTGGAAGGCCAACTTGCACAATTACATCTAGGAAGTAACAAAAGGGAAACCAAGATACAGTAAACATTAGAATACAAGAATACAGTATGCAAATTAGTCTACGGGCAGACAATAGGTCTGATTAACGGGAGGGTAAGATACCATTTATCTATATCACAAATTTATGCTCAGAAAGGGAACCGCATAGGGCCTGAGTCGTCCTGGTTTCTATAATGCGAAGGATAACTATCGCTGCAAGTACATCGTCAGCCTTCTCAGACTTCAAGAAGCCAAATCTGGACAACATACCTAGATAGTATGTGATCCTGATGCACGATGGCATTTGGAGCACGTCGGTGATAGGGAGGAGGTGACAACACATTCACGATCATCGGCGACGAAAGCCTGCCATTTCCAGATATTTTATCTTGATCATCCTGTTCAAGATCTTCTTCGGGCCAGAACCGATCAGTGATTTTTTGACCGAGTGGAGGCTGCGTCAAACGGTCAGAATCAATCAATCGAACTGAACGGAAACCAACTTACAGCAAATGTGAGCACCGAAGGGCAAATAGGACTCGCAGGTGTCACAATAATATCGAGGACGGTCGATTCGGCACTTGACTCAGAGCCCACAGGTTTCGGACTGAATTGCGTGTCCCGGGAAGACCAGGAAGATAAGGAGGACGAGGACAACTTCAGGGAGGGAAGTAAAGACCTGCGCTTTGTGGCCCTGGAAGTGAAGGACGATTTTTGCGTACGGGTGGACGAAAGAGAGCTCCTGCGCTTCAGGGTAAGATGATTCGGCAAGAAGAATTCGGAAACGGAGGGTGCGTGCATTCGAAGTTTAATGCTGCGTTGAAGACGTGTAAACACAGAAGGAATGGAGAGAAAGCTTGTAGAGACGGGTTCTGAAAAGGGCATATCACGAGGGATTTGTCGAGATCTAGATGACCGCGAATGACACTACACGGGGTCACTGGCAGGCAAGGAGAACGATGAGGAAGCTTTATAGTGCAGTGCCAACGTCGAGGTGTCCCATCGTCCACGTCCACATCCACATCCACGGATAAAGTGAGAGTGGGCTTTTGTACTGATGGTCATGGTGTGGCCAAAGCGGTGGCGCCCATGGTGTGGACCTGTGTGCTTGGCATTGACCTGCGTACGGAACGAATCGCGGATTGACATATCTATTATAAGCATGGGTGTCTGATGGCTGTGTATGCATACATATGAATGAATGAACACTTGCGTGCAGCTGCGGGCTAGCGAGCTTGCAGGCATAATTACCGAGTAACATCTTCGATCGAGATCCGCGGCCGGTGGCCCGGCGACAATGACGCCAGTGCAACCGGTAACTTGCGCCACAGCTAAGGTCTAGCTCTACGTCTAAGACTATGAGTCACCGACGCCAAATGTGGAATAGCCATAGTGATGCTGTCAAGCTGGGCATCTGCTCAACTAACTAACCGCCAACCCGGCTATCCGCTCGAACCACTGGGTCAGTGCAGCGACCTTCTTGACGGCGGCGTCGCTTTTCCCGAGCCGGAGGTCCGGCCGGAGACGATTATCCTCGCGTGTGTAAGGCATGGTGCGAAAGCAAATCTCCGCGGTGGGCTTGTTATATGGAGAAGCGGTAAGGGTGATCGAGCTGCCTGGCTCGCACGTTGGTGCGAGGTCTGTGATGTGAAGTAACGTGGGTCCATGCAATGCGATCCCAAGGATACGATACGCACTCTCTAGATAAATTATATCTCCACGCTTGACGCCCAGTGCACCCCAAGCCTCTGCAACATCACGCCATGCGGTGAGCTTGCATACTGATCCATCTTCGTCACCCAGAATCATTTTGAGAACAGAAACTTCTTTCCCTGCGTCCGGGCCTTTCTTCACACACACTGTATCAGGGCCTTCCACCTCTAGCGTGGCGAGTAATATATTCACTTTTCTCCCTCTGGCAATTTTTTGGTTGTAGAGGGATGCAAGAGACGAGACCTTATGAAGGCTAATCTGAAAATGCGGGAAGCGAGCTATAGACGACGCGTCGGAGTAAGACACAAAGGTGGTTTCCTGTGTTTGATCCATTGCAAGCTGAGACTGGGACTGGGACTGCGATACGCGCAGGAAGGAAGGTACATCAACGGTGTCTGCAATAGGGGTCGGAGGCCAGGTTATCACCGTCGTCTGCTCTATTTGCACGTATATGAAGTGGAACTCGCGATCGTGGAGCTATGCAATAAACATACCATTCATCAAAGGCTGGCTTCCCTCAGGCCATGCGCTCTTGTCCACACGCTCCTGATCAAGGGCTTCTTCATCACAGTCGTCGAATATAATGTTCTGGTAGAGCAGAGATATTCGTCTGCTTGCGGCCTCCGATGTTGCAGGAGGATATAGTAGTGCTTGGGAGGCCTCTGTTGAAGAATGCTCAATAGTCTTCCAGGTGTACGAACCAGCTGAATGTTTTTTGAGATCACTGACGGATGGGGCGCCGAGGAAGACTCTGAAATGTGTCATCTTAGGAAGGTCTCGGGAGAGAATTACAACTTGGTAGTACTATTTTTAGACTCCGTAATTGAAGTAAATCCAAGCTCAAACGTTAGTGAAGTTCCCTTTCAATTTCCAGTTTGTATTCACTACAACATATGTCTGGTATGTTCAAGTTCATGTGAATAATATGGGCTGTGTAACATACTGAGTGATCATTGCAAATTAACTCGCAAGGTTGAAGGAAGTGTGTTGTTCAAGATCGTTTTAGTAACTGTTCACGGTCATGATCATACCTTATTACTGCTTGGCTAGATTGACAGAGTCCCATTCCAGCTTAATAGAGCGTACGTGCGGGTACCCGAAATGATCCAAGTCAATCTTGGGAACGCCGAAGACGAAGCACTGATCGTAGCTAAGTTTGCTTGGGAACGACTGCGACTTTGATAGTAGAACATCTTCGCTTATTCTACGGTGATAACTCCTAGATCTCATCGTAGACGCTTCGAAGTGTATAGCGCCGTTTCTTGAAATGATTGGTCTGCGGCCGATGCACGCAGACCTCAGGTTGGTATATCTCAAATTCGTACTGCCTGTTCCCATCAGAATCGCTGATAGTAAAATGAAATGATTCCTCGCAGGCATATCAAAGAACATGGAACGTTACATTCTTTTCTTCTATCCACGCATTGGGCCCAGCCTGGCATAGATGCAACCAGCGTTAATTTTGAGCAGAAGGACGACAATCACGAGCTCTCACCCCAATAAGCGCCACATCCGTTACCCTGAGGAACGCACTGCCCATCAAATCAGAAGGAACTCAAACATCAAATTTCTAATATGGCTGAAAGCCACTTTGGTTCGAGTTACGCTCTTGTGGCTTGTAGGGCCCGTTGTAGATGATGTCACCGAGTGCCTCGCCTGGCCAGCGGCTTGGATGACATGATTGGATTGCAATTACGCCAACTACATCTTGCAACTAAGACTGGAAACCCAGTGGACTAATTCAATCGTCTGATCCCGATGGGACGAGAATATTGTGTCTGGTGGCTTACTGATCAAACAATGTCGACGTTAAGGTTCCTTCCAGCACCAACTGTAAACATTTTGTGCAAACGCAGCTACGGTGAAAGTGGAAGCGAGGAAGACACTTGAAGTCCTCATCACAGTTCCACGATATATTGGCAGGGAGACTGAAGTTGAAGATGCTTTCAGGGTACTGCCGACCTCCATGGTATGTATTCTTGATGGATATATAGCGCCGTTCAAAATTTCGGGTCAAGCATGAGGCTGTGGAGCTCGATGTATTAGTACTCGTAATTCTCATATCTAGATGAAATGTCCTCGTGCAGCTACAAACGTGTCCACATGGTGGGGCGGTCAGGGGTTTCCGGGGTGATCATCATCTGTGAATGGATCATGTTTCCATTACATCCATTTCTTCTTTCGAAGTCATTCGTCCTGGCAATTAAGAACGTGATGGAGCACCAAGCAGCATTCCAGTTGCCAAAGTGATACTGCAATACAATGAATCGTGCCATAGGCTGCGAAATAAGCTGGTTAACTAGTACCGATATATATTTTTATCTCCATCCAAGGCGGTCTAACCACACTCAGTATTGGCTCTACACCAGTCACAGAATGCAACACGTACCCCAATGAGGGAAAAATGAGTGACGGTGAAGAGGGCGCTACTATTACTTATAGATTGAGGGATCTTAATGTTGGAGTCTTCGCTCGGTTGCTTGAAGTTCATGCGGGGATTAAATGGATCACTAATAGAGAACTTCGCCTAGCGCTTCAGCCTGAGGGGCACAAAGATTCCATGTGCGTGAGCGGCTAGCAACGACGACTCGGAAGTAGACAATGAGTCCCTGTACAACGTAAAATCGAGATTGTACCTGGAGAGGACTCATTAACTTACTGGTTTCCCAATAGTGATCGTTATTTTTTTTCCTGGAGACAGTCGTGCCCGCCAATGATGACATTATAAAGACCTATTATGCAGAAGCAATGCTCAAAAAAGCAAGGCGACGATCGGTTTGACGACTCTCATTTTGAGAAGTGGATGTAGTGAGTCATCCTGGAATACTAGTAATACTCAGTTGCCGTGCGTCTTACTATATATCTGCGAAATTCATCATTCTGTATGTCAGCAGGTTCGAGAAAGGCCTCTACGAAAGTGACGTACAGCTTGAAAACCATGCCTACAAGGAGAGAAAGGCCATGGAAGGAGAACAGCATGCCAAAGGCTTAGGTTCAGCGTGACTGCGCAGTTCGGGTCTTGCGCCACTGGCAAGTCCGAAGAAGACGTCTGCAGCATGTACTAGTAGGTCCGGGCGAATCTGATGGTAGCCTGCGCAAGAGTCAATCGCGGTTATGTGAAAAGCTTATGTGGCTGTAAATGGGCCTTAGCATAAAAAATCGAGTTATTCACGGACTGCTTGTGGGTGGAGCGTTGGTATGCATTTACGTCGATTTCTAATCGTTTACGCAATTTGCTGATCTTAAACTTAGTTTCAACAGTCAACCAGCTGCACACCAGTCACCAGTCCTAATCAACTTTGAGTCCGCTGCGTTCAGCCAGCTCACTCATACACGCATTGATCATAGCCTTCAACATTTAACTTTGAATGAAAGCTATGCATGTTATGAGCATTTTCCGAATGTCGCCGGCTCCATTGACATGAGAAGTATTCCTGTGTTCACTAGGCTGGAATGGATTATTACCGATCAAGTCAGTGGTCAGCTCAAGCTGTCAACGGAACAATATTTTGATGGCACAGCGTCCTGGAATTTTCTGACACGTATGGTTTCAAAGTTGCGGCGAATGCTGCCCTCTCGCCCAAAGCCAAAAGCATGCTGCATATAAAAGGGTGAGCTTTCATCGTCCACCAATTCTACAGAATCATTCATCATGAAGTCAGTTCTCTCCCTCGCTCTTTTTGTAGCCTCTGCTTTCGCTCAGGGCGCTGTAATTGGATACCCTCCGCAAGGTCTTTCAGTCTCTCCTGGAAGCAATTTGATTGTTCAGGTAGAGAGACCTGTGAGTTTCTGACATGCAATCATGCCTGTTCCTCAATTAATGCTTGTTTTACAGGCTACATTGACGGGTTCTGTGGAAGTTGCTGTCGTCATTGGCATACAGTCATGCCCAGGAACGCCGTGCATTAACCCTGCTGATTACATGGGTCAAATTTTGTACAACGGTCCCTTCGACCCACAGGTTCATGGATTATATCTTCCCCCTTATGAAAACTTCACAGTTCAAATTCCGAGTAGCATTGCCAGCGGAACCGCTCTTCTTGAGGTTGTTCATGTCACTCTTGTGGGAGTGAGTGTCCTAAACATTATTCAAAAGTGCTCGCAACTAATGTTATGGTCTAGGCTTCGGCGGGCCCTTTCCTGGAGATTCTGAACCGCACTATTACAATTTCATGATCATGTTTCTCATTTCATCGTTATGGACCTTTTGGGACTATTTGGATATAGACGCTGTAGTGCAGTATCGCACGCATACATATAAATCGGTTGGTAGTACATGTTTCTGTAATTCCTATGATGTCCTACATCCTATTCAAGTGCTTACGAATTCTCGCGATTGTGCTGCATGTCATAATGTCACAGTACTGTATATATAGGAAGTACTGAGTACGAATCGTCGAACATACTCATGTGGCACTAGTAGTGATTACGAATTCCGAGGTGTTCCGGATACCCAAATCAGTTCATCGGGATTCGGGACGGACCGTGTTTACCTGTGACGCCCACGTAGCCTATTTTCGCATTCATCGTCACATAGGACGAAGAACTATCTTCCTTCTATTTGGTGACCGGTCTGGTTACAGGAGACTATTCAACACTATGGCAAAGCCAAGCTTAAACATTTTGCCTCAAAACTAAGCTAGTTTCACTGCGGCATTCCCTTGACATGCAGCTGTGGACAAGTCCGGACCGAAGTCACCGAGAGGCCCGAGACGCACCCTCAGCCTAGCGAGTTATGGATTCTTGTATGGCGGGCGGCGTTGATGCTCCGAGTAAAATGGTGTAGTACAAACCTTCTCGTTAGATCGATTGTCGTGCCTGATTTTATTGCATAGAGCTGTAACCCTACCATGGCAGACCATGGCTCGCATACCGGTAGAGCCTATCGCTCACTAGTAAGGCTAATTAGTGCTCGACTCATTCCCCGGAGAGAGCGCGTTATTGCTCACATCCGACTCATTCCAATGGTATCTGCCATTCCGAATGCGCACCCCTTACGCTAGTAACCATCATTGATAATAGCATCAGAAGTAATATTGTTTCATACTCAAACTTAATTCAAAACATGGAACGTTCCTCATCCACATCACATTTTTCAGGACACGGGCAAGAAGACCTTCGATGCATCAAAACAGCGAACGCATGCACAGTCATAATGCCTTTCGCGGCACCTGCACTGGCAGATAGTGTTACGGTTATTGTTCACCGAGACCGTTGCCTCATTCCGATTCCACCGGTCAACTGGATCGGTTGCTTTACCTGCCTGACAGTAACATGAATCATATGCTTTAAAATGATGATTATAGTCAATAATCGTAAGTAGTTTCATGTGAAACTATACTACGGAGTATGTTTAACTCTGATTAATCCTTGTAGAACTAAATGAGCACTTTACAGAAAATACATGAGCTTCATTTGCCCATTGGGCAGCACCTGCCGCTTTTTTGTCCACACACGTGCCATTTTCCAAGCTTAGCTCATGGCACAGACTGCGGATAGCTAACTCAACATCGCGGACACCGGAGTCGAGTAGGTAAGTAGCACGACATCAACCTTGCATCACTTGGATATTCACAATCCCCAGGTTAGTCAACGGTGTATCTTCATTATTGTGGCGTTTACATCTCCGTTATGGTGCTATGCATTTGCATGAGGTGCTGACATCCCTATAGATGCCCTGTATATGGTTTGGAGACTACCAAATGTAGCACCCGCTCAGCACATATAAACCTCGGCACTGCGACGCATTCACCATCTCTTTAGAATCTGCACGCTCACAGTTGCAATGTACTTCCTAATCAAAGCAATAGTTGTCACCGTTCTCATGGTAGTGTCTGTTTGCGCTCAGAACGCCTACATTAACCTGCCTGCGCCTGGCTCCGATATTACTGCAGGCACCAACTTTACTGTGCAAATAGGCCTCCCGGTGAGCTCTCAAACTCTCATTCTTTAGAGTGTGATGTTCAACCACTTGCATCATCAGAACAATCTCACTGGCGGTAAGGAGATAGCGATTGTGATTGCTATCCAGTCTTGCCCAACTGGGGACTGTCTGCCCATTAGTGAGGATATGGGTACTCTCTTGTACGAAGGCCCGTTCAATCCTCAGTATGGGCCGGGCGCGGAAGACCCATATGAAGACTTCTCTGTTCAAGTCCCCGCATCCTTCGCTACCGGGCAAGCACAGCTTGGACTTGCTCATTTTAACCTCGTTGGAGTACGTTATTCCCTGGCTATATTTGATGTACATATCTGACACGCGTTGCAGGAGCTTTTCTGGCCGTACTTACAACTCGTGAATGAGACTGTTTACGTTGTTTAGGTGGCCCTGCACCAAGGCTGTACAATATATATGATCTACGCAGTTGATGTAATACACGATGCCTGCCGCGTTGAAATAATCACATGTTTGTTCCAGAGCGCGGTCGCCCATCAAAATAATCACCATACCGACTGGTTCATGTAAGGCTACCTGTACGATCTGCAAGGGTTTTTCATATCGTTAAGCTGCATAGCTCGAGACCGGAATACTGGATCGATCTCTCTATGAAGTTCGCCGCACATCGTGGTAGGCATCTTCCTCCCTTTTAGGATATCTTCATTGTAGCCATCAGTTCGAGGTCCAGCGTTTGCTTCCATTGCCCCCGATCTTATTCGAAGATGGAAAGTCTTGGTCATCCCGAACAAAGCTCATATCACGTTTCCGACGACAGTCGGTGGCATCGGCGTACAAAGTGTGATATTAGCATCATGAGGCAGGCGACGATGTAAGTGTGTGTGGTACGCTCTAGAGCATTCTGAGACCGTCACCGACGACACAACCAACTTTGTACACAGTATCGTAGCTGCCTTTTGGGAAGGTGGACTGATTCGTAGATTGGTTTCGCTTTGCGCGCAGTCGACAAGCACATAAACTAACCCATTATTCTAGAAGACTGCATCTGATACCAACGACAGCCATCGACTCGGATGCAGATGCGGGCCCCTGACTGATTGGCGACTGATTTGTAATACGGATCTGATAGTGATCTCCAAGGATTTTAGATCATCAATCGAGTAGAAATTGAAGTTGTGAGATTTATACGTGCGCCACGAAGACAAACCCCAAGCCAGGTCCTCACGTTTAGATAAAGGTGCCGCCGATAAAAATACAGGATGTTGTCGTCTGGCAGTGAGAAGACCTCCGACCGCACGAGAGATCAAGTTAACTTTTAAAATAGAGCTTGTTGGCTATACCTTTGCAACAATATATATATGTGAACGTTGCATGCGCTATGCCCATGCGGCATCTCACCCCAACCTGAACTTGAGTTGGTGACGACAATTGGACACGGTGGCCTCTGGCTTGACGTTCTAATGTTAGATCCTGGAAGAACATGTAAACCGGTGAGGGAAAGCTGCGAAGAGAAAGTGAGTAACCGGGAGTGGGATGGAAAGGCCGGTGTGGAGTAAATCGTGGATGATATGATTTCCAAACACGTTATGGCAACGTGCTGCTAGGTAGCGATGAGGATACTTATAGAGGGAAAGCTGGGAAGATGCCAGAAATCGAAAGGGAGAGAGGGAGAATTCAGGAGCGCTGGCCCTCTAGAGGAGAATCGTACGTGAAAAAAATAAAATTACAAAACCATTATATTGTATACGTACATGGTACTGGCCGAGAAGCTGTGGAGAGAAGGGAAGTACAGAAAAGTACGGTGGAGAATCAATATGATTACACTAGCGAAGCTAACTAGTAGCTTCGAGGCACCGTGACAAGAAGCTGTATCAAAGCCAGGGATCAACATTAGGTAATATGCATTTAGCAGGGGAGTGCTAAAGATACACTGCAAAGGATCATGCAAGAACAACTGCACGGATGAGCGTCCGAATTATACAAAATGCGCGACGAGTACACGTGGACCATGAGAATAAAAGATGAAAGACAACAACACATGTGTGAGTAAAGGCAAAACATAACTAGCATGAGCTAGAGCGACTCGATAAACTTTGTGCCTCCCTCAAAAGTCCGCACTGATGTCGATGATTGTGTAGAGAAATGACGGTGGTCGGGCGGGTGCACCTCTTCGTCATCCACACTTGCGTCTCGATGCGATCCAGGGGACATAGGTGAGCTCGACAGTGAGAGCGGTGACTGCGACCGTGCAAAAGTCACCCGCTGTGGCGATGTTACATGCAATGGGCCCTTTGCGTACGAATCCCCGTAATGCATCGGTGTATACGACTCCGCATCTGACAGCGGCGAGTCAATTTCCGGGACCTGGGGGCTGTAAGGTCCCTCTTGAAAAGACCTGGAAAAGGGTTCCATGGGCTGCTGTGCCCTACGTTCTTCACCGTGATCTGAATTAATCTCCCATTCATCACCTGAGCCAGCTTGGATCCAGCCACGCCCACCTCGTCGTCCGCCGCTTCTGCTCCTACTACTCCATCTATCTGCCCATATCCCACGGAGCTTGTCCCCAAAGGAGCCGTGTTCTGCTGTTGAATCGTGTGCTTGGAGGTCGCGGTTACGGCGGTAGTGCTCACGGCGGGCATTGCGATCTTGTTCGGAGGGTTCATGATTGCGCAGGAGGAAGAAGACTGCAATACAGCAGATGATAATGAGCAAGCTCAAAGTGACGACGAGTCCGATGAAACCTGTTGGAGATTGATATTTGAGATATTACTCGTACAATTACATGTTGGAGCAGAGCAGGGGAAGCCACATACCGCCTTGTGAACCGCCAATTTCCGGGACCGCTCGTCTACTTAGCATGGCGGCATCGTGGGCTAGACTGTCTACAGATATAAAGAAGAAGCAGGTAACAAAGAGTGTAGCGTATGGTGAACCCCTCATGAACATGGTCATGATGGCGCGAACTGTTCACTCTGGAGGTGATGATGGAGCAGCTTCTCAAAACTGGGTGAGAGACTGGGTCACTAGGGTGAATAGCGCTGGGCAGTTTGACACGGCGATTTGAAAACCGTGTGTGAGGTGTAACTTGACGCTGGCATGCGCATTGCGCACGCCAGTGCCACGAATAAACTTTGACCAAGGTTCAGTCCGGTCGGCTTTCGGAGTATCGCCGAGCTTCGTTGCACTCGTCCAACAACTTGAGCGCTCAGTAGGTCTTTAATTAGCATTCATTTTGGTGGAAAGAAATCGAAGATAGATGTATCAGCGATATAATCATACTATAGGGAGTTTTGGCAGATAAACGAGGGGATATCAGAAATAATGCTATGTCAATGACAACATATCCGAGTCATCAACCATTTGTTATCGTACGAGGTACAGGTAGGAGAAAATTGTTCATGGCCGTTTAAATTCTGAGTGACGAATTACGAGAAATAAACAGTTTTGTGAGTTGGAGTCGAGGAAGATAGACGAAGTGATCCCTTGATTTTGAAACGATGACTGGACGCTCGATGTCGTGAGGCTGTACCATTTTGGGCGAGCACTAGTGGAAGACATGTTCTTCTTCGAGTTGGAAGAGTCCTAACCTGGAACAGAATTGATGAGATATATTTGTACGTGACGAGTTCGAATACAGGGCAGGGTTTGTAGTGATCTTCTGCGACTAGCCACTCGGAAATTACTTGCATTCTGATCCGAAACTTTGGTCGTGTCGGTATCAGTGATAGTCAGAACTGCATGAAATGGAGAACGTTAACCTTCGAGTTGTGTTATGTGCCAGCTTCTTGTGAGTAATGATTGTCGTAGCCTAGTAGTCGTTAATATCGCAGAACATAACCCGGAATCATTGCCAAACATGATCGAGCTGGAAGTGCGCATGAAGGTCATCATGATGGTCACGTTCAGTTGATTCAATATCGAAACAGATCTGGACATCGCGGGTCAGCTGAAACTGTGTCGCACGCCTGTTGTATGAACGCGAGTTGCGTTTTTCTTCTACAAAATTGAACCGCACCTATGATATCAATCTGGACCCACTGGCAGTTCTGCCATATGTTGATTCCCATTATGCAATGACGACATTAATTTTAACGACATTCCGCTACTATTCTGCGCTGTGATTATTGGTGGTCGTGTATGATAAATATGTAGTACTTACTAGTACTGACGCGGATTCTGCAGCTGCAGCTGCCAATTGTCCTTGACGCAAACCAACGCTTTCATCGTGAGGCATCCACACTGTTACATAGCGCACCACGGATTGCAACACTCACGAGGTGGATGGAAAGGTTAAGGGATCCCGGACTCCGACTCTATTCGGTTTGTATCATGTATATGCTACTTATTTTCTTACATAATCATACGTGTCATTATTTCAATCAACATTACAGTCGCCTTCGATTCGGAACGTGCAAAATTATTACGACGTCGGTTTACTTCAGTTTCACGAATTTCGTGATGAGATCATCAAGCTTTCAAGGTGTGAACCGCATCAGAACCTCAAATCTTTCAAATCGCGTTTTGGATTGGTGCAATCACAGAGACAGCAGCTGAAGCGCTTCGGATAACTGACTGGCAGCTTGACCAACATTGTATTACCCTTGCCGCTTGCGTCTTCTCAGTACTCCGGGATCAGGTCAACGGTTTTGGCATGATCAAGCTGTCAAAGAGCCGCGCTTACCAAAGACGTCTCGTCATCGAAGCCATTAGCCACGTCGCTCTCCTGTAACATCAGAACACTCGCGCTCCGCCTTCCAATTTCTGTGCCTTCGGCGCATCCGCGTTTGGTGTTGCATGTTCTAGCATTCTAGAATTGTAACGGGTACTTTCGCATCGTATGAAACGCAGTACGGTGCCCTTGCAAGAGTCTTAATTCAACTTGAAGCGCTGTTATTGACTATGCTCACAAGTGGCGGCCAAAATAACGGAAATAGGTCAGCACAAACTTTGGTGTTATTATGTGAACTCAATTCCTTACATCTTCAGCTACATAAACGAAGTCGGTACTCACCTTCGAGTTCGAACATAACGAGAGTACTTCGCGAATCCGATTTTTTTCAACATCTTCACCCAACCATGTTTTTGTCACCTCCGGTGACAGGGTATGCCGAGGCGAACATGACGAGACCATGATGCGATACCATGCTCCGTATGTCGGCTGCATTATGTATGCGACACGAAGTTTATGCTCATACGAACATTATCCTAGGTTGCTCGAGCTCAGTCATCGATTTTTCCATCAATCATTTACCACCCGTTTATGGGCACGTTACTTACCTTAGTTCTAGCCGAATTCTTTGCATCAGATGTGCTCTGACGAGATATAATTCGGCTTGAATTAACCCATAGAAGCAGAGTTGTTCAGTCAGAGAGCCCGCTGCATGAAACTTGAAATTCATGTCATGCCGGCTACCCTTACAAATGGATTCCGATATGATTCTAGGAGCACTTTGCAAGCGAACCATAACATGCCTTCCTCGTAAGTACCAGACGCCCATTACAGTTTATTTGTTGATCCGCTTCTACGACATTTGATTAGGTTGAGTCATTTCACGAGGGCATAGAAAGAATTGTTACAGCAAGGGAAGCAACTTGAGGTTCGTACCAGCCAGACACGACACACGGACCCGAAATTATCCTGATATCTGTTCTTACGATGGTGACGTCCTTGTTTGTGGCAAGCAAATTGCATATTGTCTTCTTCTCAATTAAACTGTTTGGATCGAAGTACTGCTATTTTCGTCAGGTGGTTTGGAGGGGTATAAAAGTTCTTGCGACTCTGAATGGATCCGATATCGATACTGGTCACTCCTCCCGATCTCAATATGCAGCTCTCACATGCTTTCACGACACTCATGGCCTTCGTCGTTATTGCTGCGGCATATCCAACACCACATTTGTTGATGAGACGTGAGTTCATATGTCGCCCGACTTAGTCAGATCGATGCTGATATACTGCGTAGCGTTGGCTAGGCGCGATGTGCTTACCTCTAACTTCGATGGTTACAAAAACACTAGGGCTGTCGGCTCTCCCAGCCCAGTCACCCCACTCATCACGCCCAACCCTAACGTTGATTCGCCTCACGCGGACTCGCCTCATGGAGTTGAGAAGTACGGGGAACTTGACTCCAACTTTCCTATCAGTAGCAATGGGCCTGAATCTAGGGACCTCGGCGCTCCCGGCGCGCTCGACTCGCCTAACAAGCGTGCGGAGCTTGATAACACCACCTGTTCCGAACCTACTCTACCTACAGGGGGTGAGTCGTCTAGCAAGCGTGACAATACAACCACGTGTCCTCCCGCACCTACCGCACCTACCATGCCTACAGCGCCTGATTCGTCTAGCAAGCGCGAAGAGGTTGGCTCCACCACAACCACCTGTCCTACCGCACCTACAAGGGGTGACGAGTCTAGCAAGCGCCAGGAGCATGGTAACACAACCACCTGCACTCCTGCAACCACAGGGGGTGACGAGTCTAGCAAGCGTGAGGTTGGCTCCAACACAACCCCTTGTCCTACCGCACCTACAGGGGGTGACGAGTCTAGCAAGCGCCAGGAGCCTGGTAACACAACCACCTGCACTCCTGCAACCACAGGGGGTGACGAGTCTAGCAAGCGTGAGGTTGGCTCCAACACAACCCCTTGTCCTACCGCACCTACAGGGGGTGATGAGTCTAGCAAGCGTCAGGAGCCTGGTAACACAACCACCTGCACTCCTGCAACCACAGGAGGTGACGAGTCTAGCAAGCGCCAGGAGCTTGACTCCAACACAACCACGTGCCCTACTGCACCTACCCTACCTGCAGGGGGTACTGAGTCTAGCAAGCGTGGGGAGCTCGACTCCAACACGACCACCTGTCCTACCGCACCTACCCTACCTGCAGGGGGTACCGAGTCTAGCAAACGTGAGGAGCATCACTCCAACGTTCCTGGCACACCTAGTGCGCCTAACACTAGGGACGTCGGCCTGTTCGACGAGAGCTCTCCCAGCTCTCCCGGTTCCCCCAGCTCTCCCGGTTCCCCCAGCTCTCCCGGTTCTCCCGGTTCTCCTAGCACGCCCGACTCGCGCGACGTGCACTCACTTGACAAGCGCGTAGAGCTGGATTCCAACGGTCCTCCCACACCTGATGCGCCGTTCACTAGAGACAACAGCCACCTAAGCTCTCTCAGCTCTCCCGACTCTCTCAGGTCTTCCAACTCTCTTAGCTCTCCCAGCTCTCCCAGTTCTCCCAGCACTCCTGACGGGCCTGACAAGCGCGGAGAGCTTGACTCCAACGGTCCTAGCAAACCTGAGATGCCAAACAAGCGCACGGTGCTAGACTCTAACCGCCATAACAAACCTGAGTCGCCAAGGAAGCACGCAGCCTTCGACTCCAATGGTCCTAACAAACCTGAGTCCGACTCCAACGGTCCTAGCAAACCTGAGAGGCCAAACACGCGCACGGTGCTCGACTCCAACGGCCCTAGCAGACCTGAGATGCCAAACAGGCGCACGGTGCTCGACTCCAACGGCCCTAGCAGACCTGAGTCGCCAAGCAAGCGCGGGGAGATCGACTTCAACGGCCCTAACACACCTGAGTCGCCAAGCAAGCGCGCGGCATTCGACTCCAACGGCCCTAGCAGACCTGAGTCGCCAAGCAAGCGCGCGGAATTCGACTCCAACGGTCCCAGCAGACCTGAGATGCCAAACAGGCGCGCGGAATTCGATTCCAACGGTCCCAGCAGACCTGAGATGCCAAACAGGCGTACGGAGCTTGACTCCAACGGCCCTAGCAGACCTGAGATGCCAAACAAGCGCACGGAGCTTGACTCCAACGGTCCCAGCAGACCTGAGATGCCAAACAGGCGTACGGAGCTTGACTCCAACGGCCCTAGCACGCCCAACTTTCCAGGCAAACGCTTTGGGGGTCCTGATCACACGCGCCTTCACTCTGGCGATCCTGACAAGCCTGATGGTCCTGATGGTCTTAACGGGCTGTTTTAGGCTGATCAAGAAGCGATCTAACCATGTCATTTGTCCGATGGAGGTACGTTGTTCTCTTTCTGCGTTGTTATCCTGCATGACTCTGTACTTTTCAGGTTCAAAATAGAGGGTGTTATAGCGCCGTCGATCACTATGTACTTTGAACATTATTTTTGTTATATGCGTTTTATTGTTATATCTTTATGGAGGATACATACACGTTGGTATATGATTTTGTTGCATAATGCTTATCATTAGGAAATATACATTTTTATGGACTGAGGTCGACTCATCAAGAACCACGATCACGATTCAACGCGCCGCAGATCAATTTGATACTCATCCCCCGAAGATTATCCTATCTCACCAAGGCTCTTAATGATTGAGACTATAAAACAAAGGTAATGACAAGACAAATTTGCCTTCTTCTCACAATCAATATCTACGGCTCGAGAGTACTGTGTAATGACTGTCGAAAGCTCTGTCCATCGCGACGACCGTAGATGCGCTCAACCGTGTCAACACATGCTACATTCCAGACAGCGAAAACATTACTTATAAGAAACAGTTAGAACGACGGCATGTAAGATAGGAGTGCTTTGTACAGTCGGAGATCCGACACACTGATACAAATCATACGTGAATAGTAGAATGACCCACAAAAAACCGACAGCTACGAGATGAAAGTAATACACCAGAAGACGTTACAAGCCTTGCTGACGTGTTTGATCTTTTCGCTGCATTCACGAATGGACTCACTCAGGGAGTGGGTCCAAGCGCGATTGCAGCGCAAGCTGCCATACATGCCCCAAGGGCTGCATTGCAAGCTATAATGGCGGGAGGAGCCGCAGGCAGTGCGACGCCGAATGTAAAACCGGCTGCAGAGTAGCACGCAACAGCGATTCCGTTGCAGCCTGCTCAAAAAGTGGAGACAGCTGTACACGATGATCGTGCTCGTCGACCTTACCAGTTTGACAGATAGCATATGCGATTGGGCCTGCTACTGCGGGCCCAGCTGTCGCAGCGAGGAGAAGGATGGTACTCGGATTAAGCTTCATCTTGTGAATAGATATCAGTCAACGGCAGACTCTATTGAATGAGATGGTGAAGAAGAACCTGTAGCGGTGTAGCTCGATGCCACTAACGCAGAGTCGAATCGAAGATTTTCTTAGAGCGAGAAGTCAGGAGAGAGGAGTGCGAAGTGACTATATAGTACCCCTATGGAGGCCAATTTCAAAAGAGGCGACACCCCTGTCACGTCGCTGCGAAGCGGATTCCGATTATTATCTAGTAATAAGTTGGAACTGAACACTCACAGCGGCTGAACTTCTGTCATCGGAGAAATATTCTAACCAATGCTCTCGTATAGGTCGAAATACAGCACAGCGAGGGATCGCGTGCTTACAAGGCTTCAGTCGTTCGAACCACTGAGTCTGATAAGCTTCAGCTCGGAACATGTACAAATAAATAAAGGCGCGCCCAAGACTCGGACTCGATCATCTTGAATGGATTTGTCCTTGCAATAAGTATTGTCGTGACACCATTGCCCCGGTATTTGCACCTAAGCATCGATCGGTGAAGTTTCTTGATAGCCTTTTGCCTGATTAACCTGCTTCGGCCTTCGAGATGACATGTTATTAATAGTTCAGGCTAACGGGCGCTTCCAACCATATGATAGACGCCAGTCGATCCTATTCGCTACCCACTACGCCTCCTACTTCCATTCTACCAAACCACGCACATCCACCTATCTTTCCCACTTACTAGATGGATGAAAACAATCCTCCTCGCAAGAATCGCTGGAGGCAGCTGAAGCCAAGTCAATCAGACCCTCATTTGGTACAAGAGAGAGGCAGGACGACAGCCAGTCACGATGTATGAACTTTCATATTAGCATTCACATCATATCTAATCGTTACAGCCGTCCTCTCTCTCGCCTTCGAGGAATGGATCTCATGCACGACGCCCAGGCCCAGTTTGCAAGCTCTTTGGCAAGGTGACCAAGCGCTTCGCTCGAAGCGCTCGACAATTTCCAAACCCTGAACCTACGACTGCAAGTTCCAGCCTGCAGGACACCCAACCTGTTCAGTCAACTAAAGTAAGCGTAATCTAAACTCTGAATGTGCCCTGTGTGCTATGATTAGTACTAATCGCTTCTGCAGGATCTCACCCCTCCCACTCTCGAACCAGATTGCGAGCAGTCTTCCCATTCAGGGATCGTAGAAGGAAGTTCGACTAACGACGTTCGGAATATCTTCATTCGTCTCTTTCGACGATGTGCTGACGTCTATACTTAGGCCAAACATCTCGACCCGAAATTTGCGAACGAAAGAATCGCCAATGCTAACAAAGGTCTCGCAGGCACCAGCCGTGTCCCAACAATAGTCCAAGATGCTTCTTCTGCTACCAACAACCTACCATCTGTTTCTGATGCAATCAATACGTTCTCCGGGTTCCTTGAACCATTGAAGGCATTCAACTCCGTCGCCAACGCGATTGCAGATGTACAAACTATCTATTTCTCTTCTGTATGCGACTAACATTCGTGCGCAGGTCCATCCCTACGCGAAGGTGGCGCTGAGCATCTTCACTTGCGCATCCAAGGTAGGACTCTTACTCAATCATCGCCGTTGCAGGTTGACAAAGTCTCGGTAACAGATGATTCTCGATCAGGCAGACCGTGATGTCGCTGTCTCTCTTCTCCTCTCAAAGATATCTGAAGTCTATACTTTTATCACGGAGGAGGAGGAACTGGCTAAGATTAAGTCTATGCTAGCGATATATGGGAAGATAGCGCAGCAGACACTGGAGTGCGCTGATTTCATCAGCCATTACTCTGAGACGAAAAGCGCCTGTGAGTCGATCCCACCGTTTAGTCCCTCAAGGCTCAATTTACCTGTTTGTATAGGGATAAGACTTGGCAAGCACATTTTCGATGAAACGGATACCACCATCAAGAACTACAACGATGTCCTTGATAGTCTCATGCAGCAATTCCGAGACCGGGCGGCTCGTGATACCCTTGTGATCGTCCACCATATGGGTATGAGTCGGTTTTCAGGTCTCTGCGCCTCATCTGACGTACCACGATCCCTGGCATAGCTGAGAGTTTGGACCTCGCAGGCATGGAGTACGCAACGGGCGCAGGATTAAATACGTCTAAATGTTGTTTGCCAAATACTCGGCAAGACCTTCTGAAGGACATTCAGAACTGGATCAGCAGCACCGAGGAGGGCGCACCACGGATCTTGTGGTTGTCTGGCACAGCAGGCAAGGGTAAATCTGCTGTTGCCCATACAATAGCCAGGTGGTACATCGAACACGGTGGTCTCGGGTCATGCTTCTGCTTCGACCGTACTCGGCAAGCGGATCGCCGTCAAGACAAAATATTCACGACGATCGCAAGCGAATTGGCGGACTGCAACCCCATCGTGCGGCGAGCGTTGGCGCAGGCAGTTCGTGATCACAACGGACTCAAGCGGACTCCAGATATCGCAAAACAATGGCAGGAACTAATCATCGGTCCTACAAGCATAGCCTCAAAAGCGATCGCTGCACCCGTCCTGATTGTCATCGAGGCATTGGATGAGAGCGGTGAAGCTAATTCCCGGGAACAGATTCTTCGTCTACTCGCTGGCAAATTGAACACTTCCACTTCACAACTATCCGAACTCCAACCAACTTCCGCATCCTTCTCACTTCCCGTCCCCTCGAAGACATTCACAACACTCTGCACGCTGCGCCACATGTTCGCCATATCTCCCTGGATGACATCTCGTCTGAGTCCACAGAACGCGACATCGAACTTTATGTCTCCCACAGGCTAGAAGATTTGCATCACATTTTCAACGATGACCACTTCAAGGCGCTCGCTCTGAAATCTGATGGCCTGTTTGAATGGGCTCGTCTCGCCTCAGAATATATCAAGAGCACGAACATCGTGAGCCGAGGCCCGATGCGCCGTTTCCACGACATTTCTGAAACATCTGCCAAAGGCGTACATCTTCTGGACGAGATGTACCAACGCATCTTGGCAGAAATCATGCCGAAGCACATGCATGAGGAGGCGATTCCTATCTTTCGGTCCGTGATGGGTCAAATTCTTGCATCGTCGGAACCACTTCCCATCAATGTGTTGAACACGATGCGACGGTGTTTCCCATGCAATGATGACCGCTATGACGTAAAGTTGCTCATGGGGCATCTTGGCTCGCTTGTCTCCGGCACCTCAGATTCTGATATTCCCATACGTCCCCTTCACGCATCATTCTACGACTTCCTCACGGACGAATCACGGAGCCGTGACTTCTTTGTTGATGCATCAGCGGCGCATAGAGATCTTGCCTTCGCCTCGCTTCGGGTCATGGACTCGGAGCGCGGGCTTCGCTTCAACATCTGCTCGTTAGAGAATTCGTACTTGCCCAACTCTTCCGTCCCTGATTTGGAGAAACGAGTCAAAGAATCCATTCCAGCTGAGCTATCATACTCATGTCGGTTTTGGGGGACTCATGTTGGCTCTACGTCCTTCGAATCACCGCTCGTTCAGGAAGTCGAGGCCTTCTTCGATGGAGAGCGCCTTCTTTGGTGGTTGGAAGCACTGGCTCTGATGAGAAGCCTCGGTGGCTCGGCAGCGACCCTCTCATGTATTGCAGATTGGTTTTCGGTGCGTAGCTCGAACTCATTCTTTTCGCAACAACTTCTTACGAGTAGTGGGGTTGTCGTAGGGTCGTGCCGAGTTTACGCATGTTAGTGACGCTATCAGGGATACCCTGCATTTCGTCCGCACTTTTGCACCCACCATTATACGCAGCACTCCCCATTTATACCTGTCCGCTGTACCATTCGCTCCAATACAGTCGAGAATATTTCGCAAGTTCGCCGCAAAATTTCCTCACACCCCCCGCATTGTCGCTGGCCAAGTCGAAAATTGGCCTCCAATGGAAAAGATAATCCACGCGAATGACTATGTTTTCTCGGTTGCAATGTCACCAGACAGAAAACGCATTGCATGTGGTTTATACGATAACACGATCCAGGTGTGGGATACGGAAACTGGCGAGGCATTGTGTGCCCCTCTTCAAGGCCACACTAGCATTGTTGCGTCTGTCGCATTCTCACCGGATGGACGTCGCATCGTTTCAGGTTCATGGGACAAAACAATCCGGGTGTGGGATGTAGCAGCCGGCAAGGCATTGGTTACCCTCCAAGGGCACACTGACTCGGTTTTTTCCGTCGCAATCTCGCTGGATGGAGATCGCATAGTATCGGGCTCAGCTGACGAGACGATCAGAGTGTGGGATATGCAGACTAGCGAGGCAGTGGGCACCCCTCTCCAAGGGCATACCGGCTATGTTCACTCTGTCGCAATCTCGCGAAACGGGCACCATATTGTGTCTGGCTCGTATGACCAGACCGTCCGGGTGTGGGATATGGAGACTGGCCAGGGAGTGGGTACCCTTCTCCAAGGTCACACCGACTGTGTTTTGTGTGTTGCAATCTCACCAGATGGAAAATGCATTGCATCTGGTTCACAAGACGGCACGATTCGAGTGTGGGATATGGAGACTGGTGAGGCATTGGGTGCCCCTCTTCTAGGGCACACAGGCCCTGTTCAGTCCGTTGTATTCTCGCCAAATGAAAATTGCATCGTGTCTGGTTCAGATGACCAGACAATCCGAGTGTGGGATGCGAAGACTGGCGCGGCATTAGGATCCCCTCTTCAAGGCCACACTGCCTCGATTGAATCTATCACAGTCTCGTCGGATGGCAGTCGCATAGTCTCTGGTTCATTAGACAAGACCATTCGGGTGTGGGATGCCGACACTATTACGGGCAAGGCAGCAGACGCTACCTTTCAAAGCCACACTGGCTCCATTAACTCCGTTGCAATCTCCCCAGATGGACATCGCATCGTGTCCGGTTCAGATGACAAGACAGTTGGAGTGTGGGATATAGAGACCGGCGAGGCATTAATTGCCCCTCTCCAAGGGCACACTGGATCTGTTGAGTCAGTTGCAATCTCGTCGGACGGGAAGTGCATTGTGTCCGGTTCAGCTGATAAGAGCATTCGTGTGTGGGATACTGGGACTGGCGAGGTTTTGGGTGCGCCTCTCGAAGGCCATACTGATTGGGTCTACTCTACTGCAATCTCGCCGGATGGACATCGCATTGTTTCAGGTTCACGGGACGAAACAGTCTGGGTGTGGGATGTAGCAACCGGCAAGGCATTTGGCACTCCTCTCAAAGGTCACACCAACTGGGTTCGGTCCGTCGCAATCTCGCTGGATGGAAAACGCATAGTATCTGGTTCATATGACAGGACAATCAAGGTGTGGGATATGGAGACTAGCGAGGCAGTGAGCGATCCTCTCAAAGGACATTTTGACTGGGTTCAGTCTGTCGCAGTGTCACCGGATGCAAAATATGTTGTGTCCGGTTCAGATGACAGAACTATCCGTGTGTGGGATATTGGGACTGGCAAGACATTGGGCACCCCTCTCAAAGGGCACACCGACTGGGTTCGCTCTGTCGCGATCTCACGAAATGGGCACCATATTGTGTCCGGTTCAAATGACAAGACGATCCGGGTGTGGGATATGAAGACTGGCCAGGGAGTGGGTCCCGCTTTCCAAGGGCACACCGGACGCGTTCTGTCTGTCGCAATCTCACCCGACGGCAAGCGCATTGTATCTGGTTCAGAAGACAAGACCATCTGTGTGTGGGATATAGAATTCCTTAACCAGCCCCACCTTTCCAAAGCGCCTGCGATATGCTTTTCACCTGACCTATCCTACGCTCTTCATTCCGCCTCCTCCTTTCTTCAGGATTCTTCAACCCCAGTCTCTGTTGCTGCGAACGAGGATGGATGGGTTGTAGGTCCTGATGGACGCCTTCTTCTCTGGATCCCACCCGTTTTTCACCCGGTGGTGTATGCCCCAGGCAACACGCTGGTGATACATGATAGTCCCTCACAAATCGACTTGAGTCGTCTCGCGCATGGTACGTCTTGGCACACGTGTCGGGAACAGCAGGCCACCTTGTCTTCGTTATGATACCCTTGTATGTCGTGTCACGCACTAGACATGATTCATACCATACGTGTTTGTAGTTCCCTTCGTCGCGTACAAGTCCACTTTCGCTAATACGCAATATGTTTTCCATGATACTCCGATTTGTACCAAAGCACAGCCGTACATTATGTTGTCTCCACTATCGATGTCAGCTTCTACATGCATCACAAATCACATCCCGTCTCACTGACTCTTCCTGTGATCGGGAACACAAACGATAGATTTTACTCCACATGTCCTTGTCCTGCTTCTCCCTGCCTAGCAGTCGAGTGAACATTGGATCGGGGGGAAGGATGACAGTATGATACCGTTCAGTGACCCGCATCTATTCAAAATCCTCATGCTTTCATAAAAACCTGTCAGTCAGTATTACCCTCACCCAGCGTATCAACATCCTACACCACAAGCACAAAGGTTAAAACCAGAAGTAGCGCAAAACAAGCACTTACATCGATAACTAGCGTCTCTGTCATCCCATCCAAAATCCTGACAGCATCTGGCATATTGAATTTCTTGAACTGCAACGGGAGACGCTGCATGAATCAATGTTATCAGATCTCGTTTCGACAAGCAAGAAAGCAGAACAGAACAAAAGAACAGGTGAAGGAAGAGAACGAAAAAATACTCACCCCCACTCAGTGATCCTCCTCCGAGTCCAACTAAGCTGAGATAGAACCTGTTATAGAGAGCGTGGTGAAACAAAGACGCTCATTATCGTGCATCAGGCGGGAATGATGGGTGACGCTAGGGGAAAGATTGCTGTGGTGGTCGGGAAGAGGTAACTGACGCAGTGAAATAAATGATCGCGGCCGATTGAAGGTTGAACTCTATGTGATTGGAGACTCGCGCTACACTTTGGTATCGTACCGTGTTTTCTCAATGCTATCACAGCGTGCGTGCTGTTAAGCCAGCTGAGGGTCGTGATACTTGAGCGAGGTGGAAGGAAGGAAGGAAAAGTGCAAGCATACGTTACTGGAGCTCCCATAATACTGTCCACGATATTAAAACCTGTCGTGTATACGCGACATGCACGAAGATTTGAGGATTCCCGCCACGGCAAATGCTACTAGTAGAAGCGGTACTATGTATCATTAATATTCCATGTAGTACTTGCAGGAAATGTTGAGTCGGGCGCTCAGCTTAAACATGCACAAATAAATAAAGGCAGGCCCATGACTCGGACTCGACTCGATCATCTTGAATGTCCTTCCAATAATTACTCTGTCACAATTGTTGAACGTTCGAACACCGCAAGTTGCCCCGGTATTTGCACCTAACCCATCAGTGAAATTCCTGATGCCGGCCTTTTGCCCGATTAACCTGCTTCACCCTTCGAGATAATATGCTATTAATAGTAGTTCAGGCTGCCAATCGACAACGGGCGCTTCCAACGTTAACGTTCTTAATTGATAATAACCCTCATTGCAAACATGTGGACGCCAGTTGATCCTATTTGCTACCACCACGCCTCCCACTTACATTGCACCAAAACACGCACATCCATCCACTTATCTTTCTCACTTGCTAGATGGATGAAAACAATCATAGGAAGAAACGCTGGGGGCGGCCGAAACCAAGCCACTCCGACCATCATTTGGTAGAGACGACAGCCAGTCCCGATGTATGAACTTTCATATTGGCATTTACATCATATCTAATTGTTACAGCCGTCCTCTCTCTCGCCTTCGAGGAATGGGTCTCATGAAAGACGTTCAGGGTCAGTTTTTAAGCTCTTTGGCAAGGTGGCCAAGCGCTTCGCTCGCAGCATTCGACAACCCCCAACCCCTGAACACACCGTTGCAAGTTCCAGCCTGCAGGACACCCAGCCTTCAACTAGGGTAAGCGTAATCTCAATTCTGGATGTGTCCTGTATGCTATGATCAGTACTAATCGCTTCTGCAGGATCTCACCCCTCCCACTCTCGAACCAGATTGCGAGCAGTCTTCCCATTCAGGGATCGTAGAAGTAAGTTCGACTAACGAAGTTCGGAATAGTTTCATCCGTCTCTTTCGGCAATGTGCTGACGTCTATACTTAGGCCAAACATCTTGACCCGAAATGTGTGAACGAAAGAATCGCCAATGCTAACAAAGGTCTCGCAGGCGCCAGCCACGTCCCAACAATACTCCAAGATACTTCTTCCACGACTAACAACCTACCATCTGTTTCTGATGCAATCGATACGTTCTCCGTGTTGCTCAAACCCTTGAAGGCATTCAACTCCATCGCCAACGCGATTGCAGATGTACAAACTATCTATCTCTCCACTGTACGTGACTAACATCCGTGCGCAGGTCCATCCCTACGCGAAGGTGGCGCTGAGCATCTTCACTTGCGCATCCAAGGTAGGCCTCTTACTCTATCATCGCCATTACAGGTTGACAAAGTTTCGATGACAGATGATTCTCGATCAGGCAGGCCGCGATGTCGCTGTTTCTCTTCTGCTCTCAAAGATATCTGAAGTCTATACATTTATCATGGAGGAAGAGCAGTTGGCTAAGATTGAATCTATGCTAGCGATATATGTGAAGATAGCACAGCAGACGCTGGTGTGTGCTGATTTCATCAGCCATTACTCTGAGACGAAGAGTCCCTGTGAGTTAGTCCCACTGCTTCATCCACCAAACTCAATGTTACCTGTTCGTATAGGGATAAGACTTGGCACGCACGTTTTCGATGGAGCGGACACCACGATCCAGAGCTACAACAATGCCCTAGACGACCTCATGCAGCAATTCCGAAACCGGGCGGCTCATGATACCCTTGTGATCGTCCACCATATGGGTATGAGTCAGTTTTCAGGTGTCTTTGAGCCTCATCTGACATTCCACGATCCCTGGCATAGCTGAGAGTTTGGACCTCGCAGGCATGGAGTACGCAACGGGCGCAGGATTAAATGCGTCTAAATGTTGTTTGCCAAATACTCGGCAAGACCTTCTGGAGTATATTCAGAACTGGATCAGTAGCACCGAGGAGGGTGTTCCACGGATCTTGTGGTTGTCTGGCACAGCAGGCAAGGGTAAATCTGCTGTTGCCCATACAATAGCCAAATGGTACATCGAAGGCGGTGGTCTTGGCTCATGCTTCTGCTTCGATCGTACTCAGCAGGCGGATCGCCGTCAGGACAAAATATTCACAACGATCGCAAGTGAATTGGCGGGCCGCAACCCTATCGTGCGGCGAGCCCTGGCGCAGGCAGTTCGTGATGACGACGAACTCAAGCGGACTTCAGATATCACAAAACAATGGCAGGAACTCATCGTCAGACCGTCAAACATAGCGTCAAACGCCATCGCTGCACCCGTGCTGATAGTCATTGATGCGTTGGACGAGAGCGGCGAAGCTAATTCTCGGAAACAGATTCTTGATCTACTCGCTGGCAAATTGAACACTTCCGCCTCACAACTATTCGAACTCCCAGCCAACTTCCGGATTCTCCTCACTTCCCGTTCCCTCCAAGACATTCAGAACACTCTGCATGCTGTACCACATGTTCGCCATATTTCGCTGGATGACATCTCGTCTGCGTCCACAGCACTCGACATCGAACTTTATATCTCCCACAAGCTAGAAGATCTGCGTGACATTTTCAACGATGGCCACTTCAAGGCGCTGGCTCTGAAATCTGATGGCCTGTTTGAATGGGCTCGTCTCGCCTGTGAGTACATCAAGAGCACGAACATCGTGAGCCCAGGCCCGATGCACAATTTCAATGAAATTTCCGAAACATCTGCCACAGGCGTACATCTTCTGGATGAGATGTACCAACTGCTCTTGGCAGGGATCATGCCAAAGCACAGGCATAAGCAGGCGATTCCTATCTTTCGGTCTGTGATGGGTCAAATTCTTGCATCGTCGGAACCACTTCCCATCAATGCGTTGAACACGATGCGGCAGTGTTTTCCATGTGACCGCTACGATGTAAAGTTTGTCATGGCGCATCTTGGCTCGCTTGTCTCCGGCACCTCAGATTCTGATATTCCCATACGTCCCCTTCACGCATCATTCTACGACTTCCTCACGGACGAATCGCGGAGCCATGACTTCTTTGTTGATGCATCAGCTGCGCATAGAGATCTTGCCTTGGCCTCGCTTCGGGTCATGGACTCGGAGCGCGGGCTTCGGTTCAACATCTGCTCCTTAGAGAATTCATACTTGCCCAACTCTTCCGTCCCTGATTTGGAGGAACGAGTGAAAGAATCCATTCCGGCTGAGCTATCATACTCATGTCGGTTTTGGGGGACTCATGTCGGCTGTACGTCCTTCGAATCACTGCTCGCTAAGGAAGTCGAGGGTTTCTTCGATGGAGAGCGCCTTCTTTGGTGGCTGGAAGCACTGGCTCTGATGAGAAGCCTCGGTGGCTCGGCAGCGACCCTCTCATCTACTGCAGATTGGTTTTCGGTGCGTAACTCAAGGTCATTCTTTTCCCAACAAATTCTTACGAGTAGTGGGATGGTCGTAGGGTCATGCCGAGTTTACGCATGTCAGTGACGCTATCAAGGATACCCTGCGTTTCGTCCGCACTTTTGCACCCACCATTATTCACAGCACTCCCCATTTATACCTGTCCGCTGTACCATTCGCTCCAACGCAGTCGAGAATATTTCGCAAGTTCGCCGCAAAGTTTCCTCACACCCCCCGCATTGTCGCTGGTCATGTCGAAAATTGGCCTTCGATGGAAAAGATAATCTACACGAATGCCGGAGTTTCGTCGGTTGCGATGTCATCAGACAGAAAACGCATTGCATCTGGTTTATTCGATGGAACGATCCAGGTGTGGGATACGGAGACTGGCGAGGCATTGTGTGCCCCTCTTCAAGGCCACACTGACACTGTTGCATCTGTCACATTCTCATCGGATGGACATCTCATCGTTTCAGGTTCATGGGACAACACAGTCCGGGTGTGGGATGTAGCAACCGGCAAGGCATTGGGTACCCTCCAAGGGCACACCGACTCGGTTTTTTCCGTCGCAATCTTGCTGGATGGAGATCGCATAGTATCGGGCTCAGCTGACGAGACGATCAGAGTGTGGGATATGGAGACTAGCGAAGCAGTGGGCACCCCTCTCCAAGGACACACCGACTACGTTCGCTCTGTTGCGATCTCGGGAAATGGGCACCTTATCGTGTCTGGTTCAGATGACAAGACGATCCGGGTGTGGGATATGAAGACTGGCCAGGGAGTAGGTACTCCTCTCCAAGGTCACACCACCTGTGTTTTTTCAGTTGCAATCTCACCGGATGGGAAATGCATCGTGTCTGGTTCAGAAGACACCACGATTCGGGTGTGGGATATGGAGACTGGCAAGGCATTGGGTGCCCCTCTCCTAGGGCACACAGACCTTGTTTGGTCTGTTGTATTCTTGCCGAATGAAAATTGGATCGTGTCTGGTTCAGCCGACCAAACAATCCGAGTGTGGGATGCAAAGACTGGCGTAGCATTAGGATCCCCTCTTCAAGGCCACACCAGCTGGGTTCGATCTGTCACAGTCTCGTCGGATGGAAGTCGCATAGTCTCTGGTTCATACGACAAGACAATTCGGGTGTGGGATGCCGACACTACTACGGGTAGGCAATGTCATGGGTATCTAGCACCCACCGTGGGTTGTGGGTGTGGGTACCCAGGGGTATGGGTGGGGGTAGGCACTTAGGATACCCACACCCCTACCCACACCCACACGGTGGGTATGTATGTAAAAAACTTACTGATGTTGGGTTTTTATTTAGCTTATATCTCTCTCAAATGACTGCCAATTAACAAGGTGAGACTAGCAGTATATTTGTCTCCAGTACTACTACAACATTCATTAAGATATCTAAGTGTGTAGTACCAATCATTCATGTCATACCCATGGGTATACCCTCTATGGGTGTGGGTATGGGTAGCCATCCCTGGTACCCATGAATATACCCACACCCACCAGGTGGGTGTGGGTTTTTGGTGGGTGTGGGTGGGGGTATCACTGCAGATACCCATGGGTATACCCATGTCATTCCCTAACTACGGGCAAGGCAGCAGACGCTACCTTTCAAAGCCACACTGGCTCCATTAACTCCGTTGCAATCTCCCCAGATGGACATCGCATCGTGTCCGGTTCAGATGACAAGACAGTTGGAGTGTGGGATATAGAGACCGGCGAGGCATTAATTGCCCCTCTCCAAGGGCACACTGATTCTGTTGAGTCAGTTGCAATCTCGTCGGACGGGAAGTGCATTGTGTCTGGTTCAGCTGATAAGAGCATTCGGGTGTGGGATATTGGGACTGGCGAGGTTTTGGGTGCGCCTCTCGAAGGCCATACTGACACGGTCAACTCTACTGCAATCTCGCCGGATGGACATCGCATTGTGTCAGGTTTACGGGACGAAACAGTCTGGGTGTGGGATGTAGCAACCGGCAAGGCATTTGGTTCTCCTCTCAAAGGTCACACTCACCAGGTTCGGTCCGTCGCAATCTCGCTGGATGGAACTCGCATAGTATCTGGTTCAGCTGACAGGACAATCAGGGTGTGGGATATGGAGACTAGCGAGGCAGTGGGCGATTCTCTTAAAGGACATTCTGGCTGGGTTCGTTCTGTCGCAGTGTCACCGGATGCAAAATATGTTGTGTCCGGTTCAGATGATAGAACTATCCGTGTGTGGGATATTGGGACTGGCAAGACATTGGGTGCCCCTCTCAAAGGGCACACCGGCTATGTTTGCGCTGTCGCGATCTCACGAAATGGGCACCATATTGTGTCCGGTTCCTATGACAAGACACTCCGGGTATGGGACATGAAGACTGGCCAGGGAGTGGGTCCCGCTTTCCAAGGGCACACCGGACGCGTTCTGTCTGTCGCAATCTCACCCGACGGCAAGCGCATTGTATCTGGTTCAAAAGACAAGACCATCCGTGTGTGGGATGTAGAATTTCTCAACCAACCCCACCCTTCCAAAGCGCCTACGATATGCTTTTCACCTAACCCATCCTACGCTCTTCCGAGTCATTCCGCCTCCTCCTTTCTCCAGGATTCTTCAACCCCAGTCTCTGTTGTTGCGAACGAGGATGGATGGGTTGTAGGTTCTGATGGACGCCTCCTTCTCTGGATCTCACCCACTTTGCACCCGGCTGTGTATGCCCCAGGAAACACACTGGTTATACACGATCGTGCCTCGCAATTCGATTTGAGTTGTCTTGCGCATGGCACGTCTTGGCACACGTGTCGGGAACAGGAGGCTTCGCTATGATACCCTTGTATGTTGCGCACGCACTACATATCCATACGTGTCTTGACCAGGGCTTATTCAGTTCACTTCGTCGCGTACCAATCGAATTTCGCTAATACACAAGATACTCCCATTCGTAATAAAACACAGCCGTACATACGTTGTGTCTACTATCGTTGCCACTTACATGCATCACAAATCACATCCTATCTCTGGCTCTTCCTGTGATCGGGAAGACAAACGATAGATTGGCCTCCTTTTCCCTGCCTGGCAGTCGAGGGAACACTGCATCGAGGGGAAGGATGACAGTATGATACCGTTCAGTGACCCGCATCTATTTAAAATCCTGATGTTTTTATAAAAACCTGTCAGTATTACCCTTACCCAGCGTATCAACATCCTACACCACAAGCACAAAGGCCAAAATCAGAAGCAGCGCAAAACAGGCACTTACATCAATAACTAGCGTCCCTGTCATCCCATCCAAAATCCTAACAGCATCTGGCATATTGATTTTTTTTTGAACTGCAACGCGGGACGCTGCGTGATCAGATCTCGTTTCGACAAGTAAGAAAGCAGGACAGAACAAAAGAACAGGCGAAGGAAGAGAATGAAAAAATACTCACCCCCACTCAGTGATCCTCCTCCGAGCTCAACAAAGCCGAGATAGAACCTGTTATAAAGAGCGTGGGTAGAACCAAGACGCTCATAATCGTGCATCAGGCAGGAATGATGGGTGACACTAGGGGAGAGATTGCTGCGGTGGTTGGGAAGAGGTAGCTAACGCAGTGAAACGAATGATCGCGGCCAATCGAAAGTTGAACTCTATGTGATTGGAGACTCGCGCTACACTTTGGCATCGTACCATGTTTTCTCAATGCTACCACAGCGTGCGTGTTGTTAAGCCAGCTGAGAGTCGTGATACTTGAGCCAGGTGGAAGGAAGGAAAGGTGTAAGCACACTGGCTTACTAGAGCTCCCATAATGTGGCCACTGTCCGCGATATTAGTAAAACCACCATTTATGCGCGACATGCACGAACATTTAAGGATTCCCGCCGCGGAAAATGCTAGAAGTGGTAATTTGGCTGATTGGCACGGTACCAGGATGGAACTGAGCCTTTTCCCCGCAGGTACGTGTATGAAACATAGAGCCTTTTTGATTTGTCATAAAAAAATTGCGTAAGTTGCGTAAGTCACCCGAGTCTTCGCGAACTTCACTGGCAATTGAGTTGGATGATCAACTTGCGAGCCGGTCCTGTCAACCCTCTGCGACAGCCATCGCCGGCATACTTCCTGCAATCTCTTCAACCTATATAGCGGAACAAGCTGGATCTGATACTTGCGTTTCGGGCCAACATCTACCAACGCGTCATACACGCTCATTAATTTGAAGCCCTGTTACGATGGTTCTTCCCATGTGGAAGGGATAGTACGCCGTCAGCTGCCTTGTTAACCTAATCCTCCAAAGTCAGCTGAACTTCATTTTAGACATCTATCTCGTGGTCCAGGTCCATTTTCATACTCAGCAATAGGTGCAGTGCCTGTCGCGATTGATATCAATATCATTCCTCGACATCCACTCCTTCTCAACTCGACTTTATTGGCATACGCAGCCCTTAACCTTATGGTTCGAAAACTGACATTTGGGCGTGTCTTCTCGAGATCGAGGGACACCGACCGACCTCCAGCACCCCCTTATAATCCACCACCACTTTCCCCGATCAGCATCGATTTGCCTCTCTCCCAAGGCAGCAAGTTCAAGGAGGAAGCTGTTTCTGCCATTTTCACGGCTACTGCCCCTACAGAGAGTATTACAGGCTCACTCAGGCCGTATCCCGGTCCGAAGCTTCAGAAACGACCTCGCAGGGTCATCACGACTGCACCTCCTACACACCCCATGTTTTCACATAAATTCTCCCCGATATCTTCCATGGCTAGTTCAACGGCTTCATTTGAGGATTCGTCTCCACTCTCCACGGTATGTTCATGTCATTCCTAATGCTCGATTATGCCAAACGCCAGACCCCTCCTTAGACTCAACAACAACACATTCCTTCTGGCGTGACCTCATTCTGCCCAGCCACGCATCCTGCTGAGTCTTTCACAGAAGACTACCGTCTCCAGATCCCACTCCACCAAAACCCCTACCTCACCGTCCTCGAAAAGACATCTCCTGAACAATTCATGCGTTGTCTCCACCTCCTTCGAACGTCTCTCCCTACCAACCTCGATACGGTGCGTGACATCATGCCAAAGCCCAACGGATTCGTGCATACGGTGCTTGAGGCATACAATAACCATCGTGCGCTCATCCTCCGCCCGGACGACGTCTGGACCGCGATCCTCATACAGTTCAGCTTCTTCGTGAGCGCAAATGCCGAGCAACTCAGTGCGCACTTTGCGGCCCACGGTCGGGAGGAACTCATCATCATTAGCGATGGAAATCGTGACACGGCAGATTATGCACCCATGGCGCGCCAGATGTTGGGCCTTATGCACACACGTGTAGTGGATCCGATGCTGAGGGATTGGATCATGCCAGAATTTTCAACGACGACGGATGTAGACCGGACGGTGTACGCGATGTCCATGATGGCGACGATGAAAGAGTATTTTCGCTACAAGTTTGTACTACGTTGTGGGATACCGGTTGTGACCCTTCTGGGGGAGAGACATGACTGGGAAGCAATCCTTGAACGACTTGAACGACTAAAACTATACAGCATAGAAACAATAGCGTGGTATCACCTCCTGCACCCCATCATTTCTCGATTCGTAGCCGCCTTCGACGCACCATCCAGCCCCGAAAACCTCGATTTCTGGTCCAAAGTCGCGCACTACGAGGGAGGCGGGAGCGGGCCGACCTACCTCTCAGGCTGGATCACCGCATTTTGCGTATTCAATGAGCAAGGCATGTGGCAGGGTCCCCCGCTAAATGCCGAGCGCATGCGGGAAGACGCGCCAAAGAAACTCCTTCGTCCTGTAGATCCACGAGTGCTGAGTGCAGCCCAGTTTGCCTCGGTGTACACTTTCCGTGGAGCGTGGCGTCCTTTCCTGGTACTCGACGGGATGCCGTATCCAATCATCGACGATGAATGTGTGCCGTGCGGGTACGCTCATCTCGATGTGAAACTGGATGATCATGGACACTTGTTTGATACGGTGATTGTTGCTGGTGCAGTTGGCACACAGATCTGTTCGAATGATAAATCGGAGCTGTTTAAGAATGGGATGAGGGACAGTGTAAGGCCAGTGGTAGGGTATTGGTACTTTATCACCGGGGCAGGGTGATTATAGCGTGGGCTTCTGTGCTGCTCGTACTTGTTCTCTGGTTCTCAGAGCTTTCGTGATGTCTTGTTTTGGACAGTCCTGAAAACGCGCCCTCCTAGAGATGTATCTTATCTTATATGGATGTCGTTTATACTCACTTGTTACGATATAGGAGAGTGGATTACTACGCTATTCCAGGTGTTTCCCTCCCTGCGACGAGATCCCAAGTTTCTATGTACGCGCTCGACACCTGTGTGGGGAGACATTATATTAAGTGGATACTAATGCACAGATGGGCCTTGCATCTCTCGAATTCAAGTACACAGCCCGGCCCGTTTCTTTCGTTCTCATAAGACTCACTACACATTGAAGCAAGCCGGACTCAAATCAGGAAGTTCTATGTCCACGCAATCATCGACATCCCGGACCGCGAAAGGCCTCGTGTTTGATATCAAAAACGTTTTCAAGTTGCTAATCCCCATGTGGGTTCGCTCGTTGATGTAAACCAAGATCCGGGCAAGAGCCTCACATGTAAGTAAATGAAATTCGTGCTCTGCCTTTTGTACTAATCTCTGGGCCGGTATAGCAACGTGCGATCACGAGCGCTTGAAATCTACTGGTTCGTACCTTGAGCTTATCGACACCTGTCATACATGGCATAAATTGACCGGGTGGGCTATCAAGATATTCGTCACGTCGAGTATCCCATCTTTCTTACTGAAGACCTGTTCCTGGTTGAAAAGATGGTTCGGGAATCAACGAGTCCTCAAAGGATGCCCAGTTCCAGCGTGATTTTCCAGCTGAGGCTCGTTATTTTCAGTATTGCTCGCTGACGCGCCATCCTCCGGTTGAAGTGCCCCCCTATGCACTACCAGGCAAAGGGTGATAATGCAAATTTCTCCGTGACACTTTGTCATCGAATCAAGAGGGGATCCGATCCACTTTCCGCTTGACAAAGTAATAGCCATTCCAGATATCCTTCTACGCGGAAGAAGCTCCACTTTTCAATTCACAATCTCGCATAAAGAAGTTCGTATTGATGTCAGTATGAAAAGAGAACGAGTTGGACTATTGCATGATCGACGATTTTCAATTGTGAAATTCAAGACATATGTACCCGGCGTTTTCATCCTAGTTTGCAATTCTGTGATAGGTCGTACTACATGTGTACTGAACATCCGTTCCTGCAATAAAGCCCAGAGATTACGAATGAACCTCTGACGCTGCTCACACAAACAAATCTGTTCGCCCCAACGTCTCCGATATAACACCCACCACCTTGGCTTCAAACTCAAATACGTCCCCACCACGGTAAGCCACAAGGTCCTGAGGCATCTCCCTCTGTACTCCGAGCGCCTTCTCGAGGTTTGTCGTGGCGAGCGCGAGGGCCGTTGTGCGATCAATAGTACCATTGGACGTTAAGAGGAACTAGGATTATGGTCAGTAAAAATGACATGAAAAGCAGGGTTCGACTAAACGCACCCAACCGGCTTCGAAACGTGTATTCCGGGCATTGTACTCATCAATGACTCCAATGGCTACATTGACACCTGCCTTCAAAAGCGCAGTGACCAGACTCTCCTGCGTGATCGGCGGGCCAGCAAGTCTATGTGATCGTCAGGTTAACATCCTTGGTCGCAAATGAGAGAAAAAAACGAAGATAGGACTAAGAAGAAAGGGTACAAGGATACTTACATCCTCCGTTGCTCCCAAGTCGACGGAAATGGCTTGCTCTGCGTGACGATCACGCTCACGCCTGCCTTCGCAATCTCGTGCGCAAGGAGATGGGCCTCAGTTGCCCCCGCGAAGGTCATACGAAGCTCTCTCCCGGAATGAGCCTCGTACTCATCTTTGAGTCGAAGCAGCGTCGCCATTATGTCTGCGCTCTCAACATCCACAACGAGCGTGGTTTTGCCCTTGATTCTAGATATCAGTGTTGATTCGATACGAGAGAAGTACAATAAACTAACCTTTCTGACCCTCCTGAGCACCTTATCTCCACCCTCCCCAAATAACATGTTCCTAAGGGCTGCTATCTGCGTACTTACACCTACCCTTGAAGACATGCTTATGCCAACATGTAATGCGACTTCATCGACAACACTCGCATTTTCCACGTTCGCATGCGCAGCTCCAGGTGAGAATGCAGTAGATACACCCTGCAGGAAGCTCCCAGAGGGAGCAGTGATGGCCGTTGTGACGCCACCGCGATAAGCTAGCCTGCAATCCAAAAGGTCAATTCAGAAATGCAGACCCTGGATGAAAAAAAGAATACACACAGCAAATTCTGACCGCCAAACATGAGCCCGTCCTGTGCTCTCATGATCGTGTCACCCAATATGGCAGGGAGATCCCCATCGAGAGGGTTATAGACGCTTCCATCGTTTGTGCTCGGCTCAAGCCTTATCTCTACGAGCCCCAGCGGAGCACCAAAGCTCGTCAGTCCAGGTGTGATCGTGCCGCCTTCAAGGTCCACGATAGCGACAGCCCCTTGTGCAAAATCCGAACATTGACCAACACACACCACTCGGCCATCTTCTACGCCCACCGATCCCACCTTTTCAGAGATACGCGCCACCCCAGTCGAGCCCTCACCTCTCATATAAAGCCCCGAGACGTTCACGAATAACGCCCCTTTTACGCTGCGAGGTTCAAGAGGGGGAATGCCCTCATGCGTGACGGTTGCCACCTTCTCGGAATCGAAATCGGGCGTGCGTGGGGACGTGGTGGGCCCCTTGGCGACATGGCGGCCGGGATGGGAGAGCTGAGGGATACCATCGATATAGACCTGAGTGGGCGTTGCAGCAAGTGAAAGTGGGTGGGAGGACCAAATCACAACATCTAGTTCCGATTAGACAGTTAGACAGAACTTTCATATATTCAGACTGCGAGACGTACCGGCATCATATCCTGCAATTCAACCGAAACTTGAATTCTTCATTGAACTGATATAGTAGTCTCACATACCAGCTTTCAGCATCCCAATTCGATGGCCCATCCCCATGGCAGTAGCAGGAGTATACGTAACAGAGAGAAGCGCGAGTGCGGGGTCAAGGCCATAGTAGTGCGCTTGGGCAGCTTCGTGCAGGAGGTAGCGGGAGTTGACAACCGGGTGGTCAGACTGCAAGTACGAGTTAGTTGAAGCGAGATCGAAGTTTCATGGCAGAAGTGAGTGAAAACAACGATGGAGGGAAAGATCAGTAATTCATGATCATTATGTAAAATGTACATACGAGTTGCGTGGCTCCAGACATAAGTACATGCATAGAAGAGCACGTTGACGTAGCATAAATAAAGAAGGAAGTGGGGTGAAGGAGTACCCAAGGCGACATTTACCTTCATAACAACGTCGATTCCATGCTCTGCCAGCACGCGCGGTGCGAACTCCGATCCTCGATATGCCTCGCGTTTCTTCCTTCATTCAAGATCAACCGCATCAGCAGATTTACAGAAGTCAATCCATATGTACGTACCTGAAGTTGGATGCAAAGAGTGCTATGGCAGGCGTGCCACCCTAGTGGAAATGAATGCCGTTAGAGGAAGTTGTGAACGGGCACCGAGGAGAGGAAAAACTCACCCAGGTCTTCTTCAACAAGTCCGGAACAAGGTACGTTTCTCCAGCGTGATGAAACGATGCTACTGGGAACTCGAACTCGTTCGTAAGCTGTTCATGCGCATACATTAAATGCGCATATAAATTAGAAAAGAATTATTCTAAGAAAATTTGAACGCACACGGACGATTCCGTCGAGATCAACTGCCTCATAGCAGTGCACGGAAAGCCTCACACGTCCTCGGAGCACATCGACAAGGGATTCCCATTGCAGATCTTCAGGAAATGCATTTCCCGCGAGGTCGTCCCAGGAGTTAGACTCTGCTTTGGCGCAGAAATCGTCTTGAGCGTCACGCAGCTTTCGGGCACTGTCGTAGGCGGCGCGGAAGTTCCACCCGGAGTCAAGGCGCGTCATGCCATAGACACGAGAGGGGTTTTCACCTTATGGGTGAGTGAGCGAGGATAATGACGAAGCGTTTTCTGGGACATACCACATGCATGTCTGTCAGGTGTTATCAAAAGTGAGAAGGTAAATGAGAGAATATCGAGCGAGTGAGATAACAGACTTCATGTGTCGCCAGCGGGGTGTGAGAGAGTGGTCAAAGTGAGAGCCATTGAGGGTGTAGGGAGGTTCGAGGAGCATGGAAGAAGGCGAACGTTCGGCTGTAGGACGAAGCTTCATTATGAACGCTTGACCACCTAGTAGACAAGGTTTACGATCAGCAATTAGACAATGCGTTTATTGAGACAACTCTGACCGATATCATTTGCGCTCCCAGGGAGAATTTGCGCGGTTGTGACGCCTCCAGCTATGGCAAGTTCGTATGATGCGTCATGGGTGTTCAACCCGTCGATACTGCGCAACCAGGGTAAGATGGGGGCCTTGCGAGAGTTTGTGTCGCGTGCGCCTGCAAAAAATGGTATCTTATAGCTATTGTAGAGTAGCAAATGAACGCACCATTTAGCTCAGGCACGCTACCGACACCAATATGGGAATGTAAATCTACAATCCCAGGGGTCACCCACGCTCCGTGAACATCGACAACCTCCAATTTCCTATGTTTTGACTCAACCTGCCGAATCAGGGAAAGAGGAACGTCCCCGATGGCTTTGATGAGACCACGGTGGATGAGGAGGTCACCGTTGAGAACCTCGTGGCCGTCATTAGCAGCTGTCCAGATAGTCGCGTTGCGCACAAGAACGGGAGCTGTGTTCTCGGAATCTGCATAGCGGTCACTCTGGGTGCGGTCGTGGAAATTGGGTGGTGGCCCGGGTTTGGAGCGTATGTAGGCACATTTGGAGAGGATCTGGGAGCGACGGGCAAACTCCTGTGGACTGGATTGAAGAAACGCAGAAGAGATAAATGTCGAGGAATGGAAAGGGACGATGGAGACGAGTGCGACGATAAACAAGACTAGGTAAGCCCAACGTCGAACAGGAGGGCGGGTCGCCAACGGCCGTGAGCTACCCATTGCGTTAGACGGTGCCAGGCGAACTTGACTTGAGGCTTGTCCGCATCGTAATAAAATATTACGTTCGTGGGGAAGTATTGCGGTTATGAACCTATTATTAGTAGCTTCGAATGAACCGAACTTCCGTAGGGGAGCCGCGAATGACCAGAGTCAAAAGTCTGCACGGTGTCAGGCAATTGCCAATTGGTGTCTGTGTGATTATTTTCTATAAATAGTACCATTCTGTTCATCAGTTCATTGAATCACGCGCGAATGACGAGTCGATAACTGACGCACATTGATGCATCGCCGCTACCGACATCATCCACGTGATTTTGATATGTCTGTTCAATGCGGCTAAAATTTCAGAGTAGGTAAAGGCTACGGTGAGCTTCTGTTACTTGTACTGTCCCGCATGAGGCCCATGACTGCATGTCGACCTAGCCTTCTCAAGTTCTCGTTGATGTCCAGTTGTTCGACCCTGGCTGATTGACCACGCACGCGGTACGTCAGGTTCAGGCTAGTGTCCGCAGTTCTATTGTAAGCCGGGATAAATTTCAGTGATCTCTTGGTTCAATTTCCGTTTGGATCGCAGAGAGGCTCCACGGAACCACATGTATGGCATCAGGGCGTCTCGGTCGTTACAGTCACCTAATGTGGATACTGAGAGTGCTTCCTGGTGATTCCCGGTTGACTATTGATCTCTTTTATACTGCGTGGCCAATAGATCAGGCTCATTCGAAATCACCCACCTACAACGGTGCAATATGGCAGCTCCGAGCGCTTCAGCAATTTCGAAGTTGCACCCGCAACCAAGTGGAGATGAGGCGACTCTCGCCAAGCTAGGATATAAGCAGGAATTTCGCAGGGAATTCACTCCGCTAGAGGTGAGCTTAATTTCAGACTCTTCCATGTACGGGACACAAGCTAACAATTGCAGGTGGCTGGACTTGCATTCAGCTTTGTTGGAGTGGTTCCTTCTATAGTGTAAGTTGTCACTATGGCGCAAGCCAATTGAAAAAAGTGTATCATTAATGATCAAAACCCGTTCAGCTCCGTGCTCTTCTATGCAATACCAAACGGCGGGCCTTTCGCGATGGTTTGGGGTGTAAGCTGTCATCACACGTGGAAATTGCTGTTTTGTAACGTCTTATGTTTCCTCTGCGCAGTGGGCATTTGCTTGCCCCTTTATTCTGTGCACCGGGTTGGCGTTGGCAGAGCTCGCATCAGCAGCACCTACTTCTGGCGGCGTATGTCATCGACGCTGTCGCTGTTTCACATTTGACTGAACACAATCTAGCTGTACTATTGGACTTACTCTCTCGCTTCTCCACGATGCCGCAATTTTCTGTCGTGGATAGTTGGCTGTAAGTCCTGCATTTTGACGCGACATGCAGCCAGTGCTGACATCTACAGATTCGAACACTATAGAAATGATCACGGCAGTTGGTAAGAAGGGTTTCATTTTTTCAAACAGTCTCCCCCTGATCAAGCGTGCTAGCTTCCGTAAACTGGGCTTGTACAATTCAAATCGTCGCAGCAATCACCATTGCCTCCTCTGACCAGGTATATACAACTACCAACCTGCAGCTCTAGTAAGCTCGTCCTCATGCAGACATGACACTCTTTATATTGGTTGTTATAGTGGTATATACGCAGCTTTGGGTTTATCACAAGCTGTCCTCGTGAGCCTCGGTACCAAAGTTTTGGCAAGGTTGCAGAGGCTATTCACGTTGGTGAATGCATCGTAGGTGTCGTAGAGTTCGTCCATGATCATTGTTTCAAAACCTCCAATAGCCTGTGCTTCATAATCATCATCGCGCTTCCGATTGCAACGCCACCGGATTATCGAAACAGCGCAAAATTTGCGCTAGGGGATTTCACTAACTGTATGTTTCATCGTCCAATTACGCTCGTAGCTCACAATTAGTTGTAGTGGCCGGCTGGCCATCCGGATTCGCATTTATTTTGAGCTTAATGGCTCCTCTTTATACAATAGGTTAGACCATATTCTTTCGAATCATTGCTCCATGACGATCTTTAACCCACCAGGGGGTTATGATGCTAGCGTACATATGAGCGAAGAGGCCTCAAATGCCACTATGGCGATACCATGGGCAATAGTAAGTAACACCAAAAATGACTAATTGCTGTATTTATCTCAGTCAGGTCAGTTCCATTATTGTAGCAGCCTTCCTTGGTTTGGGTATGTGGAATGACATGTCACTCTGATCTTGATGACATATTCTGATCCAGGAATCAACATCTCCCTTGCATTTTGCATGGGCACTGATGTCGACAGCCTCCTCAATAGCCCTATTGGCCAGCCTATGGCACAAATCTTATTCAATTCGCTCGGGCAGCAAAAGGCCCTGGCTATATGGTGTCTCGTTATTATAGCAGAGTACGTTTTAGTGTCGTGTAGTGCATTCCCAGCCTAATCATAGAGCAGGTACATGGTGGCATCGAACTGCCTCCTGGTCGGCTCTCGCCAAATTTTCGCATTTGCTCGTGATGGAGCCCTCCCTTTTTCACGGTATTTATACCGCATCAATCGCTACACAGGAACGCCCATTAATACGGTTTGGTTCGAAATCATCTGCTCTCTGGCAATCGGTCTTTTGTCGTTCGTAAGCATCCAAGCCATCGATGCAGTATTCACAATTGCTCTCACCGCATCGTACATCGCGTACATAACGCCGATCACGAACCGCTTTGTGTTCAAGAATGATTTTAAACCCGGTCCGTTTTATCTGGGGAAACTGGTGGGTTAATCGGCGTGATGTATTCTTGACCTAACATGCCTCTGCAGAGCTTTCCGGTCTCTGTGATCGCTGTGGTATGGATGACCTTCATGATATTTGTTTTCTTCTTTCCCGCGACCCCACGAACAACGGTACAGGAGATGAACTATACAGTTGTGGTACTCGGAGGGTTCATGTTTTTGGCGATTTCCTGGTATTATCTTCCGGTGTACGGAGGCGTACACTGGTACACTGGACCCGTATCCAACACACCGGCCATCAGAGACGAAGATTCTATATCGGAGAGGAAGGATGAACATGATGCCGATATCTATGTTGAAGCGGTGGATGTATAAGTAGTGTTCATATAAGATTGTCGTGAAGTCAATGGTATACAAAAATGATACATATGTAATTCACTAGCATACAGTGTGTTCTAGAGTACGAGTTTTTTCAAAATTTGGCCTCGCTGCCTTTAGCAGGACTTTGTAAAATTGGTCATGGCAAGTTTCACTCCTTGCCACGACGAAGCTGCCTGTAAAAAGCTCGACAAACGTCTAGTTGCCTTGTTATGTAATAGACTGACAATTAAGGAATGTGTGAATTTGATGATGACATGATTTTGACGTGTCTACTGATGCGGCCAAATATAAAGTTCGAATGTTCTGCTAAAACTTCAAAGCACGCGTTCATCCCCTAACTCTCGGTGACTCTAAGCTCAGAGACATAGTACGGAACCCATTCACCATGAATCAGAGTCAGCAAAGACATATTTCACTGTCTCATCGTACTGAAACACGGCCACGACCGTCTGCGAAAGCTATGCAAGCCTGAGAAGTTCAAGTGCGCAAAAAAGTCAAGAACCAGAACGCTTATTCTGCTGACAGCAGAGGTGTGTAGAGGTTACGGTAGGCTGCTGTTACCTGTACCACGCTTGTCCCGCATAAGGCCCATGACTGGATGTCGACCTAGCCTTCTCAAGTTCTCGTTTGTTCGACCCTGGCTGATTGACCACGCACACCAGACGCAGACAGGCTGGTGTCCTCAGTTCGATTGTAAGTCGGGATAAATTTCAGTGATATCTTGGTTCAATTTTCATTTGGGTCGCAGAGAGGCCACACAGAACCACATGTATGGCATCAGGATGTCTCGGTCGTTATGGTCACCTAAGGTGGATACTGAGAGTGCTTCCTGGTGATTCGCGGTTGACTATCAATCTCTTTTATACCGCGTGGCCAATAGCTCAGGCTCATTCGAAATCGCCAACTTGCAACAGTGCAACATGGCAGCTCCGAGCGCGTCAGCGATTTCAAAGTTGCACCCGCAACCAAGTGCAGATGAGTCGACTCTCGCTAAGCTAGGATATAAGCAGGAATTTCGCAGGGAGTTCACTCCACTAGAGGTGTGCTTGATTTCAGACTCTTCCATATACGCGACACAAGCTGACAATTGCAGGTGGCTGGACTTGCATTCAGCTTTGTTGGAGTGGTTCCTTCTATAGCGTGAGCTGTCACTATGGCGCAAGCCAATCGAAATTGTATATTAATGACGAAAAATTGTTCAGCTCCGTGCTCTTCTATGCAATACCAAACGGTGGGCCTGTCGCGATGGTTTGGGGTGTAAGCTTTCATCACACGTGAGGATTCCTGTTTCGTAAATATCTCACGTTTCCTCTGCGCAGTGGGTATTTGCTTGCCCCTTTATTATGTGCACCGGGTTGGCGTTGGCAGAACTCGCATCAGCAGCACCTACTTCTGGCGGCGTATGTCATCGACGCTGTCGCTTTTTCACACTTGACTGAATACAATCTAGCTATACTATTGGACTTACTCTCTCGCTTCTCCACGATGCCGCAATTTTCTGTCTTGGATAGTTGGCTGTAAGTCCTGCATTTTGACGCGACATGCAGCCAGTGCTGACATCTGCAGATTCGAATACCATAGAGATGATTACGGGAGTTGGTAAGAAGGGTCTCATTTTCTCAAACAGTCTCCCCCTGATCACGCGTGCTAGCTTCCGTAAACTGGGCCTGTGCAATCCAAATCACTGCAGCAATCAGTATTGCCTCCTCTGACCAGACATATACGACTACCAACCAGCAGCTCTAGTAAGCTCATTCTCATGCAGACACGACACTCTTCATATTGGTTGTTATAGTGGTATATATGCAGCTTTGGGTTTATCACAAGCTGTCCTCGTAAGCTTCGGTACCAAAGTTTTGGCAAGGTTGCAGAGGCTATTCACGTCGGTGAATGCATGGTAGGTGTCGTAGAGTTCGTCCACGATCATTGTTTCAAATCCTCCAATAGCCTTTGCTTCATAATCATCATCGCTCTTCCAATCGCAACGCCACCGGATTATCGAAACAGCGCAAATTTTGCGCTAGGGGATTTCACTAACCGTATGTTTCATCGTCAAATTACGCTCGTAGCTCACAGTTATTTGTAGTGGCCGGCTGGCCATCCGGATTCGCATTTATTTTGAGCTTAATGGCTCCTCTTTATACCATAGGTTAGACCATATTCTCTCGAATCATTGTTCCATGACCATCATTAACCCACCAGGGGGTTATGATGCTAGCGTTCACATGAGCGAGGAGGCCTCAAATGCCGCTATGGCTATCCCATGGGCAATAGTAAGTGACACTAGAAATGATCGATTTTTGTATTTATTCCAGTCAGGTCGGTTCTATTGCCGTATCAGCTGTCCTTGGTTGCGGTATGTAAAATGAATGACATGCCATTCTGATCTTGATGACATATTCTAATTTAGGAGTCAACATCTCCCTTGCTTTTTGCATGGGCACTGATGTCGGCAGCATCTTCAATAGCCCTATTGGCCAGCCTATGGCACAAATCCTATTCAATTCGCTCGGGCAGCAAAAGGCCCTGGCTCTATGGTGTCTCGTTATTATAGCGGAGTACGTTTAGTGCCGTGTAGCATATTCCCAGCCTAATCATAGAGCAGGTACATGGTGGCATCGAACTGCCTCCTGGTCGGCTCTCGCCAAACGTTTGCATTTGCTCGTGATGGAGCCCTGCCTTTTTCACGGTATTTGTACCGGATCAATCGCTACACAGGAACACCCGTCAACACAGTTTGGTTCGAAATCATCTGCTCTCTGGCAATCGGACTTTTGTCGTTCGTAAGCACCCAAGCCATCGATGCGGTATTCACGATTGCTATCACCGCGTCGTATATCGCCTACATAACGCCGATCACGAACCGCTTTGTGTTCCAGAATGATTTTAAACCCGGTCCGTTTTATCTTGGGAAACTGGTGGGTTAATCGGCGCAATGTATTCTTGAACTAACATGCCTCTGCAGAGCTTTCCGGTCTCTGTGATCGCTGTGGTGTGGATGAGTTTCATGATATTTGTTTTCTTCTTTCCCGCGACCCCGCAAACAACGGCCCAGGAGATGAACTATACAGTCGTGGTACTTGGAGGGTTTATGTTTCTAGCGATTTCCTGGTATTATCTTCCGGTGTACGGAGGCGTACATTGGTACACTGGACCCATATCCAACTATACGCCGGCCATCAGAGGTGAAAACAAAGACGAAGATTCTATATCGGAGAGGAAGGAACATGATGCCGATATCTATGTTTCAGCGCTGGATGTATAAGAAGTGTTCGTATAATACTGTTGTGAAGTCAACGGTATACAAAAATGATACATATGTATTCTACAGCATACAGTGTTGTATACAAACCTAGAGTACGAATTTTTCAAAATTCGGCCTCGCTGCCTTTACCAGGGGTCTTTGGAAAATTGGTCATGGCGGCCGCCATTACGAACAAACACCGAGCTCGCCTCATGCACCTCTAAAGTCATGTGCATGCATTAGGCACATGCGAACATGCGCTCAGGGAGTCGCGTCCCAGAGCTACTACTCGGTTTTCTCCCGTCATCATTCCTCCTTACCCGTTCTCACATTGACTCTCATCGCTTTGAAGGAAATGTCGGAGAATACCCCTACCACAGTCGCTTCCTCTGTTTCTCTCCATATCTCCAGTAAGGATTTCCTACTTGCCATATATTTCACCCTTTAACATTTTTCTTCCCAGGTATTGTCATCCGCCTTGATGATACTTCGAGCAAGAAAATCGATTTTGCCGAGTTGAAGTTTGATTCGCGTCGACAGGAGATCCACCACAGTCACTCGGAACAAGACAAACACCTCAACGCAAAGTTTGATCCCGCCATGTGAGCTCCTCCCATACTGGGAGAAACTCGTTCAGAACATTGTAAGACAGTGTGGTGATCACTGAGCGGGTTTCCTTGTTTGTACACTGTTACCTTACTATAGGCATGTTGCCGCGGAAGACCACGAAGAAGTTTTCATTAAACAGAAAGGACATCTTGTCTAATGCAGAGGATCACAACGGCAGACAAGGTGAACCAATTCGCCTCCAGCTGTGTCGCATCAAACTCATAGCTTTATGTGATACTAGAGTATAGGATGACTGAGGGGACGATGACTGTTGTCATCACAATATCGTCAGTATGTTAGTCTCTTATCTCAGAAGCAAACTGAGCATCCTTGTCCATATTGATTGTGATTGTTGACACCAGGCAGCTGCAGTCGACTAGCAGCGATATTCTAAAGGTTTGCCCGAGATTCCGGCTACTGGTAATAGGGAATGTCCGTCTCTGACATTGTCCTCAAGTGTAGACGACTCACGCATCCACTTCGTAGACCGGAGTCGGAAAGTCATCACTGATCCAGGAGGCATTCAAAATACTTGTAGTTGAGTCCGTGAAATGCTGTCACGTGGGGACCGTTGCTGACGTTCACATGTCCTTTACAGCATGTTTCTGAACACGAACGTGGTGACGCGGATATCGAAAGCGAATTCATTGCGGCAGAAAATGAACTATTTGTCCTCCATGATAGTCAGGGGTTTGAAGCTGGCGATAGCAAGACTTTCAAGACTGCAAGAGACTTCATTGACCGCCGACGCAAGGAGCCCAAATTACAGGACAAAATCCACGCGGTCTGGTACGGTCTTCTGGCTTCCGCTGCCGCTCTGACATACTGATACTGCTTGAAGGCTCTGCCTTTCGATACCTCATGCCGATGGACGCTTGCTTGAGAGCGGAGCAGAGGAATTTCTCAAATTGAGGAAGGAGATACTAGGCGATAGTGTGCAATGTTTGCATTTCGTTTCTCATGACTCATATTTTAAGTCTAGTTCCGATCATTGCTGTCTTCACCAAGCATGACGTTTTTGTCAACAAATTGGAGCTCGAAGCTGTTGATTCCGACCAATATGATGAAGTCGCGCTCGAAGAGCTTAAAGTTAACACATTGGATAAATTGTGTATTCAGCCGCTTAAGGAAGTAGCTGGGAGCGACATCCTGCACGCAACTGTTTCAAGTAAAGGGGTCTAAATTCTCTAGTCCCCGATGCTGACATACTATTATAGCGAACGAAGAGTACGAGAGCACGATAAGACAACTGGTCGATCTTACAACCACGAACGTTGAAAAATATGTCGCCAAGAAGCAGCATTAGCAATGATGGTGGCCCAGCGAGTAGATATCAGTCTTAATGTTAAGGCATCAATTGCGTATGCACGATGACTGTTATTTTGGTAAAGCCTCGATTTCACATTTTTGCTTTTCGCAGCGTCAGCGAGAAAAGTTAGTCTTGCCAGAATCTCCCTCTATGGATGCTCAAAGATATAACTTCTCAGCTTCCAGCAGCCACACTACTTCAGGAAAGCGACAGGCGAAGCATACAACAGGAAACTCGGCCTAGCTCCCCGTCATTATCATGCCTTGACGTCAGTACTTTCATGTTTGACTTCCTGTCTTGCTTTTCTCACATTGTTGTCGCAGGTTGATGCTACGGGAGGCGGTGACTTCATCGAAGAGGCGTATGACGACCCATGCAACAACTTCTTCCGGGTAAAACTCTTGTTTCTATGCAAGAGTGCTGCTACTGACAACAAGTACTTCTAGTTGTCGCAGCAATCTCTCGCATTGCCATTGCAAAACAATCTGCAGCGATACGGCATTGTCCCTGAATCTGACGCGGAAGCAGCTGCAGCCATGCTACTATGTATGAATGGTGGTGTGGTCGACAGTTCAATGCGACCAGGTCAGCCTGTATTTGTGGCATAGGTGTCTCAAGGACGGCCCACACAAACACAAGCCTCGACAAGCGGGCCAGAAGAAATTGTAGTAAGCTGCTGTGGATCTGTCGTCGTTCCAACTCGCATCAGCCATGAGTTCGTTATGATGAGATACCCTGTCACTCAGTTGTTGAGTTCGGTCGTATCGGATGCTTCGGACGACGCCACGTAGTACGAGCGCGACTGTTTGACAGAGGCACGAGAAAAGAGACGTCGAGTGTCACTCGATGTCTAGATACCAATGTTTCACTTTATCATTCTCCTTACAACGCTAATATACGTATCGCGTCAGTTTTACCTTATAAACTTCATAGATATCGAACGAACATCTCAGTCCCAAAATATAGACTGAGATGTGAGTTGTTACTTTCGAACTTACTTTAGAACGCGCACTGATTCAAACGAGTAGATATTGTCCCTATCTACTAGGTACTGTACATGGACTTAGAGTCCCAAAATATAGACTGAGATATATTGTCCCTATCTACTAGCTCCCTCCCGATCCGCTCGCCTCGAACCTCTAAAGGTTATGAGCCCTGCTACTACCATGGATACTTCGCTCCCCAGCTCCAACTCCGCGCTCTTCAACATCCCAAAGCTCGCCGACGACGGCCTGAATTGGATAACCTATAAGGGAAGAATGTTGACGGCGATTGGCGCTCAAGGCCTGATGCGATATATCGATGGTCATAAGAAAAAGCCCGTCCCTTTCGAGGTTGACCCATCGACTGGGAAACCGAGGAAGAAGGACGGCTCGAAGCCAACGGATGCGGAAATCGAGGACCTAGACGATCAGATAGACGAATACCAGCAAAAGGACTCACTGGTAAAACAACAAATATTCAGTACCATTTCCGATCAGCTCTTGCTCCGGATCCAAAACCTAGGCAGCGCAGCCTCCATCTGGGACGAGGTTTGCAAGATCCACGAAGGGAAAACTGAATTGGTCCAGATAGACCTCCGCCGCAGACTCCAGGAATTGAGATGCGAGGAAGGGGGCGATGTTAAAGCGCATTTCGGGGAGCAACTACGTGTTACGACTAGGATAGGTCGAGCTCTCCCTAGGCGGATTGCCTAATCTGATAGCGGGCTCGCTACTGGAGAGACGGGGATCTTCTCTCGAATGAGAGGTTCGGGGGTTCCACTAAAGGTAGCGTCGGCTTTCCTTTAGGTGCGGCTTAGACTGAGTGATTGGGATGATCACACAGAGGAAGTTCTGATGAAAACCTAGTAGAATCAAGTAGGGAATATACATGATTCTGTCTGCTCTATATACTGTCGTCCGTGTGCACAGACCAATACTACGTTCGGTAGATAGGTATGAGTGTGTCTATACAAGGGCATCTTATCTGATGCCATGCGGGCGATTATCTGTACATGAGGCATTGCACGCCTCTTCTATCAGTCCTCAAGGCTGAACATGCCTTGTAGTTTAACTGCGCATGCTGCGGCATGCGGCTTCTCTTCTGACCATGAGGCAGAGCTTCCTCATGATCTGGGTCGAGGACCATCTAGGTCCGTCCAGATGTTGCCTAGGCTGGTCTAGGTCATCTAATGGCATCCAGGCCGTTCTAGGCGTCTCTACGAGTCTCCGTTGAGTTGGTAAGTCTTCCAATGACGGTGTATAGGCGGGATAGGGGCTAAGGTCATGGTGACCTCCGTAGGAGGGGTTCTCGGTTACATGTTATTGTAACACTACGCCTCCGAGAATTGCTTGCGGGCATGGGCGCTAGTATAGATGACCGCGATTTCTACGTGATCACGTTGGGCTCATTGCCCGAATCCTACCGCCCGTTGGTCTCGTCAATAAACGCAGCGGCCAAAATAGCCACGAAGGTGCTTACCCCGTATGAGTTGATCAGCGTGGTCACTGAGGAATACGAGCACCGTCAGCTCTCAGAACGTAGAACTGGGAAGAAAGGGAGTAACTCAGCTTTTACAGCTAGAGCCACCCAAGGGAGTCGCCGTGATACTGGCAACTCCAACCAGCAGAACGCAGACGTGGTGTGCCACAACTGCGATAGGAAAGGCCACTACAAGAGTGACTGCTGGAGGAAGGGAGGCGGCAAGGAAGGGCAGGGCCCACGTCAGAAGAAGGCGAGACAGAACAAGACTGCTGCAACAGCAGCAGCCGCCACTGACTCCCAGGATAACTACGCCTTCGCGTTAATAGACAGCGTGCCTATGACTGGAGAAAACGACTCACCCGAAAAGAACCGCACGGCAATCATTGATTCTGGCGCTACCTCCCACTTCTGCCCAAACAGAGCCGAGTTCATCTCCTATACCCCAATCAAACCCCTCGACATTAGAACTGCAGACGGCTCAATAATTAGTGCCATAGGTCGCGGTGATGTAAGAATGCACTTACCGCTAGGATCCAAGTGGACCAGAGTCACCCTCAAGGACGCACTGCACATGCCAAAGATGAGCTATACGCTCGTGGCGACGAACCGTATAATGGCCGCCGGATTAGCAGTCCATTTCGAGGGGACCAACTGCAGGATCTTGTCCACGGGTCCCAAACGGCAAGTAATCGCCGAAATATCTCACGTCGACGGCCTATACACCATTGCGGGTCAGCACGAGCATCATGCTGCATTAGCCAAGGGAAAAGTCACCTTGGGGGAACTCCATCGTGCACTGGGACACGTATCGCACTCGGCAGTTAAGTCCGCTGTCGAAAAGGGCTTGGTGGAAGGCGTTGAGCTTGACTCCGCCTCGGAACCAGAATTCTGCGAGGCGTGTGAGAAGGGAAAGGCTGCAAGGCAGCCGTTCCCAAAGGAGTCGAAATGTCGTGCGCAGACGTATGGCGAGTTGATCCACACTGACCTCTGGGGACCTGCGCAAACTGTTAGCATAGGTGGGAGCTCATATTACATGAGCTTCACTGACGATTACTCCCGCGAAACGCACATCCTCTTCCTGAAGCACAAGAGTGAGGCCCTTGGAGCTTTCAAACAATATGAAGCATGACTCACCAGGCAGCATGACGTGAAGATTAAGACTCTGTGTTCCGACCGGGGAGGAGAGTACCTAAGTGCAGAATTCGATGTGTACTTAGCAGGTCAGGGTATCAAACGAGAACTCACCGTACACGACTCTCCCCAGCAGAACGGCGTCGCTGAACGCCTCAACAGGACGCTAGTCGAGTTGACACGCGCGATGTTGCTGGCACATAACGTGCCCAAGTTCCTGTGGACTGCCACAGTCAGCTATGCCAGCTGGCTGCGTAACCGCTTACCTTCAAGGGCAACGCCAGGACACACCCCATTCGACCTGGTGCACGGTCGCCGTCCCAATTTGGCCCAGGCCCACGAGTTTGGCGCAAAGGTGTATGTCCACCTACAGGACGCTGGGAAGCTGGAGGCAAGGGCGGAGGAGGCGGTTTTTATAGGCGTGGACGACCAGAGCAAAGGGTACTGGGTCTACTGGCCGGGTAAGCGTCGCATTTCTGTAGAACGAAACATTAGTTTCGTGCCCACAACTATAACCGTGGCTGCAGACGTACTGATCGAGGGGGAGAAGGTGCCGTTGCCAGCGAGTAACGATCAGCACGTCTTGACACCCACACCATCTACCCCACCGAAGCTCCAGACACCACTCCCCGAACCTACTGCCCCCAGAGCAACGCGTGTTCGCCCTCCAATCGGGTACTACAAGGCCCTGAATGAAGGGGAGTCAGCTTCTATAGCGACTGTCCCAGACGAGGACGGAAACGACGCTCCACTTACCCACTGGGCTCTAGCAGCAGCAGAGCCTGAACCGACGCTCCAGCAAGCCTTGAACGGTCCAGATGCGGTGGAATGGCAAGAGGCGATAGACTATGAACTTAGTCAGCTTGAGAAGTTAGAAGCCTGGGAAGTGGTAAACGTACCACGTCATGCTAACGTCATACCCTGCCATTATGTCTTGGCCACCAAACACGGCCCGGATGGTGAGAAACTCAAGCTGCGTGCCCAACTCATGGCAAACGGCCAACGTCAGAAGCACGGCCTCGATTACTCGGAGACTTTCGCTCCAACCACCAACATGCCCACTATACGTACCGTTCTCGCTATGGCTGCCCAGAAGGACTGGGAAATTCACCAAGTCGACATCAAGAGCGCATACTTGCATGCCGAGATCAAGGAAGACATCTACATGAGAGCGCCTCCTGGATACCTGAAGGCTGGAGATGAGGGCAAGGTTCTGAAGCTGAAGAGATGTTTGTATGGGTTAAAGCAGGCGGGATTCGAGTGGTCGGAAGAACTGGCAAGTGTATTCTTAGAGATGGGATTCACGTGTTCGCAAATTGACCAAGCCATTTACTACATACGCGAGACTGACAAACACATGGTGGTCACCGTCTCAGTCGACGATATGGCGGTCACATCCAAACACCTGCGACACATCACCGAATTCAAACACCACCTCCGTCAGTACTTCGAAATCACCGACTTGGGCGAACTCGGCTGGTTATTGGGTCTACGGGTAGAACGGAACCGACCCGAGCGCACCATCACCCTTTCCCAACACGCCTATGTCAGTACCATACTCGAACGCTTCCATCTCACCGACTCGAAGAGCGCAGTGATCCCAATGGACGCTAGCTGCACATTGTCGGTGGAGCAGTCTCCCGATACTCATGCCGCACTCGCTGACATGCTGGACGTGCCGTACCAGCGTGGCATTGGTTCACTCATGTACGCTGCTACGAGCACGAGGCCCGACATAGCATTCGCTGTGGCCACGCTATCCCAGTTCATGCGCAACCCCGGCAGGGTGCACTGGAAAGCTGCCAAGCGCACTATGCGCTACCTCAAAGGTACAGCGGACCACGGGTTAACGTTGGGGGGAACAGATGGAGGACTTGAAGCTTACGTCGATGCAGACTGGGCCTCCCAGCCCCATCGCCACTCAATGTCTGGGTACGTGATTATGCTAAACGGCGGCCCTGTTGCATGGAGCTCGAGGAAGCAACCAATTATAGCGTTGTCCACCGCGGAGGCAGAGTATATAGCCTTGACGGCTGCTGCGCGGGAGATACTCTACTTACAGCTTCTCCTCAAAGAACTCTACGACGAAGACCATGGCTCTACCCCCATTCATTGCGATAATCAGTCCGCGATTGCGTTAGCGTCGAACAGCAAGTTCCACGCGCGCACGAAGCATATCGACATACATTTTCATTTCGTTCGTGCGCATATCAAGAACGGAACATTCGAATTACGCTACTGTCCTACTGATGACAATGTAGCAGACACGTTCACCAAGCCGTTGCCACGACCGCGCTTCCAGAAGCTCAGGACCATGATGTCACTCGGTCCCGCTCGAGGGGGAGTGTTGAGTTCGGTCGTATCGGATGCTTCGGACGACGCCACGTAGTACGAGCGCGACTGTTTGACAGAGGCACGAGAAAAGAGACGTCGAGTGTCACTCGATGTCTAGATACCAATGTTTCACTTTATCATTCTCCTTACAACGCTAATATACGTATCGCGCCAGTTTTACCTTATAAACTTCATAGATATCGAACGAACATCTCAGTCCCAAAATATAGACTGAGATGTGAGTTGTTACTTTCGAACTTACTTTAGAACGCGCACTGATTCAAACGAGTAGATATTGTCCCTATCTACTAGGTACTGTACATGGACTTAGAGTCCCAAAATATAGACTGAGATATATTGTCCCTATCTACTAGCTCCCTCCCGATCCGCTCACCTCAAACCTCTAAATCAGTGACTTATTTCTTTCATGTACATTGTATATATGAACTGCATATCCCATACCTAGACTCCATACCAACGCCGTCCCAGAGGCGGTCTCTGCCACCAGTCAGCTACATCGAGAGATAGACCTCTTCCTGTCTCGAACTCGCTATCATGTCCATAATCATCAAGCGACAGATGCTGCACTTACGTCCTGTTGTTTTCTTCTTTCCCGCGACCCGGGCCCGCAAACAACGATACAGCAGATGAGCTATACAGTCGTGGTACTTGCAGGGTTCATGTTTTTGGCAATTTCCTGGTATTATTTTCCGGTGTACGGAGGCATATATTGGTACACTGGACCCATATCCAACTTTACACCGGCCATCAGAGGTGAAAACGAAGATGAAGATTCTATATCGGAGAGGAAGGATCATGATGCCGATATCTATGTTTCAGCGGTGGATGTATAAGTAGTGTTCATATAGACTAGTGCCATTAGAGATGTTCGGGATATTGGATTAAAGCGTGTATATTGACTAAATACTATAACGAAAACTTTTGTATGACTCCTTGAAATATACCTCGAAACACTTGAAATGAACTTAATCAATGCCATCACGAAAGCGCAAATAAATAAAAGCAAATTTCCCTGCTCCTTGGAGAGTACTAGAGAACCATTAACTTCACCGAGCATCACACACTATTGCCAGTCGATATATGCACACGCTCTTGGAAAGCGATTGAGGTCATGCCGGTTGCTGCATCAGAGTTGGCAACGAGCTCAGTGTGATATTTTCGAACGCTAAGGATCAGGCGCGGTCCCAGCACACACATCTGCCCGACTAAGAAAATTTGAAGAAATCCAGAATAATTCTGGACTTTCAGGGGATTTTGGTCCTATAGAAATGATGAACCATGATCCCACGCAGAGGTCAGTAAAATATTGACATACCGCTGAGAGTACTACAGAGAAATCAAATACGAGCTGGAAGCAAGACGTAGCAACAAAGCTACCACCACCGAACCTTCAGTAAGAGGAATAATGATCACACCATGAGCTCACCTCACAAAGTAGACCACGTGAGCTTTCACCAATACCGTGAAACAGTCCCTGGTGATACTTCCTGTCGAATATTGTCGCAATTCCCTGAAGTGCTTTACAGCAATCCAGATTGCGAGACATAGTGTGAGGACCTCCCACGCTGTTCCAAGTATCCAAATAATAAGATCCAAAGGCAAGCCACCTTTTCCAAAGTCAATCGAGCACTGATGAGTGCCAGAAAGAATAAGTTCCTCTGGTATTCATCAATGAGCACTATGCACATTTATTTTTATCCACAATTAAGTGTACCTCCTGAAAGATATAGAGTTATCATTACAACAGCCACTCCGTTAAAAATGTTGTCAGCCAGGAAGATGACACTGAGAAATATCAGTATCTTTCTGGATCGTTGATACATAGCATATAACCGAGTGATCATGACGACTTGCAGCATGTTTCAGTCAAGGAAATAACTGTCGCAAGTGCCAAGCTCACCCCCCAGTATTGGAAATATTAAACCACCGACACAAAGCTGTACGATGTATGAAATAATGCCTAACAAATTCAGTCAGTGACAAGCCTCGGGTAGCACACACTCCAAAATGGACTCACATCTGTGGCAGTATAGTGTAGCAGTCATTAGTGAACCAAGAAGTTAGTAAAGAATTACACTGACCCCTACAGGACACCACGGTCAATTGAAGGGGGATGATATGCATCTGTGCAGGAAACTCACCGTATCTGTTAGCGAAATGGTTGGAAGACAGTCTGCATGCCATTGGTTAGGAGAAGCGAAGGCAGTGAATATACTAAGGAGACATACTCAACATAGCTACACTGATTATGAGAGATAGACAATCAATACAACATTGGTTATTTGACCTTCCGAACATACGCAGTACATAAGATTCCAAGGTAGCGCACCTAGGATACGTTTAAGTCAGCATAGCATGGAAACTACAACCAATAAGCCGCATACACCAAGATACAGAACTGTCATTAGGGACCAGCGTTGACCCTGGAATTAAGTGTGCATTCATGTGTGTTCCTCTGACATGATACTCCACTCACCCAGATCAGTTCGACCTAGTATAAAACCATTGTTAGCGAGATGGTCACCCTAGCCATAGCATTGACATACCTCCTGTCCGAACGAAAGTGCTGAAATAGTTCTAGGATATCAGCGGCAGTCCTTTAATATCATGATGCTCACCCCAATCATACGTCACTCCAACAAAAGTGGCAACTGCAAAACTGCAGCTAAGGTTAGAATGAGTCAGCTTCAACATTCAACAGCTCTGCACGAACCTACAATATAGCTGGAATAACGATATCCGTTTATGATCGGCCACAAAGTGGGATCGTTTAAGACTATGGTCATATTGATAGAGAATGAGTGTGGGTGAGAGGCAAATTTGGTGGACGTACTATGGCAATGAGATATACCATGTGCTTTAAGTACCAAAATGAGGTCGAGAGATTATATTTGTTCCTGCAGTGCACATTACCCAAAGTGAGTATTTTCATATGAAGAAAGATGAATTCAATCCAGGTGCGTAACATAAATGTTGGTCGTGAAGCAGTCACTGTGCACTGTGTACTCTGCCTCCATCATCGGACTTTGTATCACATGCCAAAAATGGCAAGTACAGAATCCTCAATTTGCAATGTGGCGTTGGTACGACTCATCAGTTTGCACAGCTAGAGACATGCTAGTTGAGGTGCAGTACTCTTCCAAGTTGACCACGCACGTCAAATTCAGATAGGCCAGCCAGTGTCCGCTCCGCAGTCCGAACCGTAAGTGGGCATAAACTTCATTTATCTCTTGGTTTGGTTCAACTTTTGTTTGGATCGCAGAATAGGAACCACAGAACCACATATACTATGCATCAGGGAATCTCAGTCGTTACGGTAATGTGAATACTGACTGGTGATTCCCCGTCGACTATTAATCTCTTTTAATACTGCACCATTAGTGGTTCAGGCTGAGTCGAAATCACCCACTTGCAACGGTGCAATATGACAACTCTGAGAGCTTCAGCGATTTCCAAGTTGCACCCGCAACCAAGTGCAGATGAAACGACTCTCGCCAAGCTAGGATACAAGCAGGAGTTTTACAGGGAATTCACTCCGCTAGAGGTGAGCTTGATTTCAGACTCTTCTGTGTACGCGACACAAGCTAACAATTGCAGGTGGCTGGACTTGCATTCAGCTTTGTTGGAGTGGCTCCTTCAATAGCGTAAGCCGTTGCTATGACGCAAGCCAATTAAAATCTCATCGCTAATGATAACAATTCGTTCAGTTCTGTGCTCTTCTATGCAATACCAAACGGTGGGCCTTTCGCGATGGTTTGGGGTGTAAGCATTCATCACACGTGAGGATTCCTGTTTCGTAAATATCTCACATTTTCTCTGCGCAGTGGGCATTTGCTTGCCCCTTTATCGTGTGCACTGGGATGGCGATGGCAGAGCTCGCATCAGCAGCACCTACTTCCGGCGGTGTATGTCATTGACGCTGTCGCTGTTTCACACTTGACTCAACACAATCTAGCTATACTATTGGACTTACTCTCTTGCTTCTCCACGATGCCGCAATTTTCTGTTGTGGATAGTTGGCTGTAAGTCCTGCATTTCGATGTGACATGCAGCCAGTTCTGACTCATCTGCAGATTCGAACACCATAGGGATTATCACAGGAGTCGGTAAGACGGGTTCCATTTTTTCAACAGTCTCCTCCTAATCACGTGTGCTAGCTTCCGTCAACTGGGCTTGTACAATTCAAATCATCGCAACAACCAGTATTGCCTCCTCTGACCAGGTGCATGCGACTACCAACCAGCAACTCTAGTAAGCTCGTCCTCATGCAGACACGACACTCTTCATATTGGTTGCTATAGTGGTATATACGCAGCTTTGCTTTTGTCACAAGCTGTCCTTGTAAGCTTGGGTACCAAAATTTTGGCAAGGCTGCAGAGACTATTCATGTTAGTGAATGCATCGTTCTACCACTGTTCGGAACAAGACAAACACCTCAGCGCAACATTTGATCTCGCCATGTGAGCTCCACACACACTGGGAGAAACTCGTTCAGAACATTGTAACACAGTGGGGTGACCACTGAGCAGGTTTCCTTGTTTGTACATTGTTGCTATACTATAGGCACATTGCCGTGGAAGACCACAAAGAGGTTTTGTCTACATCGATCATGATTGTTGATCCCAGGCAGCTGCAGTCGACTAGCAGCGATATTCTAAAGGTTTGCCCGAGATTCCGGCTACTGGTAATAGGGAAGGTCCGTCTCTGGCATTGTCTCCAAGCATAGACGCTCACGCATCCACTTCGTAGACCAGAGTCGGAATGACACCACTAATCCAACAGACATTCAAAACAAATGGAGTGGTTGAGTCCATGAATTAGTGCCACATGAGGATAATTCCTGATGTTCACCCATCCTTTTGTAGTGTATTGATGAATACCCGCGTGGTGAAGTGGATATCTGCAAGGAATGGATTGCGCCAGAAAATGAACTACCTTCTGTCCACAATAGTCAGGAGTTTAAAGCTGGCGACAACAAGATTTTTATGAACTTCATTGACCGCCAACGCAAGAAGCCCAAACTGCAGGACAAAATCCATGCGGTCTGGTACAGTCTTCTAGCTTCCGCCGTTACTCTGCTATACTGACATTGTTTCTCTGCCACCAGCCAGCTACATAGAGATATCGACTTCCCCTTGTATTGAACTCGCTATTACGTCCATAACAATTAAGCAGCAGATGCTCCACTTACGTCCTGTTCGAAAGGGAGGGGGAAATTTACATGGAGATCAAGAAACGCAGTCGCTCATGTCCTTTAAAGACAAGGAGAAAGGTAGTCTCAGATGTTCTGGGAACAAAAATGAAAAGTGTGGTCGAAAGGGAGGGTAAAATTTACATGGAGGTGAAGACTCAAAAACAGGACGCAATTGACGAGTGACACAAACCTTTTAAAGACAAGGGACTATATTCTAGGTCCTGGAATACGCAGCAATGATGATGCGCAACCGTGGCATTAGCTTTAGTATCCATATATTAGATGTTTGAGATCAAAGCAGTCAATCCGGACATAGTGAGAAATCAAGACATGTAAGTGAATAGAAGTGAGAGCACAATGAGCTAAGTGCGAGCATGAGTATTGCTACCATTATTCTGGTGATGACCGTAAGGGCTCCAAGTCCCATTTAGGAGGCATCCTCAGTCTGCCATCAGCAATGACGCGCTGTGGAGTGTCAATCAAAGAGGGAACGAGAAGTAAGAGGGGTCACGTTACCTCGTTACCATGTGCAGCTGCGACATTGACTGGCTGGCTCGGACTGGGTATCGGCCGACGGAGATGAAGGTGTTGCTGAAGGAGCTGCGTGATCTTTTGGGGGTAGCGAAGACGTTCGGCTGACGGGCGTGCTTGCTGTGCTTGCCTGCTAAATGGTAGACGATTTAATAATGCCATAACGCGAGACTGTTGTGCAGATTGCTGTAGCACACTGTATGGGAGGTAGTTGGAGCGGCGGGGTGGATAATTTGTGTCGACCTGGAGATGGGCTCAGCCGGCGTGCCTCAAGATGTAGCTAAATATTTGAAGACTAACACTATCAAAGAATCTCGGCGGAAGTTCATCATCTGGTGATGGAGAGTTTGGGATGGTCTCCTGCTGGAAGAATATTTAGGGATGGTGAAAAAAAGATGGAATTTGCTTGCCTGTAACTCCTTTTTTCGGACTCGCTCAGAGGAACTGTCCTTGTGCGAATGAGGCTGTCACCTTCACAGCCGGTCGCGATGAATTGGCTGTCCTCTGAAAATGCCGCATACAAGACAGTGCCAGGATGCTTGAGTAGCTCACCGATGGGTTTGAATGTGGCCAAGTCAAAGAACTTATATCGTGTTGTCGTATGACGTAATGACCAATTTGGTGCCATTGGGAGCAACGGCTAGCGATTCAAAGGGTTTGGTGTGGATGTCGAACTGTTTGATGCGTGAAGATGAGAAGAGAGAGTTGTGTGGGAAGGGACTAAAAAATAATCGGTTTATCAGTCAGGGCTGCTAGACAGAAAACGTCAGACTCACCCCCTACGACGTCGAACTGCAACAGAGGAGTCATTCTGCGCTGCAGGCTTCGTGTTCTCTGCGTAGCGGAAACTCTGTGTCCGTGCATGGAAATGGGGTGGAGGCCCGGGTGTTGCATGTGTATAGGCACATTTGGCAAGAATTTCGGAGCGATGGTCGAGCTCGTATGAATCGGATTGAGAGAACGCGGAAGATAGGAAGGTTAAGGTTGATGAACTGAAAAAGATGAACAGGACGAGGGTGATGGTGAATAGGACTGGGTGAGCCCGGCGCCGCAAAGGAGGCCGTGTAGCCAACGGTGAGCTACCTATTATGTGAGACGGTGCCACTGGCAGGCAAACTTGACTCTGTCAACAAGTACTAATATGTACCATGACTATTATGGGATGGTCGACATTGATCGTGGCCCGTGGGTAATTATGTAAGGTGATTCTTGAAGGAGTCGTCAGCACTTCAGTTCTGAACATATACTATGATATGATCAAATCCTACTATCTTTCTCTGTCACAGACAATCAAACCCCATTGATTTGAATTCGCTTTCATTGAGTAAGGCATGCTCTCCTCAGTTCAGGACTCCAAGTATTCCTTCAGTTTATACTGTTTAGTCATGGGTCAATCTTTTCACGGTTGTCTGGCTATTTGTCTCATTGATATATAGCGACCTTGTAGAACAGGTTAATCACCCTTTCAGCACTGGAACTATAGCAGGGTGTTTGGCTGTAGGTTTTACTTCGAGCGCCCTACTCAATGGTTCAGTAATCAGTATTCGCTTGCAGGTAACCCCACTTTGTTATGTCGTGCGCCGACATTTACAGCTCCAAATTGTGCTACCACTAGTCCTCTTGCAAGGCTCTCTGTGTGCCATGGGGCTTACAGGGTTGCAAACCTGTACATACTAGTACGGTAAGGAAAGTTTCCTGCTTTCATACTAAATGAGTCTACTCTAATCAGAATTCTTCATACCAGATGGGATGTAGCCTACTACTTGCATTGTTCCATGGAACCGCACTCTTGAGACATGATTCGGTAAGAGAGTCTGAACTTTGACATTTATTCAATGCCTTCGACTACTATTAATGTCACCTTTTAGAAATGTTTGCCGATATATTCCGCCTTCATGAGATCTGATTGGGTCAAGTTATTCCTGAAGACCAAGTAGAGGTAAATTGTGATAGAAAGAGAAGGCATTTGAAGTTCACCTTAGCCAAACACGGATTCGAAGTATGACATAGAAGGGATGCCTCGTAAGTGCCAAGTTGGAAGGTATCCGAATAACCTTGCTTCTTACGATATGTTACGATAACATTTACTCCTATCATTTCTTTTTGTTCTGTTACATACCAAATGGGCCGTCCATACCTTTGTTCTCTTATCCAAGCAGGCCATCCGCCCTATCGCTCTTATCACTCTTATCTCTTATTCAAGCGGGCCGTCCGCCCTATCGCTCTTATCTTGGTAACACATTTACAAGCTCCGCTTGAACATTTCCTATATAGACCATAGTATGCACGATTGTATTCCTTACTTTAATCTACTGGGTTTTACCTGGAACATTCCTTCAACAAGGTCTCCAACCTTGTTGCCTAAGAACCATGATTCTAAGAGAGTCATCGACACTCGTCTTAGCCTAGACCCTTGATCCTCTCATTCGAGAGAAGACCCTCGTCTATCAGGCTCATCGCCGATTGTCCATTCGGACTCTGATAGCTCGACCGATCCCAGTCGTAACACGATACATCCGAGTTCATGGCGAATAAAAGCCCTCGCGATTTTGACTAGATGATCCCTTCGACCATAACACCCGAATACTCACTCCAATTCCAACCATGCAGCTCACGCTCATTTTCACCACACTCGTTACATTTGCTGCTATTGCGGCGTCACATTCAACACCAAAATTGGTCAAAAAACATACTTGTGAGCACTGAGGACTCGTGCCATTCTTGTCGGTGAGAGTGATGCTGATACACTATGCAGCTCTGGCTAAGCGCCAGGAACTTTCCTCCAACCTCATTGGTCATCTTAAACCCAGGCTTGGGATGCCCGATACACCTGATAAACCTGATGATCCTGACTCGGTTGACTTTGGCGATATGCCTGATACACCTGACTCGGTTGATTATGGTGATGCACCTAATTTTCTCGTGTTGTCTCTCCTCCCATTTCCTCATCCCGCCAGCTCCTCTGACTCTGACTCCTCCGACTCTGACGATAAGTCCGTCGATTCTGACTCCTCCGACTCTGATTCCGACGATAAGTCCGTCACTTCTGACTCTTCCGACTCTGATTCCGACGATAAGTCCGTTGCTTCTGATTCCGACGACTCCGATTCCGACGAGAAGTCCGTTAATTCTGACTCCACCGCCGATGCTGATGCAAGCGGCGAAGCCAACGATAACAATGACATTGATAATGATGACACAGGGAGTGAGGAGCGCGGGATGCGCGAGGAGGCTGAATCTTACCATGCCCACAAGAGAAGGTCTAACACAATAGACAGTGGCGACACGGGGCGCGAGGATGTTGGATCCCACTATGCCCACAAGAGACATCCCAGCTCCCGCGTCAACTCTAAATCCGTTGTCTCTGACTCAACCAATGGAGGCGACGACAGTGACAGTGGTGACACGGGGCGTGAAGACGTTGGATCTCATCGCGTTCACAAGAGAAGCCCCAACTCCCATGACTCTGAGTCCTCCGTCTCTCATTCACCCGACGAAAGCGACAACAGTGACAGCGGCGACACGGGGCGTGAGGATGTTGGATCTCATTACGTTCACAAGAGAAGTTCCAACTCCCGCGACTCTAAGTCCTCTGCCTCTCATTCAACCGACGAAAGTGATAACAGCGACAGCGGCGACACGGGGCGTGAGGATGTTGGATCTCATTACGTTCACAAGAGAAGTTCCAACTCCCGCAACTCCAAGTCCACTGCCTTTCATTCAACCGACGAAAGTGACAACAGCGATAGCGGCAACACGGGGCGCGAGGATGTTGGATCTCATTACGTTCACAAGAGAAGTAAGTCATTACAGGCCTGGTAGATCACTATGTATAACACCTGTCACACCAGAGGCTTTTGTTTACCGTCTCAAGCACGAAAATCGCTACAACTAGGCAATATATCCGAGAGAGGTATTGATTTTCTTCTTGATTACTATGAAGTCTTATTGCTGTTTAGCTTTCGAATTAGGAAAGGGTTGCGAGAAGACGTATTGGGTTTAATACATCATAGAGCTACAGCATCAGCACACAGGCTAGCTCAGGTTGGTGTGTCGAAATCGATTCTGGGACCCTTATTATTTGCACGAAAAAGCAGATAATTGAGGACGGACTCAGTCAATGAGCTTAGTGTCTTGGACAAGTAAATATTTGTTGACAGTGACGCACCAAATGGATCCTGACTTAGACTGGGTCTAAATTGAGATTCTAGTAAATGTGGTCACATGCAGCACTTACTGACTATCATATGAGGCTGTGCGCTAAGGACCGCCAATAAGTTGGTTCAGGAGCACTTTACTTATGCTCCGCGAGCAAGCAGACCCAATATCCGTCAAGTGCGCCTAGCTTGATACTTTCAACTTTCCATTGGCTTGCCCACGTACGTTTATGCGCTCCATTCTATCATATACTGACTAACGTCGGACGGCCCGTTCCCAATCTGTGTCGGACCAATCCCATCGATTTCAGGCCATCATCGATTTCGAGCCCCTCCTCAGACAGACAATAAGCACTACAATGAGCCCCCCTAGACTCTTGATGATGGCAACGAGCAAAAATTGAGCTTTTGATCTATCGTGAATCGTGATCAACACTGGTACTAGTCTGTCTCTGTCTTCATATCGGCAGGACGTCTGTTCTGAATCCTGTGTTTCGACCCTACTATATCCGCAGCATGCCACGGCAGCACATTTCTTGCTTTTCGAAAGAAAGGTGGGCCCGCACAAACGCCTCATTAACGCTTCAAACGAAGTTTGCGCTTAATAACACTGAGGCTCTGTCCGGGGTTCCTCGAATTCAATCACTTCTCTGGCTTTTTCCTATCAATGTCCGACTGTGTTTGAGCTATCGTTATGTGATCTTGCAGAATAATGTGGGTGGTCACTGGATGGCGTAAATACTAGCAGGGGCTTGACTACGTACGTTCCAACTTGAGCTCTTTTATCTTGCAGTTCAACTATCCGTTTACAGGTAATTATACATTGTTGAATCGATTAAGACGAGCACTGACGATCACACTCCGAGTTTCTTACCCACTGGCATGGTTCCACCTTCTAGAGATGATGTTTGCGAGAGGTTCGAGTCGGGACAGTAAGTTTCCTACTTCCGCACCAAACATTCGCGACTTACGTCTGTTCTAGCCATATGAGGCTGCTACTATGTCACTGCCATTGGCTCTTTGCTAAAGAGATACGATAGGACCTCGTTTAGTTTCAGACCTAGAAGCGAATTGTTCAGTAAGAGAGTCCAAATTATGCTATCCCTTCCCTTATAACGTCACCCCTCAGAACGAATGGCATTTTGGGCCGTTACAACCAAGCCATGATAAGGCGTAATCGTACTTCTTTGTAAGTATCAGACGGGCTTGACAATCTACTTACTGGTCCACCTACATGCAATCCAACTGGATTGAGTTATCTCATGAGGACCTCGCATAAGCAATCGATACAGCAACTTGGAGAGAAGGGATTTGAAGTTCGTACCAGCCAGAACAGGCTCGGATCATACATGAGGACGCCTTGTCCACGAAGGTTCTCAATTATCATAACACCGCGGTATCCTCTCAGTGTTAGGATATGTCCGTGTGTAGTTGAGCGCTGACGTGTTGATCGAAGTTGACCTCCTGTTCTCCTCAGGTAGTTCTAAAGAACTTTGCGCAATAATGTATAAAAACAGGAAGCCAAGAAAGCTTTCAAAACAGCCCTTACTCTTCTTACTTCCAACCATGCAGCCCTCACTTGTTTTCACGATCCTCGTAACCTTTGCCACTATTGCTGTGGCATATCCCACACCAGAAATGGGGGCGGATTGTACTTGTGAGCACTCGTGCGCCACTCTAGTCAGTGGAAGTGATACACTGATACTGATATGTTATACAGCTTTGGCTCAGCATGGCCTTCCTTGTAACATTGTTGTCGTTGCCACTAGGGACCCTGGTTCTCCTGGTTCTCCTGGTCTGCTTGACTCTCCTGACTCTCCTGATTCACCCGACTCACCCGACTGCCCCGACTTCCCTGATTCCCCTGACTCTCCCGACTCGCCTTCTAGGCGTGAGGACGCTGAACCTAACTATGCCCACCAGAGAGGTAAGTCATTATATGCCTGGTGGATTAATCGACACCCATGTGTAACACTTATCGCAACAGAGGCTTCTGGCTACCAGTCCAACACCAAGAGGTGTGACGACTAACATGTATCTAAGAGAGGTATTGCTGCTCTTTGTTTCTACGATCATTTCTTATTGTTTTTCAGCTGTAAAATAGGCAACGATTCGCAAGGGGTGTTAGAACATCGTCAGTCCCAACTTGTACTAGTCCTTGATGTAAACCCGAATTCGTATTTATATTGGGTTAGACACAATGAAAATTTCGGGTAGCTACGATGTCTCGTGAAATCTACTTTGGTAAAAAAAAACGACTGTATTTAAACACCCAACCTACAAAGTGTGTGAGAAAAAAACGCAGCATGATAGTACTTGGGACCATCGCAGGGGTAATTTCGAGACTATCCACCATATAACCTCATATAACATACATGGGATTGTGGAACAATCCGATCGATGAGCAGGATTAATGGCAAGAGGCTGCCGCCAGGAAATTACCGAACAAGTGAACGCGGTCACGTGCGACGCGTTTCATTGACTTACTACACTGAGAATCGCCGATGTCACTTCAGCAAGCTTTTGTTTTGCATACGCCAGCCTCACTTAAATGGACTGCAGGCCAAGAAAAGAGTCTGAGCAGAGACTACCCGTTTCAAGACCATGATCCAGCAGATCCAGCCCTCTTTGTCCAGCGCACCTACCTTCACTTTCTATGGCTTCCTCATGTACGTCCTTCTCTAACCGTTCTATATATTTACTAACAACACTATAGTCAATAATGCCGCTCTCTCTCTTTATTCCATCTCTTCTCCGCATTCGAGGAACTCCGGATCTCGCAGAAGACCAGCCACATCCTCTTCACACCTTTATCGAACCTCTCCTTCTCTCTCTTCGCGCAGCCGCTAACAAGTACCATAATGAGCTTCCTCAGATTATCGCAGACGGAGGCGGTGCAGGCGAAGCAGAGGAGAGCATGATGTGGTATGCTTTGGGGTATGAGAAAGTTGATGGCAGCGCGGAGCGTAACGAACACCTCACCGGAGAAGAGAACGCGATGCTAGAAGAGAAATGGAGGTCAGGTTGGCTCGAGCGCATGGAGCAGCGTGAGTAAGTGCTTTTATCTCGCTTTTGGGCGCATCATAACGACTTTGTAGAGTCCAGATTCAGATCCTGCTTTATTTCCTCAAGCTCTCTCTTCCTGGACCATGTACTCCATTACCGCCTGTCGAAGTGCCACCAACCAATAATATTTTATTTATTTCGCCCGTCAAACCCAGCCGTTCACGGAAAAAGAAGAAGGAAAAACCAAACTTAATCATCCCGTCTTCGATCGAGCGTCTCGAGTCCTTCATGGACAAACTCTCAATGTGGCAGCTCGTATCACTTATGAATACTTCTCGCACTGAGATTGCGACCCGCAACAAGAATGAACATGACTGGATGCAAAAGTTTTGCGAGGACGTAGTTGAACCACTGTAAGTGACCGCCTTACGCACATATAAATCATAATACTAATCATCTAATCATTACAGGTTCAAATCCAAGCTCCCGGAGCAATGTGCCCTCCTGCGCTCCAAACTCTTCCCAAACTCTCCCTTCTCCGACGAACCTCCTTCTCCCGGACCATCTACTGGGAAATCACTTCATGGATCTCATTCTCATCATTCATCATCTACTACTGCAGCAGGCTCACAAAGTGGTGTAACGACAAGGCCCCCTGCTCGCACTCGCTCGCTGTCCATTTCGCTCGCCCAGGAAAAAGAAAAGGAACGTGCAGCAAGCGTAGGCGCAACGCAGGACAAGGCACTTCAGCGTGCGCTAACTCGACAGATCAGCATGTCTCGTACATGGAAGGGGAAAGATCGGTCAACAGCTGCGATGTCACAGACAGATGCAAAGATGCCTGCTGCAACCGCTAAGCGTATCATCGGGCGCACCGATTCCCAGTCTCAATCCTCCCAATCTCGCGCAACACCAGCGATCACCCTCGTAACCGCTACGCCTGTGAAGAAACCGCCTCCCCGTGCCAAGTCAAATGCGTCAGCTCGGAGTTCGAGTCCTATACCTATTGCCAGGAGTTCGAGCGTACTTACCACAGGGAGGACCTCGAGTCCACACCTCACCGGGCGATCTTCGAGTCCTCCGATCGCGCGGAGCTCGAGTCTTACGCTGCTCGACACAGATGACAACGAGCTTCCTTGCGCATCTGTCCCTTTACTTGACTTCTCCTCTGACAGCCTGGGCAATGTAATGGAGGAAGACGAGGATGCTGAGGGGGAAATGTGGCTCCCAAACTCTTCGCCTGATGTGTTGCTGCTTGGAAAGAGCGGGTGGGGCATAAGTGCCAAGAAACGCGTCCCGTCAGCTGCGTCACAAGTTCTGACTTCGGATACCCCTGTTAGGAAGCGGATGAAGCTTGGGAGGTAGGAACGTCAGTTTGTGCTGCGAGAGGTGAAATGCGAGGCAGGTAGTGTGATTTATGTCTATTGATTTCTGGGCACGTCGCCTCCTTTGGACCGCAACATGGCTGCATCCAACGGATGTACGTATGAACCCTCGTGGTTCTCGTCCGCACAGGAGTCTCGTATACACAACCACTATTTTTCGCCGCTTAGGACCTAGGTGCAGCGCCTTTGACGGCCATGGGACAACTAGGGCGCATCACTTATCCTTGGAACGATCTACACTTATATCTAGGGATCTGCACGGGTATCCACGGGTATCTCACGGGTTATCATCGTCTATCATCCACTCCACCAACAACCACACGTATATCTCTCAAATGACACTCAATTTTAGCACACGAAGTAGAGCACAGAATGAACTGAATGTCAAAAGCACGTCATGGCACTATAAGACTGGAGATATCTATGGGTGTCAACTTCTTTTTGGTTTCCTACACTCACTCCGAGCCGACTCCCAGTAACTCCCAGCAGGAAGAAATAGCCGCAATGATTAACGGATCAAACACACCACCCGATATCTTCCTTTTGCATGTCACCCACCCGGCCCCTAGTGGCAGACTGTAGCAGAATGATTATGATTCATACAGGTGCAGCCTGCCGGAATATCCCGGCACCAATGCGCGGTAGCGCCGCCGCGTTTTTTCTATACATCGTCGAGTTCGTCGCACCTGCTAACTTTAATACTGCTCCTCACTCGAGTAGACATTCGTTCTTTTACCCACCCACCACTCCCCTTAGTTCCACAATGCCTTCGTTTGCCAGTACTCCATAGTTTCGTCCATCCTTCGTACTACTGATCTTTTAATTATCATCCCATCGTTGCGTCTGTTCTAACTTCTTAGTGTGAAGCTAACTAGCGAGTCATTCAATTAGGCATAATCGAATCCGTAAGCAGTTGTCCCGCCCTCCCAGCGGATCCATCTCCTTGCGTCCCACCCTGAGCTAACGCTCGGTCATGATGAGATCATGTCACCGACTCGAGCTAGACGAAGCTGGATTAGTTGGATTCGAATGGAACGTCACGGTGTTCCCATGAACCAGGCCAGCGAGGCCAGCGAATCCCTCGACAGTTGTGTTCACTGTTCACGGACTTGTGTTTCCCCCTAGTACTTCGGAATGCTCACAGGGCACTACACAGTACCAGAAACCGAAGAGAAGAGATTTGAAGTTCGAGTGTGTACTAGTGACTTGTTACCACTCTCGAACTCCGCCACCGTTCGGCTGCCAAGGCTTGTCGGTCCATGTTCGAGATCTTCACCTGAGCTATAGGAGCCGAACAATTTCGGAGTGGTAACAACCTAGGTAAAGTTCGTCTTAGCCAGCCCCGGATCCAAAATACTATACCATGTCCGGTAAGCGTCAAATCGGAAGGTATCCAATGGACCTAGGTGGTTCTTACGACTAGGTGAAGTTTGTCTTAGCCAGCCACAGATCCGAAATATAACATGTCCGGTAAGCGTCAAGTCACAAGGTATCCGATGAACTTAGGCGGTTCTTACGATACTACATTTTAGTTCGTGGCAAATAAAAGCCCTCGCGATTTTGACTAGAGAGGTCTCTAGCACCCAAACACCCGTTGTCGATTCCAACCATGCAACTCACACTCATTTTCACCACACTCCTTACATTTGCTGCTATTGCTACATCACATCCGACACCAAATTTGGTCAAAAAACGTACCTGTGAGCACCGAGGACTCGTGCCTTTCTTGTCGGTGCTGATATGCTATGCAGCTTTGGCTAGGCCCCAGGAGCTTTCCTCCAACCTCATGGATCATCTCAAACCCAGGCTTGGGATGTCCGATACACCTGATAAACCTGATACACCTGACTCGGTTGACTTTGGCGATACGCCCGTGTCGCCTGACGTCGAGGTTGACAACGACGGCTTTATTTACAAGAGAATCCCCAACTCCCATGACTCTGAGTCCTGCATCTCTCATTCAATCGACGAAAGCGGCGACACGGGGAGCGAAGATGTTGGGTCTCACAAGAGAAGCACTAACTCCCATGACTCTGAGTCCTGCGTCGCTCATTCAACTGACGAAAGTGACATCAGTGACAGCGGTGATATGGGGCGCGAGGATATTGGGTCTCACAAGAGAAGCCCCGACTCCCATGACTCTGAGTCCTGCATCTCTCATTCGATCGATGAAAGCGGCGACACGGGGCGCGAGGATGTTGGGTCTTACAAGAGAAGCACCGACTCCCATGACTCTGAGTCCTGCGTCGCTCATTCAACTGACGAAAGTGACATCAGTGACAGCGGTGATATGGGGCGCGAGGATATTGGGTCTCACAAGAGAAGCCCCGACTCCCATGACTCTGAGTCCTGCATATCTCATTCAACTGACGAAAGCGGCGACACGGGGCGCGAGGATGTTGGGTCTTACAAGAGAAGCACTAACTCCCATGACTCTGAGTCCTGCATCGCTCATTCAACCGACGAAAGCAGCGACACGGGGCGCAAGGACGTTGGATCTCACCTTGTTCACAAGAGAAGTAAGTCATCACAGGCCTGGTGGATCCCTATGTATAACACCTGTCACCAGAGGCTTTTGTTTACCGTCTGAAGAACGAGAAGCGCCACAACTAGGCAATATATCCGAGAGAGGTACTGGTTTTTTCCTCTTGCATTACTACTATGAAGTCTTATTGGTGTTTGTTCAGCTTTCGAATTAGGAAAGGGTTGCGAGAAGGCGTATTGAGTTTCATACATCATATAGCTACAGTATCAGGATGCAGCCTAGCTCGCATGAGAGTAGGTAATCGAGTACGGACTCAATCAATAAGCTTAGTGTCTTTCACAAGTATTTGTTGACAGTGACGTGTTCGTTGTTGGCGGTGGGCACCAAAGCCCTTTACTGACTGAGACTAAGTCTAAATTTAGATTCTGAATGCGGTCACATGCAGTGCGTCTTCCTCCTGCTGACTATCATACGAGGTTGTACGCTAAGGATCGCCAATGAGTTGGTTCGGCGGCGCTTTGCTAATATTCACCTAACAAACAGTGTAACATATGTACGATTGTAGCACACGAAGTAGACCAGAATGAGATTACGCCTCGCCGATCAGAAAAGCACTACCCTTCTCCAGCTGAGGACCGCAGCATACATTATGCAGGAACGTTGACTCACCTCAGGTGCCGTGTACGTCTTCAATTTGACATAGTAACCCGCGACCCCTTTCCTTCGCGGCCTCTTTGTGCCGTTCCCTTTCAGATTTGCAAGTATAGACGATTGATGTTATTCTGGTACCTCTATGCGGTGCGGTTGGACGCATCTTAATTAAGCTCTCTCCATGCGGAACACAAGATACAGGGTGCATGTATTTGTAGCTAAATCATATTTTGTATTGTATTGATACGGAGAACGGCACGGATGGCTGTCGATCAGCTCGGACATCACTTCTGCATTAAGAACGAGGGCTATTTACTATCTATCGTGTCCGACCTAAGTATTACGAATCTACAAATCGTATTTGAAAAATGTCCTGTTTAATGTTCTTTAGAAAAAACGGAGGCATAAACTAAGAATATCAATCAACGGGAGGGAGAGGGAAATTCTGTTGAGGAATGCTATTGTATATCGGACAGAGCTGCCTCGAAGCATCTAACGTTGATCGTCAGACCCAGTCTAGTTCATAGTGCTCGGTGCTTACTATTGAAAGGCTGCGAAGCCGCTACATCTTCAGGAGCCTCTGCGAATACTATAGCCAGTCCGCTACGGATGCAATTATTAGTTCGAGTCCAGGCTCAGAGAAAGAAGCAACTCACGCGGATAGATGCCAATCGATATGGCTTTACAAAGACAAAAAGTTATTACCAGCTAAAAAGACATGGATATAACACTTACCAATGCAACAGCCAAGGCCCAGGGTTGTCTGTGATGAACCGGATAGTCACACGATCACCGGTGTTGCCAGTGGTCACTGTATCGCGCATGACGGGGTCGATGTAGTTATAAGCGGTACTTCCAGCACTCCTGATAACAGCGAAACTATGCTACAAACCAGATTATCATTAGTCCATCGAATGTATGTAGATGACACGGCAAGACGCACCCCATGAAGATGGAACGGATGCTGTAAAGACATGTCAGCCAAGGACATACACGTCATTGTAAAATGGACTCACAGGACCCCCAGGGGAATTATCTGGATTGAACGTAAGTTCGATAACCTTATTCCGTGGCAGAGTGTATACGGAGCCGTTGGGCGCAAGATCCGCAGCCGTAATAGCACCGCTCAGTAACTGTAATAGGACAGGGACACTAGGAGAAGTATACTGGATGTTATTGATGAGGAAGTTGAAATTGGACAGGTTTTTGCCAAGAACAAGGTCAAGTTTGACGTCTGGTTCCTGCAGTAAACGAGGCGAAGGCGGAGTTAGGGGGTGTAGGCTAGTCTCATTCAGAGCATCCCAGTCCGAGTTTGTCATGTTCTGGGGTTCTGCGTCGGGAGCGCCTGCATATCGAAAGATAGCCGTGGCATTTGTACCCGCGTCGGGATCGGCATGCACCCAATAGTTGTCGACAGGCTGGTTTGTCTCAAGAATGAAGGAGTATCGTTGCGCAGCGTAGATCTGGATAGAGTCCACTACGAGCGGCTCGACGTATTGACCATCGACTTCGATGATCGTAAGATTATGGCTGTCGATCGAGAAAATGTAGTTGGGCTTGCACGCCATGTTCAGCAAGCGGAAACGATATCGTTTTCCTGGCTGAACGTTGATGACGGCGAGAGGCACATTTGGCCCTCCATCATAACGCCCGACACCGTTGATAAGCACCGAGTCGGCAGTTACTTGTCTCTGCACTAGAGGCGATGGCAGGTTATACCTACAAAGCAAGCCGAGTCAATAACAGAAAAAGGTGCATAAGCCTTTTCTTTTCTTACCAGTCCATCAATGTGATGATGCTAGATTCTTCATTCAAATGTCAGAAACGCAACTCCGTTTCGTCGAACGCACTCACCATCATCAATATCGTACAATGAACTGTATGGGTCGTTGGGATTGTAGATGATCAGCGGACCTCGTAGACCGTCACAGTATTGGACCTAAATTGTAATCAGCTACCGACACCATAAATAAATAAAAGCACGTACTCCATAATGAGAGTGGTACCAGTACGTTCCCACTTGGTCGGTAGCATTGAAGTCATACAAAAAAGAGTGTCCCGGAGCGATCGGACATTGCGTGACAAATGACACGCCGTCCATTTGGTTGCTATGTTGTTGGAATAGTCCATGCCAGTGCTGTTTGAAACAGACATCATTGTGAGCTCCTACATGCATTTATCGGCTGGTACTTACGATACTGGTACTCGTTAGCATCGAATCGTTAGTCAATTGGTTCGTGACGTTGATCTTGAACGTGTCTCCCTAAATACACGCGAGGTCAACCAAGAGTTTGCGCATGCAAAGCAGACGCTACCTTCTGAGCCACGATAGTGGGCCCGGGATGAGTGCCACCGGCAAGAACCCCCCTGCGATGAAGTCAGTAATCATATAGGTCGAAAGGTAAGCAAACACTGACGATCTGGTGAACCCGTCTGGGGATACAATGCCATTTGCAATGACGAGGTCAGAAACTGGGCCAATAGTCACGGCACGACCCTGGAGGCATGCCAGAAGGCATATGAATACATAGAGTTGGAACATGACTCGACACTCGAGTCAATAGGAGGAGGAGGATGAGTGAAATACGTTGCATCCTTCAGCTTAAGTAGTGCTCCTGGTATCACCCCCTGGATCAGAGAATTGGTCTCCATATCTTCCGATTCGTGGATCGAAATAATCGACTATGAGGCAGTAATCCCCTGTACTGGTACGTCCCAGCAGATTCCCACCTATAGGTCACCACCGATCAACTCAAATGCATTACGGAGTTGTAGAATGGAAAATTTGATTACCTGTCAAAGGCAGTCTCCGTCAGCGATACGAACTCTGAAGCTGGGTAGCATCCAAAAGGGACTTGGCGGCTGACCGGAGTACCTGAATGCGCTTTCATGCCTTCCGTACGTTTTGTGGATGTCGTTGGCGGGGGGCGTTGCAACGGATCACCTGAATAAGCATTGATGGTTCAAGAGGCAGCTAGGCTGTCATGTCAGTTACAGTTACCGCCTTCAGACCTATTTTGGGCATGCAGGACACGACGGACCGCCTTGTATAATGCAATAGGATCCAATCACTAGCCAAGCAATACCGGTAGTAGAACATTTACATTTAGATCAAGCCTCGGCAGAGTTGTCAAAATACCCACGACCACAGATCTTCAAGACTCGGCTTGGAGCCAGGCACTGTAGCGATAAATTTGACAGTTGCCGAGTTCAAGACTGGTATGGAGATGAATCTGTTTATAAGCCGAAGATCTTTGGTGCCGCAGCCACGTTGCATGGTAGTTGCCCAGTAAGTAATGTCATATTTGAATGAACTCTGTAAGTAAACGTTGGCTTACAGCAATTTTCAAGAGCGTGAGTAGCTGCTGTCCCCCTGCGCTAGATCACCTGTTACTGTGTAGAATGAACACCCGACAAACTGATGAGTAGAATCTAATTATACCTCCGCAGCTAAAAAAATAATGTTATTGTTGTAAATTGATTCGTTGGACCGCATTGCGACGTCTTGGAGCTATATCAAGTGCCTGTATAGGCACATGAACATTATCCATCCAAGGCTATTGAATCATGTGGCCCCTGAGCTCAGCACTGCAGAAAAAGACAGATTATGTGGGCGTCTGGACCGCTATCAGGTGTTGCTGTGATTCCGCAGGTGCAGTTAATTTGAAAACGGACCCTATAATGTCATCGGTATAAATATAGAACCACGAGGTTATAGACGCGATGCAACTTGAATCATAAGTACTAGTGCCTCGTCGGACAAATATAGAAGCAGGGGACTAAGTGATCGTCCACGCTCAAGTAGGAATATCTTGCAAGCTATCTGGCCGGCCCCTGAACGGACCTGATTTTGGGTGAACACTATAGGCAAACAGTTGAGAAGCAGATAACGGTATAATTCAGAGAATCGGCACCATTGACACGTGTGCACTGGAGTCAGCCGATTCCGTGGCATACGATGAGTTAGCTGCGTACTGGTTTGTTGAGGATTGTATGTCGGACAAATAGTGAAGCATTTCTCTGTAATTAACGTACCATACCTACTAGTAGGGAGGGCGAAGATCCCGTAGTACACAATGAGCCCAAGAGGAATGTCTATTAGGTTTGTTAGTTATTAGGGAGGAAAAATAGCCAACTGGAATGCCTACGGATTCGAACCGGTGTTCATAATTATGCAGCCTAGGATTGTGGCTTTTGCAAATTATACAGGGCGCCCGTATTCCGAAATCGGGAAAGGGCGGTCGTGTTCTGACTCTACACACCGGGGTTGTCGTGCATAACATAAAACCGCCAATAACACGTCAACTGTATATCAAATACTGCGAGGAAATAACTTACTGCGACGGGCTGAAGTTCACAAGCCCTTGGAAGCTGTGCTTGCCCGGGGACGACCGACATAGAAACTCGACCAGAGAAGCCACGCGTGCAAGCTGGCGATGAGACATTACTACGAACATCAAAATAGTAAGCACGTGGCGTTCGGTGGACATCATTTGGCACACGACTCGAGACCGGCGAGCAGTGGTTGTCAATGACTCGCAACAGTCGGCACCAAATATTGTACAGATCAGTGCTGTCTGTGAGTCAGAAAGACCGGTGCAGCTTACGTTATAATGTCAACGGAAATTAAAGTTCACACGGTTTCTTGATTTCTATCATACACTAGCTAGCGTGCAGAGCTTACTAAGTAGTAGTAGGAAACATCGTACAGCCGCGGTACGGGCAGGGTCCTATAAGCCAGTGTCAGCCATCCAATTCACCATCAGGATAACAACTTGTTATTCTTTCTCGGGAGAACGAGACACAGTGACTGTATGTTATTCTCTCGAGATGGAAGTTACTTGGTGTACGGCCGCGGTTGTGGATAGTCACAGGTATCATTCAAGTTCCTGAGCGGTCCTACTAACTTTCATATGTGTTTTTGTCAGGCCCTGCCATGGCCAACGATCGATCAGCTATGGTGTACCGACCTTATTTCTTCTCGACTTCATGCCAAATATTCTCGTCCGTTGTCTACGCTACCGCACTGGTAAGTCTCCTTCCTCATCAAAACCATATTAATAACTCATCCAGTGACCTAAAACCAGTCCCGTCCGACCTGGCAGACGACAATGAGCACCACTCCCGTCAACCCGTTACCCACATTCGCCTTTCCTCCATCACATATTCTCAGCTCCTCCACACAATATGATCATACGGGTATATATCAGAACACCAGGAATAGCGTTGCGATGTCAGAAGTCGCAGCAGCCGCGAGACACAAGATGCATTTTTATCGAGTCCTGCGGGATGCTGTCAGGTAAGTACCAATTTTCTCTGCATGGAGAAAGGTACTGACGAGATCAGTATTGCACTTGCAAAGGACGATAAGTACCGCCGTCATATATGCATCGTACTTGTACGTAGAGGACGTAGAGTTTGGTGGGTGTACAGGTGTGCCCTACGACCTCATATGTATTGATGCTAACATTTTTTCGCAGCGTCTTGCATAAGGCTTTGATTTATCGTCATTCTACACCACGTCGTCTCTAATCAATCATGCTGCAGGCGTCTTCAAAGTGTCTTGTTACTAAGCAATGAATTTCTTTCAGGCTTCGGAATCGCCTTCGCGTCCATGATATGCAGCTGGAACTTAAGCTCGCACGCTAAATATTCCCCGCATCTGACTAGGTTCGTTTTATTGCATCCCCTTTTCAACTAACATATGAGTTGTTAGCCTGTGAATGAAGTTGCGAGGTTTCGCTACTGCTCAGGTCTTGACGGGCTAACTGTACGCACCCCGACCATGGCTATGGACTATGATGACGAGCTATATCCCATAGAGCCTTGAAGGATTGTTCATGGGCGCATCTGGTCGTATCACCGATCCAACAGCACAAACTCCAAGTGCACGCGCGCACCACTAGATTGCTAATACCAGTCCTTACCTCTGCCATCTACGATCTAGCCCAATTGTTTTTGGAGCCCGAAGTCCTATATCTATCGTTCTCTGACTATTTTCTTCTCCAGACTGTCGTGCGTACAGACCTATTTATCTCCACTACAGCCGAACAAGTCTCGATCAACGAACACACCTCTCCATCCGACATCACCCTCTTCACATGGGGCATCCTAATCAACCCTCCATCTTCTCGACTCCTCACCAGCCTGTCTTACACCACTCATCCCTCCCTATGTAACACCAGCATCAAACTGACCGATGGTTTGTATTCCCGATCACAGGAAGAGTCAGAGAGACACGGGATGTAATTTGTGATGTGTGATGCTGGTAGCGATAGTGGAGACAACATAATGTACGGCTGTGTTTTAGTACTAGACGAAGTTCTATGGAAAGCATCGTGTATTGGCAAAATTTGACATGTACGTGAGGAAGTGAACTGGATAAGCCCTGGCCAAGACAAACACGTATGGTACGAATCATATATAGCGTGTAGCGCGACATACAAGGGTATCGTCATGAAAACAAAGCAGCCTCCTGTTCGCGACACATGTGCCAAGACGTGCCATGTTCAAAATGGCGTAAATCGAATTGCGAGACATGATTAGGTATCACGAGTGTGTTGCCGGGTACATATATGAGCGGGTGGAAGTTGAGTGGGATCCAGAGAAGGAGCCGTCCGTCAGGACCTACAACCCACCCATCCTCATTCGCAACAACAGAGACTGGAGTTGAGGAATCCTGGAGAAAGGAGGAGGCGGAATGAAGAGCGTAAATTGGGTTAGGTGAAAGGCATATCGCAGGCGCTTTGGAAGGGTGGGGTTGGTTGAGAAATTCTATATCCCAGACCCGGATGGTTTTGTCTTCTGAACCAGATATAATGCGCTTGCCGTCGGGTGAGATTGCGACAGACCGAACGGGTCTGGTGTGCCCTTGAAAAGCGGGACCCACTCCCTGGCGAGTCTTCATATCCCACACCCGGATCGTCTTGTCATCTGAACCGGACACAATGTGGTGCCCATTTCGTGAGATCGCGACAGAGCGAACATAGTTGGTGTGCCCTTGGAGAGGGGCACCCAATGCCTTGCCGGTCCTAATATCCCACACACAGATAGTTTTATCATGTGAACCAGACACAACAAATTTTGCATCCGGTGACACTGCGACAGACCGAACCCAGCCAGAATGTCCTTCAAGAGGATCGCCCACTGCCTCATTAGTCTCCACATCCCACACCTTGATTGTCCTGTCATCTGAACCAGATACCATGCGATTGCCGTCCAGCGAGATGGCAACGGACCGAACCCAGTCAGTGTGACCTTGGAGAGGAGTACCAAATGCCTTGCCAGTTGCTATATCCCATACCCTGACTGTGCCGTCCGCTGAACCTGAAACCATGTGATGTCCATCCGGCGAGATTGTAGTAGAGCACACCGCGCCAGTGTGACCTTGGAGAGGCGCACCCAAAACCTCACCAGTCCCACTATTCCACACCCGAATGCTCTCATCAGCTGAACCAGACACAATGCACTTCCCGTCTGATGAGATTGCAACTGACTCAACAGATTTAGTGTGCCCTTCGTAGTGATGTGCATGGCCCGGCTTGAGGCCCTGGGCCGGCCCAAGCCGGGCCCAAATAGGCCGGGCCCAGCCCAGGCCTACGTCACGGCCTGAGGAAGGCTTGGGCCTGGGCTTGGATTTCGAGAAGCCTGAGCCGCCGGCCTGAGCCGTGGCTTTGGCATGTTTAGTGGCACTGCCATAGAAGCCTTGCCGGAGGTACGTTTCCCGACTCTATTTTTGTCTTTCTTTGACTTCCATCAACTCTATCAGCTTCGACTCGGATGGTCCACATGTTGCAGTCAAAAAGCCTGCATTGGCCAACATATCCAGCAATTTCAACGCCTTATCTCTTGTCTGTTGCTACGGAAAAGTCACGGTGAGTGCCAGCGCCATGTCCTCTGCTTCGCGAGCTCGACATAACTCACTCCGCTGTCGGAAAACCAGATCTCAGTTTCACAGATCAATATTTTTCGTAAATCTGAAGCCTTTTTTGCTTCACCTTCGCAAGTGTGACGGCGCACCCAATATCTTTCAATTGATTCATGTCGGTACGTGTTCCTCTAACATCCCTACTTACTACCCACCCATGACAAGCACAGATGCCGAGCACCGTGTTGCACGTCCTGTGCGCAAAACAAAGCCAACAGCCGCCCTCCTTCAGCATGCCGAGAAGGCAGCGTTGCCATCCCAAACCAAGGCGATCAACGAGTTCCACGCTGCAGAGGCTGCTAAGCGCGCTGCTGAACGTTTGTCCCCCGAAACCACAGAATCTCCATCCACCTCTCCCATACCACCATCGTCATCTGCTGCCTCACAGAACGCAACTAAGCTAGGCAGAGCTGGCAGTCTCAAGAAGCTAATTCGCGAAGTCCTCAGTGACTCTGAGGATGATTCGTCAACCAACCCAGCACCTACCTCAATCGGTGACCCAACAAGACCATGGAGGGCTGAGTTTTTGGCCTACCTTGAGACGGTTGAAGCGGCTCCACCATCTGGCTTGTCCACCATTCAATGGTGGGGTGTATGTATATTTTTTATTACTCAGAAATTTCGCGCTAATGATAATCTTTGCTTCAGATCAATGCGCAGAGGTACCCTGTTTGGGCTTCACTTGCGTGGGACTATCTATCAATCATGTCATCGTCGGTCTCGAGCGAGCGGGCGTTCTCACAAGGCGGCATCACCATCACGAAACGGCGCAACCGGCTCAAGGCTGACATCGTCGAAGCACTCCAGTGTGTTAAATGTGCGCTACGACACGATCTTCTGTTCTGGGAGCCCGAACCATCGTCTCTCGTCGAGTTGGAGTACCTGGACGACAATGACGAAGAAGCGGAAGCGGGAGCAGAGACTGGTGACGCTGTGGATGAAGAAGAAGGTTGGGACGTTTTACTTTTGGGTGATGATGCTGAGGACGTGTCAGATGTTGAGACGGACATTTAGACACATTGTAATTAGACTACCACTAATGCTTGATCTGTCCGTTGGCTTCGCAAAGCTGCTCTGTCCGTTGGCTCCCCCAAGCCGCGGCCTGGCTGGGCCCAAGCCCCGGCTTTGGGCTGGCTTGGGCTCACGGCCTAGGCTCTGAATTTTTGTGAGCCTAAGCCCTTCGAAGCCAAGCCTAAGCCGGGGCTTTGAGCCTAAGCCGGGCCGGAACATCACTAGCCCTTCGAGAGGGGCAAGTAATGCCTCGCCAGTCTCTATATCCCACACTCGAACTGTCTTGTCATCCGAACCGGACACGATGCGATGTCCATCTGGCGAGATCGCAACGGAGTTGATGGAGTCAGTGTGGCTTTGAAAGGTAGCGACTGATGCCTTGCCCATAATAGTGTCGGCATCCCACACCCGAATCGTCTTGTCATTTGAACCAGAGACTATGCGACTTCCATCTGACGAGACTGTGATAGATTCAATCGAGGCAGTGTGGCCTTGAAGAGGGGGTCCTAATGCTACGCCAGTCTTCGAATCCCACACTCGGATCGTCTGGTCCTCTGAACCAGACATGATATGATTATCATTCGGGGAGAATACAACAGACCGAACAAGGTCTGTGTGCCCTAGGAGAGGGGCACCCAATGCCTCACCAGTCTCCATATCCCACACTCGAATTGTGCGGTCTCGTGAACCAGACGCGATGCATTTCCCATCCGGTGAGATTGCAACAGACAAAACAGCGTCGGTGTGACCTTGGAGAGGGGTACCCACTCCCTGGCCAGTCTTCATATCCCACACTCGGATCGTGTTGTCGCCTGAACCAGAGACGATGCGATGACCATCTGGGGAGATCGCGACGGAGCGAACGTAGCCGGTGTGCCCTTGGAGAGGGGTGCCCACTGCCTCGCTAGTCTCCATATCCCACACCCTGATTGTCTTGTCAGCTGAGCCCGATACTACGCGATTTCCATCCCACGAGATTGCGACGGAACGAACTGAGTCAGTGTGCCCTTGGAGAGTACTCAATGCTTTGCCTGTTGCTACATCCCACACCTGGATCGTGTAGTCCCATGAACCTGAGACAATGCGATGTCCATCCGATGAGAATGCGACAGACGCAACAGTGTTAGTGTGGCCTTGAAGAGGGGCACACAATGCCTCGCCAGTCTCCGTATCCCACACCTGGATCGTTCCATCGCGTAAACCACATGCAATGCGTTTCCTGTCTGGTGACATTGCAACCGAGTAAACCCAGTCATTCGCGTAGATTATCTTTTCCATCGGAGGCCAATTTTCGACATGGCCAGCGACAATGCGAGGGGTGTGAGGAAACTTTGCGGCGAACTTGCGAAATATTCTCGACTGCGTTGGAGCGAATGGTAGAGCCAACAGGTATAAATGGGGAGTGCTGCGTATAATGGTGGGTGCGAAAGTTCGAACGAAACGCAGGGTGTCCCTGATAGCGTCACCAACATGCGTAAACTCGGCATGACCCTGCGACCACCCCACGACTCGTAAGAATTTGTTGGGAAAAGAATGACCTTGAGCTACGCACCGAAACACGATCTGCAATAGATAAGAGGGTCACTACAGAGTTGCCTAGGCATTTCATCAGAGCCAGAGCTTCCAACCACCAAAGAAGGCGCTCTCCATCGAAGAAAGCCTCGACTTCCTTAGCAAGCGGTGATTCAAAGGACGTAGAGCCGACGTGAGTCCCCCAAAACCGACATGAGTATGATAGCTCAGCCGGGATGGATTCTTTGACTCGTTTCTCCAAATCAGGGACGGAAGAGTTGGGCAAGTACGAATTCTCTAAGGAGCAGATGTTGAAGCGAAGTCCGCGCTCCGAGCCCATGACCCGAAGCGAGGCGAAGGCAAGATCTTTATGCGCCGCTGATGCATTGACAAAGAAGTCATGGCTCCGCGATACGTCTGTGAGGAAGTCGTAGAATGATGCGTGAAGGAGACATATGGGAGTATCGGAATCCGAAGTGCCGGTCAAAAGAGATCCCAATGGCCCAAGGACTCCGTCCATTTCGTAATCACAAGTCCCTTTGGGAAAATGCAGTCGCATAGCCGTCAACGCATGTATGGGAAGTGGTTCCGACGAGGCAAGGACTTGCCCCATCACCGAGCAAAACACCGGGATAGTTTCCTTGCGCCCGTCCTCCGGCATGATATCTCTCAAAATGCGCGTATAAATATCATCCAACAGACGCGTTCCTTTTTCAGACGTTCCAGTAATCACAACTTTGTAACGACCCACCGGACTCGCGCCCACCTTGTTCGTACCCTTGATGTACTCGCAGGCGAGACGAGCCCATTCAAACAGGCCGTCGGATTTTAGGGCAAGCGCCTTGAAGTGCTCATCGTTGAAGACGTGATGAAGGTCTTCCAACTTGTGGGAGATATAAAACTGTATGTCGAGTTCAGTGGATGCAGACGAGATACCATCCAAAGAAACGTCGTGAACATGTGCGTGCAGAGTATTGTGAATATCTTGGAGGGGACGGGAAGTCAGGAGAATTCGGAAGTTGGCTGGGAGTTCGGACAGTTGCGAAGCGGAAGTGTTCGATTTGCCAGCGAGTAGATCAAGAATCTGTTCCCGAGAATCAGCTTCCCCGCTCTCGTCCAACCGCATCAATGACTATCAGCACGGGTGCAGCGAAGGCGTTTGACGGTCTGACAATGAGTTCCTGCCATTGTTTGGTGATATCTGCAGTCCGCTTGAGTTCGTCGTCATCACGAACTGCCTGCGCCAACGCTCGCCGCACGATAGGGTTGCGGCTCGCCAAATCGCTTGCGATGGTCCTGAATATTTTATCCTGACGGCGATCCGCTTGCCGAGTACGATCGAAGCAGAAGAATGAGCAAAGACCGCCGCGTTCGATGTACCACTTGGCTATCGTATGGGCGACAGCCGATTTACCCTTCCCTGCTGTACCAGATAACCACAAGATCCGTGGAGCACCCTCCTCGGTGCTGCTGATCCAGTCCTGAATCTCCTTCAGAAGGTCTTGCCGAGTATTTGGCAAACAACATTTAGACGTATTTAACCCGGCTCCCGTTGCGTACTCCATGCCTACGAGGTCCAAACTCTCAGCTACGGGAATCGTAGAATGTCAGACGAGGCTTAAAGAGACCTGGAAACCGACTCATACCCATATGGTGGACGATCACAACGGTATCACGAGCCGCCTGGTCTCGGAATTGCTGCATGAGACTGTCGAGGACACTGTTGTAGTTCTGGATCGTGCTGTCCGTTTCCCCAAGAACGTGCTTGCTAAGTCTTATCCCTATATGAACAGGCAACATTGAGTTTGGTGAATGAAGTAGTGGGATCGACTCACAGGCACTCTTCGTCTCGGCATAGTGGCTGATGAAATCAGCGCACACCAGTGTCTGCTGTGCTAACTTCACGTATATCGATAGCATAGATTCAATCTTGGCCAATTCCTCCTTCTCCGTGATGAAAGTATAGACTTCAGATATCTTTGAGAGCAGAAGGGAAACAGCGTCATCACGGTGTGCCTGATCGAGAATCATCTGTTGCCGAGACTTTGTCAACCTGCAACGGCAATGATTGAGAAAGAGTCCTACCTTGGATGCGCAAGTGAATATGCTCAGCGCCACCTTCGCGTAGGGCTGGACCTGCGCACGAATGTCAGTCGCGTACCGAAAAGATATAGATGACTGTACATCTGCGATTGTGTTGGCGATTTTGTTGAATGCCTTCAAGGGTTCAAGGAACCCGGAGAACGAATCGATTGCATCAGAAACAGATGGTACGTTTTTGGTAGCAGAAGAAGCATCTTGAACCATCGTCGGGACCTGGCTGATGCCTGTGAGACCTTTGTTAGCATGGGCGATTCTCTCGTTCACAAATTTCTGGTCGAGATGTTCGGCCTAAGTATAGACGTTAGCAATTGTCGAAAGAGACAGATGAGAATATTCCGAACTTCATTAGTAGAACTTCCTTGTACGATCCGTGAATCGGAAGGCTGCACAAAATCTGGTTCGAGAGTGGGAGGGGTGAGAACGATCCCTGAATTGGAAGGCTGCCCAAAATCTGGTTCGAGAGTGGGAGGGGTGAGATCCTGCAGAAGCGATTAGCACTGATCATAGCACACGGGACACATTCAGAGTTGAGATTACGCTTGCCTTGTTTGACTGAACACGTTGTGTGTCCTGTAAGCTGGAACTTGCAGCCGTGCGTTCAGGGTCTGGGGATTGTCGAGCGCTTCGAGAGAAGCGCTTGACCACTTTGCCAAAAAGCTTGCAAACTGGGCCCGGGTGTCGTGCACGAGATCCATTCCTCGAAGGCGAGAGAGGAGACGGCTATAGAAATTAGAGATGATGTAGTTGCTAAGATGAAAGTTCATACATCGTGACTGGCTGTCCTCCTGCCTCTCTCCTGTACCAAATGAGGGTCTGAATGACTGGTCTTGAGCTGCCTCCATTGGTTCTTGCGAGGAGGATTGTTTTCATCCATCTAGTAAGTGGCAAAGATGTGTGGATGTGGGTGTTTTGGTGGAATGGAAGTAGGAGGCGTGGTGGGTAGCGAATAGGATGGACTGGCGTCTACATGTTTGAACGTCCGTTATCGATTGGTAGACTGAATTATTAATAGCATGTCATCTCGAAGCCGAAGCAGGTAAAAGGCTGTCAAGAAACCTCACCGATCGATGCTTTGGTGCAGATACCGGGGCATAACGTCCAGGGCCCGATCGAGGGTTCACGTAGATAGTATTGCATCTTTGGAATCTCCAACCGCAATATTATCTCAGCTCGCACCCAGAAATCAGTACCTTTGCCTGTACGCGTTGCCCATCTCAGATTACGGTCGCAGCGCGTTGACTTTGTGCTTGAGCATCACGTGGACCACTTATTATTTCGTCCCCCGATTCAGACGTCTTGAAATGTCCGTGCTTGTTCATATAGCGTTCATCAGTGAACTGGTGGAGTCACGGTAGAAGGATATAGATTCGGAACTCAAGTTCCTTGAAGCTGTGCTAGCAATGGACTTCTTCCAGGCTTCAGAATTGCCTTCGCGTCCATCACATACAGCTCCCAGGCTAAATATTCCCCGTATCTCGTCTCAAGGTCTGTCCTGTCCTGTCATATCAATCCCACAGCAAAAATCTCACTCTTTTCTTTTCCAAACTGTTGTGTGTATTCACATCCCTACAGTCGAACAAGTCCCCATCGAATACACCTCTCTATCCATCCGACACCACCCTCCTCACATGGGTCACCCTAATCTACCCTCCATCTCCTCGACTCCCCACCAGCCACTCATCCCCATTTATGCAGCACCAGCATCAAACCGATCGATCCCCGATCGATATCATCATTGGTCATAGAACCTGTCGTAAAGAGCGTGTGTAGAACCAAGAAGCTCATGGTCGTGCATCAGGCAGGAAGGATGGGTGATGCTAGGGGAGAGATCGCTCCGATGGTTGTTTGTTGGGCTTGGAGGAGGATCACCGAGTTGGAGTGAGTGTTTCTCCTCTTCCGCCTTGTCTTTTCTTGCTTGTCAGAACGAGATCCGATGATGTTGATCCATGCAGCGTCCCATGTTGCAGTCAACATGCCAGATGATATTAGGATCTTGGATGAGATGATAGAGACGCTAGTGATTGATGTAAGTACCTGTTTTGCGATGCTTCTAGTTTTGACCTTTCAGTGCGCCTGTGGTGTTGGATGTTCATACACTGAGCGGGGATACTGATTGTTATGAAAGCATGAGGATTTTGAATAGAGGCAGGTCACTACACGGTATCATACTGTCATCCTTCCCCTTAATGCAGTGTTCGCTCGACCGCTAGGCAGGGAAAAGTAGAACAGGACATATGAAAATATATCTTTCGCATTCCTGATCACAGGAAGAGTCAGAGAGACAGGATACAATTTGTGATGCGTGATGCTGGCAGCGATAGTGGAGACATAGTAATGTACGGCTGTGCTTTAGTACGAGACGGAGTTTTATGGAAAGTATTGTGTATTGACGAAATTTGACTTGTACGCGACGAAGTGAACTGAATAAGCTCTGGCCAAGATAAACACGTATGGTACGAATCATGTGTACTGCGTGGCGCGACATACAAGGGTATCATAATGAAAACAAAGCAGCCTCCTGTTCCCGACACATGTGCCAAGACGTGCCATGCGCAAGACGACTCAAATCGAACTGCGAGGCACGATCGTGTATGACCAGCGTGTTTCCTGGAACATACATCACCGGGTGGAAATTGCGTGGGATCCAGAGAAGAAGCTGTCCGTCAGAACCTACAACCCACCCATCCTCATTCGCAACAACAGAGAGTGGGGTTGAGGAATCCTGGAGAAAGGAGGAGGCAGAATGAAGAGCATAGATTGGGTTAGATGAAAAGCATATCACAGGCGCTTTGGAAGTGTGGGGTTGGTTGAGAAATTCTATATCCCAGACCCGGATTGTCTTGTCTGCTGAACCAGACACAATGCGCTTGCCGTCGGGTGAGATTGCGACAGACAGAACGCGTCCGGTGTGCCCTTGGAAAGTGGGACCCACTCCCTGGCGAGTCTTCATATCCCACACCCGGATCGTCTTGTCATCTGAACCGGACGCAATGTGGTGTCCATTTCGTGAGATCGCGACAGCGTGAATATAGTCGGTGTGCCCTTGAAGAGGGGTGCCCAATGTCTTGCCAGTCCCAATATCCCACACACGGATAGTTGTGTCATCTGAACCAGACACAACATATTTTGCATCCGGTGACACTGCGACAGACCAAACCCAGTCAGAATGTCCGTCGAGAGGATCGCCCACTGCCTCGCTACTCTCCATATCCCACACCCTGATTGTCGTGTCAGCTGAACTAGATGCAATGCGATTTCCATCCAGCGAGATTGCGACGGACAAAACCAGTGCAGAGTGACCTTTGAGAGGAGTACCAAATGCCTTGCCGGTTGCTACATCCCACACCCGGACTGTTCTGTCCAATGAACCTGAAACAATGCGATGTCCATCCGGCGAGATTGCGATGGAGAAGACCTCGCCAGTGTGACCTTGGAGAGGCGCACCCAAAAACTCGCCAGTCCCAATATCCCACACCCTAATGCTCTTATCAACTGAACCAGACACAATGCGCTTCCCGTCCGACGAAATTGCAACTGACTGAACAGATTCGGTGTGCCCTTGGAGAGGGGCAACTAATGCCTCGCCAGTCTCTATATCCCACACCCGAACCGTCTTGTCTTCTGAACCGGACACGATGCGATGTCCATCTGGCGAGATTGCAATGGATTTAATGGAGCCAGTGTGGCTTTGAAAGGTAGCGACTGATGCCTTGCCCGTAATAGTGTCGGCATCCCACACCCGAATCGTCTTGTCGTCTGAACCAGAGACTATGCGACTTCCATCCGACGAGACTGTGATAGATCGAATCGAGGCAGTGTGGCCTTGAAGAGGGGATCCTAATGCTACGCCAGTCTTCGAATCCCACACTCGGATCGTCTGGTCGTCTGAACTAGACACGATATGATTGTCATTCGGGGAGAATACAACAGACCAAACAAGGTCTGTGTGCCCTAGGAGGGGGGCGCCCAATGCCCCGCCAGTCTCCATATCCCACACTCGAATCGTGCGGTCTCATGAACCAGACGCGATGCATTTCCCATCCAGTGAGATTGCAACAGACATAACATAGTCGGTGTGGCCTTGGAGAGGGGTACCCACTCCCTGGCCAGTCTTCATATCCCACACCCGGATCATCGTGTCATCTGAACCAGAGACGATGCGATGACCATCTGGGGAGATCGCGACGGAGCGAACGTAGTCGGTATGTCCTCGGAGAGGGGTGCCCACTGCCTCGCAAGTCTCCATATCCCACACTCTGATCGTCCTGTCATCTGAGCCCGATACTATGCGATTTCCATCCCGCGAGATTGCGACGGAATAAACCCAGCCAGTGTGCCCTTGGAGGGTACCCAATGCCTTGCCGGTTGCTACATCCCACACCCGGACTGTGTAGTCCTCTGAACCTGAAACAATGCGATGTCTATCCGGTGAGAATGCGACAGACGCAACAGTGTGAGTGTGGCCTTGAAGAGGGGCACACAATGCCTCGCCAGTCTCCGTATCCCACACCTGGATCGTTCCATTGTGTAAACCACATGCAATGCGTTTTCTGTCTGGTGACATTGCAACCGAGTAAACCTCGTGATTCGCGTGGATTATCTTTTCCATCGGAGGCCAATTTTCGACGTGGCCAGCGACAATGCGGGGGGTGTGAGGAAACTTTGCGGCGAACTTCCGAAATATTCTTGACTGCGTTGGAGCGAATGGTAGAGCGGACAGGTATAAATGGGGAGTGCTGCGTATAATGGTGGGTGCGGAAGTGCGGACAAAACGTAGGGTATCCCTGATAGCGTCACTAACATGCTTCAACTCGGCATGACCCTGCGACCACACCACTACTCATAAGAATTTGTTGGGAAAAGAATGAACTTGAGCTACGCACCGAAAACCAATCTGCAATTGATGAGAGGGTCACTGTCGAGCCACCGAGGCTTCTCATCAGAGCCAGAGCTTCCAACCACCAAAGAAGGCGCTCTTCATCGAAGAAAGCCTCGACTTCCTTAGCGAGCGGTGATTCAAAGGACATAGAGCCAACATGAGTGCCCCAAAACCGACATGAGTATGATAGCTCGGCTGGAATGGATTCTTTGACTCGTTTCTCCAAATCGGGGACGGAAGAGTTGGGCAAGTACGAATTCTCTAAGGAGCAGATGTTGAAGCGAAGTCTGTCTTCCATGATCCGAAGCGTTGCGAAGGCAAGATCTTCATGCACCGCTGTTGCATCAACACAGAAGTCATGACTCCGCAATTTGGTTGTGAGGAAGTCGTAGAATGATGCGTGAAGGGGACGTATGGGAGTATGGGAATCCGAAGTGCCGGTCAAAAGGGATCCCAATGGCCCAAGGACCTCGTCCATTTCGTAATCGCAAGTCCCTTCTGGAAAATGCAGCCGCATAGCCGTCAACGCATGCATGGGAAGTGGTTCCAACGAGGCAAGGACTTGCCCCATCACCGAGCAAAACACCGGAATAGCTTCCTCGCGCTCGTCCTCCGGCATGATATCTCTCAAGATGCGTGTATAAATATCATCCAACAGACGCGTTCCTTTTTCAGACGTTCCAGTAATCACGGCTTTGCAACGACCCACCGGACCCAGGCCCACTTTGTTCGTACCCTTGATATACTCGCAGGCGAGACGAGCCCATTCAAACAGGCCGTCGGATTTTAGGGCAAGCGCCTTGAAGTGCCCATCGTCGAAGACGTGATGCAGGTCTTTCAACTTGTGGGAGATATAAAGCTGTATGTCGAGTTCTGTGGATGCAGACGAGATACCATCCAAAGAAACGTGGCGAACATGTGGTTCGGCGTGCAAAGTGTCGTGAATGTCTTCGAGGGGACGGGAAGTGAGAAGAATGCGGAAGTTGGCTGGGAGGTCGGATAGTTGTGAAGTGGAAGTGTTTAATTTGCCAGCGAGTAGACGAAGAATCTGTTCCCGAGAATTAGCTTCCCCGCTCTCGTCCAATGCATCAATGACTATCAGCACGGGTGCAGCGATGGCGTTTGACGCTATCTTTGTCGGTCCCACAATCAGTTCCTGCCATTGTTTTGCGATATCTGCAGTCCGCTTGAGTCCGTTGTGATCGCGAACTGCCTGCGCCAACGCTCGCCGCAAGATAGGGTTGCAGTCCGCCAAATCGCTTGCGATGGTCGTAAATATTTTGTCTTGACGGCGATCCGCTTGCCGAGTACGATCGAAGCAGAAGAATGAGCCAAGACCGCCGCGTTCCATGTACCACTTGGCTATTGTATGGGCGACGGCCGATTTACCCTTGCCTGCTGTGCCAGACAACCATAAGATCCGTGGAGCACCCTCCTCGGTGCTGCTGATCCAGTCCTGAATATCCTTCAGAAGGTCTTGCCGAGTATTTGGCAAACAACATTTAGACTTATTCAATCCGGCGCCAGTTGCGTACTCCATGCCTATGAGGTCCAAAACCTCAGCTATGCCAGGGTTCGTGGAATGTCAGACGAGGCTGGAAGAGACCTGAAAATTGATTCATACCCATATGGTGGACCATCACAACGGTATCACAAACCGCCCGGTCTCGGAATTGCTGCATAAGACTGTCGAGGACATTGTTGTAGTTCTGGATCGTGGTGTCCGTTTCGCCGATAACGTGCTTGCCAAGTCTTATCCCTATACAAAGAAATAACATTGAGTTTGGGGGATGAAGCAGTGGGATTGACTCACAGGCACTCTTCGTCTCAGAGTAATGGCTGATGAAATCAGCGCACACCAGTGTCTGCTGTGCTATCTTCACGTATATTGATAGCATAGATTCAATCTTGGCCAATTCCTCCTTCTCCGTGATGAAAGTATAGACTTCAGATATCTTTGAGAGCAGAAGGCGAACAGCGACATCACGGTCTGCCTGATGGAGAATCATCTGTTACCGCGACTTTGTCAACCTGCAACGGCGATGATTGAGAAAGAATCCTACCTTGGATGCGCAAGTGAAGATGCTCAGCGCCACCTTCGCGTAGGGATGGACCTGCGCACGAATGTTAGTCGCGTATAGAAGAGAGGTAAATGGTTTGTACATCTGCAATTGTGTTGGCGATGGAGTTGAATGCCTTCAAGGGTTTGAGCAACACAGAGAACGTATCGATCGCATCAGACACAGATGGTAGGTCGTTGGTCGCGGAAGAAGCATCTTGGAGTATTGTTGGGACGTGGCCGGCGTCTGCGAGACTTTTGTCAGCATTGGCGATTTTATCGTGCACAACCTTCGGGTCGAGATGTTCGGCCTACGGATAGATGTCAGCACATTGTCGAAAGATACGGATGAAGCTTCGTTAGTCGAACTTACAATCTCTGAATTGGAAGACTGCCCAAAATTTGGTTCGAGAGTGGGAGCGGTGAGATCCTGCAGAAGCGATTAGTACTGATCATAGTACACAGGCCACATTCAGAGTTTAGATTACGCCTACCTTAGCTGACTGAACAGGTTGGGTGTCCTGCAGGCTGGAACTTGCAGCCGTGCGTTCAGGGTTAGGAGATTGTCGACCGCTTCGAGCGAAGCGCTTGGTCACTTTGCCAAAGATCTTGAGAACTGACCCCGAACGTCTTTCATGAGACCCATTCCTCGAAGGCGAGAGAGATGACGGCTGTAACAATTAGATATTATGTAAATGCCAATATGAAAGTTCATACATCAGGACTGGCTGTCGTCCTGCCTCTCTCCTCTACCAAATGAGGGTTTGAATGACTTGGCTTCGTTCGCCCCCAGCGTTTCTTCCGAGGAGGATTGTTTGCATCCATGTTATAAGTGGGAAAGATGTGTGGATGTGCCTATTTTGGTGGAATGGAAGTAGGAAGCGTGGTGGGTAGCGAAGAGGATTGACTGGCGTCTACATGTCTGCAATAGGTATTATTACCACTTATGAACGTGCGGTTGGAAGCGCCCGTTAAGCCTGAACTATTAATAGCATGTGATCTAGGGAAAAGGCTATCAGGAAACCTCACCGATCGATCGATTGCTTAGGTGCAAATATTCAAATACCGGGGCAACGGAGTGACGATACTTATTGGAAGGACAAAGTCATTCATGATGATGATCGAGTCCGATCGCGCGAGTCATGACTGCCTTCATTTATTTGTACATGTTTATGCTGATCTTTCTCTGGTGGGTAGTTTGAACGACGGAAGTCAAAACTGTCAAATAATCACTCGCTGTGCTATATTTCAACCTATATGAGAGCATTGGTTAGAACATTTTTCCTGTGACAAGGACGGAAGTTCAGCGTGAGTGTTTAGTTTCCTCCAATTATTATTGACGATGAGCTCGGGGATGAACGTTAACTGTTGGACATGGTGGATGAGAGTTTGATTTATGAGTCGCAGGGAAGTATATGGAAGGATTGCAGACTTTATAATCAGGGGCTCCGAGGTGAGTTGCAAGTGTATTCAATCGGTCGTCTGGTACTTTGATTCTAGATTTGCAATATCTGACCTCGCACCCAGAAATCAGTACCTTTTCCTGTACGTGTTGCCCATCTCAGATTATGGTCACGGCCCATCGAAGACTTTGTCCTTGAACATCACGTACGGGGGCCACTTATCATTTCATCCCCCAATTCATGTCCATGCTTGTTCCTATAGCATTCTTGAGTCTGCGCTCGACTCAAAGAACGTGGCACCCTATTGACGGTCCCAGACTTTACTAACGAGTATCTACGATTCTCTGGCTCAACGTATTTCCTTCGCAGGAACAGCTATACCCACCTTTGCGCATGACGAGCCCATGCTGCCAGCCCCGCAATTTGCGAACATTTATTTCATAAGTCTTCGCCAAATCATTAGGGGATGTCCAAACTTATTGACTTTACCTGACATGCTGCTGACGTTTTTCCCCTTTATTCGCTGCTGGCCACTATGATGTTTCGGTCAACGTTTAACCCGCCGAGTTCCAAAATTCTGTCAGCTGTCTCCTGTTCTATCACTCACCAGCTCATACTCGAATAGGTAGCATCTACAAGATGTGCATGACGATCGGTAAGAGTTTATCAACGCCCACTGGCCCAGCACAACAGGCTTATGCACGATCCGACCTGATGTTCGAAATGTAGTTTCCTACGTTGATATATTGCGCTGAGCATCACAACATTTGCGAGACATAGCAATTTTGCGGCTTTTAAGAAAGCTCCTGGTACAACAAGATTTGTGCTGAAATGAGTGCGTGTAAAGCGACAGGGAACAGATATGCGTCTTTGTGCAAGAGCGACTGAAGGGAATAAGCAAACGTGGCAAAATCATCAACGAGTCTCCAAGAGCACGTTCCAGTGTTCCACCTAACCCCTCAGCACGAGAGCAGACTCAAAGTAGAGCATTAACCGCATTCCTTGATATCCAGTTTGTCAACGTACTGTTATCTCGCTACAGGATCATATGTAAGCTTGCTCAAAAATGGACAAAATTGGAATAAAACACGAGCTCACATGCAGCAAGCGTATCAGCTGTACTACTGATGTGTTGATGAACCTCGAACAGTTTGACGCGTGAAGTGTGAAGACGGAGGGTTAGGAAGAGGATGAGACAGATTGAAATGTTTGTCGTACTGGGAAAGGAGATGCGGTTGGAGAGGGAGGTGAATTGCAAAGTGGTGCGGGAACGTTTTAGAAGCTGGACAGTAGCCAGGTGCGCGAGTGGGTGGCTGTTGAGGCCCATGATTGACCGGTGGAGGTGCTGTTGCGAGTGGGTGAATCAATCCGTCTATGAGTTGTGCGCTAGTGACTGCGAAATCTGAAGAATCAACACAGTCGCAGTTGTTCATATCTTCAAAATATTCAAAGACCATGTAGGAGTATGAGATTTCTGCAAGAGAAAGAGCGCATGTACTCACCTGAGACGCTTGTGGGTAACTGATGAGTGCATCAACTTGAAAGGTCATTCAGCGCGCGCGTCAGTATTATTAACGAACACAGAACACGGACACGCACCATTCGATTCAGCCATCCCACCCACCTCTTCCCCTCAACGTTTAGACTGATGGAACAGCCATACGCACGGATACCAGGTCCTCGAGATCGTATAGAGGATCGCGAAGCTCGATGACGCCATCGCAGACATCCTGCAGGAGCATACAACGATCCTGGATCCGGCACGATGATTGGAGGCGTGTTTGACGAGTTTGATGTAGCGCGCGGACCAAAGGGAGTGGCTTGGGACCAGGACAATTTGAAGCGCTTGGAGGACCATAGGGGTACGTTGGGAGTCCTTCGTGTATGAGCGGGAAAAAGACGTAATCCAGAAACGGATGACGAAAAGTAGCACTGGGATGATAGCAATGAGCTCGATCGATTTCTCGCGTCCCATGGTTGCAAAAATCGTAGGACTTGATGAAATTGATGGTCAGGTAGATCTTTGATAGCGATCTATAGCTACAGACAGATTGGCTGTATACTCCAAAGGTGGTATCAATCTGAAATCGGGAATTCAAAGGTGTTGTCGTGACTTGAATGTGACATATTTATAGATTCAGAACTCAAGTCTTTTGAAACTGTGCTAGCGATGGACTTCTTGCAGGCTTCGGAATTGCCCTCGCATTCATGATATACAGCTGGCAGGGCCCAGGCTAAGCATTCCCCGCATCGGGTCTCGATCTCAAGGTCTGTCCCGTCCTGTCATATCAATCCCACAGCAAAAACTCTCACTCTTTTCTTTTCCAAACTGTTGTGTGTATTCACATCCTTACAGTCCAACAAGTCCCTATCGAATACACCTCTCTATCCATCCGACACCACCCTCCTCACATGGGTCACCCTAATCTACCCTCCATCTCCTCGACTCCCCACCAGCCACTTATCCCTCCTTATGCAGCACCAGCATCAAACCGATCGATCCCTGGACGATATCGCCATTGGTCATAGAACCTGTCGCAAAGAGCGTGTGTAGAACCAAGAAGCTCATGGTCGTGCATCAGGCAGGAAGGATGGGTGATGCTAGGGGAGAGATCGATCCGGTGGTTGTTTGTTAGGCTCGGAGGAGGATCACCGAGTTGGAGTGAGTGTTTCTCCTCTTCCGCCTTGTCTTTTCTTGCCTGTCAGAACGAGATCTGATGATGTTGATCCATGCAGCGTCACATGTTGCAGTCAACATGCCAGATGATATTAGGATTTTGGATGAGATGATAGAGACGCTAGTGATTGATGTAAGTACCTGTTTTGAAATTGCGCTGCTTCTAGTTTTGACCTTTCAGTGTGCCTGTGGTGTTGGATGTTGATACACTGGGCGGGGCAATACTGATTGTGACGAAAGCATGAGGATTTTGAATAGAGGCAGGTCACTACACGGTATCATCCAGATGCTTGCTATCATCTTCCCCCTCGATGCAGTGTTCACTCGACTGCTAGGCAGGGAAAAGGAGGATAGGATATGTGCAGTAAAATCTATTGTTTGTGTTCCTGTTCACAGGAAGGGTCAGAGAGACGGGATGTGATTTGTGATGCATGTAGAAGCTAGCAGCGATAGTGGAAACAATATAATGTACGGCTGTGCTTTAGTACAAAATCGAAATATCATGGAAAACGTTGTGTATTAGCGACTATGGACATGTACGTGAGGAAGTGAACTGTATAAGCCCTGGCCAAGACAAACACGTATGGTACGAATCATATATAGTGTGTAGCGCGACATACAAGGGTATCGTCATGAAAACAAAGCAGCCTCCTACTCCCGACACATGTGCCAAGACGTGCCATGCGCAAGACGACTCAAATCGAACTGCGAGGCACGATCGTGTATGACCAGCGTGTTTCCTGGAACATACATCACCGGGTGGAAATTGCGTGGGATCCAGAGAAGAAGCTGTCCGTCAGGACCTACAACCCACCCATCCTCATTCGCAACAACAGAGAGTGGGGTTGAGGAATCCTGGAGAAAGGAGGAGGCGGAATGAAGAGCGTAAGATGGGTTGGATGAAAGGCATATCGCAGGCGCTTTGGAAGCGTGGGGTTGGTTGAGAAATTCTATATCCCACACCCGGATGGTTTTGTCTTCTGAACCAGATACAATGTGTTTGCCGTTGGGTGAGATTGTGACAGACAGAACGCATGCGGTGTGCCCTTGGAAAGCGGGACCCACTCCCCGGCCAGTCTTCATATCCCACATCCGGATCGTCTTGTCACCTGAACCGGACACAATGTGGTTCCCATTTTGTGAGATTGCGACAGCGTAAACGAGGCCGGTGTGCCCTTGCAGAGGGGCACCTAATGCCTCGCCACTCCCTATATCCCACACCCGGACGGTTTCATCAGCTGAACCAGATACAATGTGTTTCGCATCCTGCGAGATTGCTACACACAAAATGTAGCCAGTGTGCCCTCGAAGAGGCTCACCCACCGTCTCACAAGTCTCCATATCCCACACTCTGATCGTCTCGTCATCTGAGCCCGATACTATGCAATATCCATCCAGCGAGATTGCGATGGAACGAACCCAGTCACTGTGTCCTTGGAGGGTACCCAATGCCTTGCCGGTTGCTACATCCCACACCCAGACTGTGTTGTCCCATGAACATGAAACGATGCGATGTCCATCCGGCGAGATTGCAGTGGAGTAGACCGTGCCAACGTGACCTTGGAGAGGCGCACCCAAAACCTCGCCAGTCCTAATATCCCACACTCAAATACTCTTATCAGCTGAACCAGACACAATGCACTTCCTGTCTGACGAGATTGCAACTGACTCAACAGATCCAGTGTGCCCTTGGAGAGGGGCAACTAATGCCTCGCCAGTCTCTATATCCCACACTCGAACTGTCTTGTCTTCTGAACCGGACACGATGCGATGTCCATCTGGCGAGATTGCAACGGAATTAATGGAGCCAGTGTGGCTTTGAAAGGTAGCAACTGATGCCTGGCCCATAATGGTGTCGGCATCCCACACCCGAATCGTGTTGTCGTTTGAACCAGAGACTATGCGACTTCCATCCGATGAGACTGTGATAGATTCAATCGAGGCAGTGTGGCCTTGGAGAGGGGATCCTAATGCTACGCCAGTCTTCACATCCCACATTCGGATCGTCTGGTCGTCTGAACTAGACACGATACAATTTTCATCACGTAAGAATACAACGGACTGAACAGTGCCTGTGTGCCCTAGGAGAGGGGCACCCAATGCCTCGCCAGTCTCCATATCCCACACCCGAATCGTGGTGTCTTCTGAACCGGACGCGATGCATTTCCCATCTGGTGAGATTGCAACAGACGAAACATAGTGGGTGTGACCTTGGAGAGGGGTACCCACTCCCTGGCCAGTCTTCATATCCCACACTCGGATCGTCTTGTCATCTGAACCGGACACGATATGGCGCCCATTCGGCGAGATCGCGACGGAGCGAACGTAGTCGGTATGTCCTCGGAGAGGGGTGCCCACTGCCTCGCAAGTCTCCATATCCCACACTCTGATCGTCCTGTCATCTGAGCCCGATACTATGCGATTTCCATCCCGCGAGATTGCGACGGAATAAACAGTGCCAGTGTGCCCTTGAAGAGTACCCAATGCCTTGCCTGTTGCTACATCCCACACCTGGACCGTCTTGTCCCATGAACCTGAAACGATGCGAAGTCCATCCGGTGAGAATGCGACAGACGCAACAATCCAAGCGTGGCCTTGAAGAGGGGCACACAATGCCTCGCCAGTCTCCGTATCCCACACCTGGATCGTTCCATTGTCTAAACTACATGCAATGCGTTTTCTGTCTGGTGACATTGCAACCGAGTAAACCTTGTGATTCGCGTGGATTATCTTTTCCATCAGAGGCCAATTTTCGACATGGCCAGCGACAATGCGGGGGGTGTGAGGAAACTTTGCGGCGAACTTGCGAAATATTCTCGACTGCGTTGGAGCAAATGGTAGAGCGGACAGGTATAAATGGGGAGTGCTGCGTATAATGGTGGATGCGAAAGTGCGGACGAAACGCAAGGTATCTCTGATAGCGTCACCAACATGCCTAAACTCGGCATGGCCCTACGACCACACCACTATTCGTAAGGAATTGTTGGGAAAATGATGAATTTGAGCTACGCACCGAAAACCAATCTGCAATAGATAAGAGGGTCACTACCGAGTTGCCTAGGTATTTCATCAGAGCCAGTGCTTCCAACCACCAAAGAAGGCGCTCTCCATCGAAGAAAGCCTCAACTTCCCTAGCGAGCGGTGATTCAAAGGACGCAGAGCCGACGTGAGTCCCCCAAAACCGACATGAGTATGATAGCTCGGCCAGAATGGATTCTTTGACTCGTTTCTCGAAGTCAAGGACGGAAGAGTTGGGCAAGTACGAATTCTCTAAGGAGCAGATGTTGAAGCGAAGCCCGCGCTCCGAGTCCATGACCTGAAGCGAGGCGAAGGCAAGATCTTTATGCACAGCTGATGCATCAACGCAGAAGTCATGACTTCGCGACTTGTCTGTGAGGAAGTCGTAGAATGAGGCGTGAAGGGGACGTATGGGAGTATCGGAATCCGAAGTGCCGGTCAAAAGGGATCCCAATGGTCCAAGGACCCGGTCCATTTCGTAATCGCAAGTCCCTTCAGGAAAATGCAGTCGCATAGCCGTCAACGCAGGTATGGGAAGTGGTTCCAACGAGGCAAGGACTTGCCCCATCACCGAGCAAAACACCGGGATAGCCTCCTTGCGCTCGTCCTCCGGCATGATATCTCTCAAGATGCGTGTATAAATATCATCCAACAGACGCGTTCCTTTTTCAGACGTTCCAGTCATCACAGCTTTGCAACGACCCACCGGACCCAGGCCCACCTTGTTCGTACCCTTGATGTACTCGCAGGCGAGACGAGCCCATTCAAACAGGCCGTCGGATTTTAGGGCAAGCGCCTTGAAGTGCACATCGTTGAAGACGTGATGCAAGTCTTCCAACTTATGGGAGATATAAATCTGTATGTCGAGTTCTGTGGATGCAGACGAGATACCATCCAAAGGAACGTGGCGAACATGTGGCGCGGCGTGCAGATTGTTGTGAATGTCTTCGAGGGGACGGGAAGTGAGGAGAATGCGGAAGTTGGCTGGGAGTTCGGATAGTTGTGACGTGGAAGTGTTCAATTTGCCAGCGAGTAGACGAAGAATCTGTTCACGAGAATCTGTTACGACTGGGATGAGTCGAGCTATCTCTGTTTGAATAGACAATCGGCTGAACGCCAGATAGACGTAAGTCTGCTCTCGATTGAGAGATCAAAGGTTCTGGCTAAGGCGAGTGTCGCTGACTCCCTTAGAATAATGGTTCTTAGACAGTAAGGTTGGAGACCTTACTGAAGGACAATGTTCCAGGTAAAACCCAGTAGATTAAAGTAAGGAATACAATCGTAAGTAGCTAGGTTTATATACGAATGTTCAAGCGGAGCTTGTAAATGTGTTATCAAGATAGAAGCATGATAAGAGATAAGGGATCAAGGATAAGGCGGACAGCCCGCTTGGTGAAGATAAGAGATAAGCATGATACGGACAGCCCGTTTGTAAGCAAGGTAAAAGAAATGAGTATAGGGGCTAAATGTTACTGTAACATTACCCCCGTGTTATGGTTGAAGTCTCCGGCTTCAATATTTCTCGGTATTGGTATACTCGTCCATGTAGTCGTAGTAGATGGGATCAGCGTCCGCGTTGCAGAATTCCGGTTCATTATATTTGGTGGCGTACTCCCTATTCGCCCGGTCTATCTCCTCCTGGAGTTCTTCGTCCTTCTTTCCTTCCCATGCTGACAATGCTTCATAGAAGCCTTCATCGGTGTAAACCAATGGGAATAGTACTTTCTCGGCGGCGTAGGGGCAGTAAATAGATAGATGGCCAGGCTTCTGGCCTTGGCACACGCGGCAGTGGTATTCAGGGCAGTTCTTGTGGCGATGCCCGAGTTTCTTGCATACGCGACAGACGAAATTGTCTGCGGAGAACTGGGGTTGTTTTACTGTGATGACGTCGGGGGTTTCGGTGAGGTCAATGACTTCACGCTTCTTTCCCTTAGAAGCTTTAGTCTTTGACACTCCATGCACGACGGCTCCTCTGCGGGTCTTTCGTTTAAAGACGACGGTGGGTTCAGGGATAGGTAATGGTTCTTCAGCTGGTGCTGGCTGAGCAGCAGGCTGAGTTTCTTCTCTAGGCGTATCTGCAACAGGTACGCTGCCGGGGGGAGTGCTAGTAGCAGGGCTTGGCGGGCGACCGACTTCGGTCTTGTTTCGTTCTTCAACAGCCCGTATAACTGACTTGCAGACAGTACTAAAAGCAGAAGGAAGCAGCTGAATCTCAAGGCTGCGTATCTGTCTTTGGAGGTGTTGACAAGCGAGTCTGAGGGCATCGTTTTCGATTTCTTTGAACCTAAGTTCAAGAGCGGAGGTGGCGCGTATGACGTGGATCTGGGAAATTATGGGGGCGGCAATATGAGCGGGTTCTTTAGCGAGTTGTTTTTCTAGTTCAATTGCGTGGGGGAGGGACAG